ATCTCTGAAGACGACAATGATAATGAAGATTTTTCCTCCGAAAAATGGGATAACGCCGTACTGGTCACTTCTCGACACGCGGTTCGAGAAAAGTGGAACAAAGCTGCCATTGCTCGTCATTGTGCTCGTACCGGTAATCGATTGTATATCTGTCCAGCTGAAGATACAGAAGGTATAGCCCGTACGCCGTTGCCAATCGAAAGACGTGTCCTGGTCGCAGGCATGCAGACAAAACCTTGTGGAAATCTAGCAGATGAAGTTAAAATAGCAGTGGGAATGCGAGTCATGGTCACCCTGAACCTGTCAACCGACAAAGACTTGGCAAACGGCACCAGAGGCACGATTGAGGAAATCATATTGGACCCTCGAGAAAACTACATTGAGCCGGATGAGGACGGCGCCATCCGTTTGTCGTACCCTCCGGCTCTGGTTTTGTTCAAACCTGATGTGGAGGTCACCTATCAATTCGACGGTCTGAGAAAAGGCCTTTTACCTATATGTCCATCGGAAAGGGGTTTCACTATTACTGACGCAAAGGGTCATTCTTTCCGAATCCACAGACGGCAGCTAGCCACAACCCCTGCTTATGCGTTTACCGACTTCAAATCGCAAGGGCAAACACTTTTTATCCTGTTCATCGACATCGCTTCACCACCTGGGGGGTCACTGTCGAATTTCAATGCGTATGTTGCTTTATCACGCGGACGAGGCCGCTTTGCTATAAGGCTTCTCCGAGATTTTGATGACGCACTGTTCACAACCCATCCTTCGGAACATCTCCGTTTGGAGGACATTCGACTGCGTCGATTGGACGCTGCTACTGCGTTGCTATATCCATGAATCATCAAAAAACGATTAATATGTAGAATAAAGAACTTAGTGCTATTCAGTGTGCATATATCAATTGAACCACGCAACATGCCCTGCAAAACGATGAATTGTCAATGAGCAAATACCTGTCAGATGCCTTGAACACTTACTGCTTCGTTTGGTTCATTTCCAGTTATTCTGTAAGAACTTCTTTTATGATTTTGGTGATATCGCATCATCATAAATTTCACGTTCTATCTATTATTACAGTATGTACTCTTATCTTTCATGCTCGCTGAAGCGAAGTAGAAAGAAAAGCCCGTCGTTGAGGAGTGAGTGGCTTTATATAGCGCTTGAAGTTTAGGGCCAGCCGGAATGTCACCATTCAGCTGGCCCTAAATAGCGAGCACTATATATACCAGCTGGCATTGACGCGTTCTGGTTTCTGCTTCCTTACTTCCTCTTTCCACGTATGTTGCTGGGTAGACTCTAATTATGTAGTAGTGTATTTAGAATTTATAAGTGATGATTTGACGCACCGAACTTCAATCGTCGACATCAGGGGATGCCTCTCCTAAACAACGGCGTCCTCCGTCATAACTTGGTCAAAACTAAGCGCTTAAAGCACACAAGTCATTCACATTGATGATGTCCGAGACTCGCTCCCCAAAAAAAAGACGGGTAGAAGTGAGTCGAATTACATTATATACGTCGTGAACATCAACTCACTCATAGGACACAGCTGGCATCGACCTTCGTAGATTTAGAAGCTGTAGTCGACGTGGAAGAAGACGACAATGATCCTGACGAAGAAATCCTCCGTGAGTGAATGTGCACCTCATTTGACGATACTTATACCCCCTATAGATGATCTTATTGACGATGAGGAGCCGGACAACGACGAAGCTGGTGCACATGGGAACTTGTTGCGTGAATTCGATTCACGAGGAGGAGATATCGATGCTGGATGGCAGAGTTTCATGGAACGCGCTCACATTCGATCAGTTGACGACGAAAGTCACAACCTTCCTGATTATCAAGGCCCAAGGACTGATGACTATCGTCTTTACGAAATAACTTGTCCAGTAGGATTGGCTTGTAACATATCTGTTGATTTATGAACTAATCAGCCGCTGCAGATTGGGAAAGAAGAAACCACCATTTTGCGAATCCTTCAAGCATTTGTGAATTGGAGCACAGTGTCTCCTCCCGTGAGATCAGCCTTTGCTCGCAATTGCCATCCTGGACGAATTTTCGTTGAAGCTGCCTCTTTCAATGCAGCCAATGCCGTGGCTCGGCAATTCGACGTTCTCAAAAAAAGCGACGTGAGGGTTTTGCCTCATGAAGAAGCTCACCTGTGTCTATCAAGTGAAATCCGATTTACACCATCCCCTGATTCCTGGATTAGAATCCGAAAGGGTCGATATCGAGGGGACATCGCTTACATTCGCCACGTTGATTCTAGGTCGCTGCATATTGATGTGATACTCGTGCCTCGCGTTAACTATGATCAAGGCCGTAAACGAAAGCAGGGGATCCGGCCACAACAGCAACTTTTCAATGCTCAAGACGTTCAAATAAAACTTGGCCCTGGCAAAATAGAAAATCGGAATGGCCGCTGGTATTTCCAAGGGGAGACCTACACTGATCGTGGTTACTTCTTGATGTGCGACGTCGATACCGCCGATTATTCACCAAAGCCTGGTTTCCCTACCGCAGCTGAATTGAACAGCTTCAAAGAATGCGAAGAAATACCAACTCATGTCATAATTGCTACGGCGACACAAATCGCTTCACGCACCCTTCGTCCAGGCGACAGGATTCTGACCATTGCTGGTGATTGCGTTGGATTATCGGGTGAAATTTGCACGATAACAGAAGACGAGGCAGAGGTGTACTTGCCAGACCAGGATTTACTCTATTCATTGCCATTACGAGACATCCAACGGAACTTCAAGTCAGGTGACAATGTGGAGGTTGTGGCGGGTATTCACCAAGGCCTAAAAGGTTTTGTCATGACATGCTGTGATCATGTTCTATCACTCTATGACCCGGATTCCAAGATTGAGGTACACAACTCAACTTAGCTATACATTCTAACCTTTTAAATTCCTCCTTCAGGTCGAAGTCCTCGACTGGCAGACAGTGTTTCAGCCTACACCACCAATGTTCGGCGTCCCGTCTAATATTACAAATAAAGAACCAACCACGTCATGGCTTCAAGTTAACAGTGGGCTGAATGGAGAAAGCCTACGTTCCTTGGAGCTTATCAATATGAAATACGATCCAAACCGGAGCTACCAGGGTCGGGAGATCATGGTCGTAAATGGAAACTTCAAAGGTTACTTGGGTCGCATAACGTCTACTTGCGCGGATGATAGTGTTATCGTTGAATTACGCGCAACTTTGCAAAAGGTGCGGCTCAAATTGAGCGATCTCTCCTTGGCGTAAGCACACTCTATCTTTCTCTTCAAACAAATATCCTAATTTTGATATAGAATCGATAACAGACCCCTACAACAAATCAAATCAGACGTTAATGACAGCAAGCAAAGCGTGACCAGAACGGTAGTAATATCAGCAATGGATGTGCCGAAGACACCAATGCCTAATACAGAGGATATTCCCGCAAGTCCATCTTGGGATCCGCTGTCAGAAATGCCGAATACCAACGGTAAATATATTTCGCAATTCATCGATCGAAAAATTATTGAGTCCGATATAGACGCAGCTTGCTATTGGCTAGCCGATGAACGTTTCAAAGGAATGCGTATCTGTTTGAAAATAGCGGATATTGTTGTGCCTACGGAGTATATGGCTTACAAGAACAAGAATTTGGAATTCTTGGAGCCCAAAGGCAACACAGCCGTGGTCAGTTTTCTGCGAGAACGGCAACACATTCCAATGCAGTACCTGGCGCCCCTCGCTCCTGATACGAAACATGTGTTGGTAACGGCCATCAGAGGCGACCGTATGGGAAAGGTTTTCAGAGTTTTGACATATAGCGCACATGAATGCAAGCTGAGAGACATAAGCATACAACCTATTCGCAAGAAAGATGATTTAATGATGGAGACTCAAAATCTTGTTGTAGTTCATCCTTCAAAGAAGTAGACTTCGAATAATTTGTACATTTACGCATTATCATATATTGCATCGACCTCTAGTCAATCTCTTGTACTCTGTACGGACAGTGAACATTGTAACAGTCATCGCCTATGCCCCATCGCAGATGTGTTTCTGCGAAAATATCGTATGAAAGGTGAGCCCTCCTTGACCATTCATACGTTCCAACTCCTTCCAAACCGTATGATAGATGCCATATCATGGGGCAGCCTCGGCCACATGGCCCGTTCCACAAACATGTCGACCAGTAGTATTCGATCGACCGACGTTCCAGTTGGTCAATGTCATATGTTGTAGGTGATCCTTGGCATGAGATCGATATTCCGTTGACGGTCATCCATGGGTAAAAACAATAGATTCGAAAAGGGGAAATTGCGTTCATTTGCGACGTCAAATTGGAGGACAACAATGTCAACAACGCAGATGAGCTTTGACTTTGGTGGATTTTGAGCTCCGTTCCCTAATCATGGGTAAATAACGTCGATATTGTGAAATTACTCGATACTTACGTTGTGCATCCTGACCCACAGAATGCTTTTTGTCGAATCTTCTCTGTCTGGATTGACCTCTCCAGTCTCTCTGTCCACGAACCCATGACTGTCGCACCATGCAACCCACTCAGTCATTGTGCCCGATGGTGTCATAATGTCGATATCTCTAGGGGGATGATCAATGAAAAAGCCAGGTTCTATGACGGCCAATGCTACTGATCCCCCTATAAATCCATGAACGTTCTCCAATGTCTCGAATAACGAATCAATGACTCCGTCGTCCATGAAAGCGCGGATTACGCTCCTGACACGAGTGCTAACGACAGAGCGACAGCTTTCCGCAAACACGGAGTTTATGTGACTGAGCCGAACAAGTTTCGAAAGGGATGGTTCATCACTAGTAGCCTGCTCGATGATACAAGAGACTATGTCTGCTGGCAACTGCTCGGGTATTGACATTGTAACCAAAGGAAGCAAAGATGGCACGGTTTGTTATTATTCTTTCCCTTTCCGCATGTAATGACAATATATATATCAGGACACGCCGGATTGTGAACTTACCTTCACACCATCATGTCCTCAAATTATCTTGCGACCAAAAACAATGTGATAAAGAATCGCGCCGCCATAGTAAGCTTCAATCTGTCTATGTAGAAGTAGACTAAGCTTTGTGCAGTTCCACGCTCGCACGTACTGGGCATTGCTGTACGAAACAGACTCTAACACGCCACAATTGGTGCGCGTCCCCGTCTACCTAGGAAAAACGAGCGCAAATAGCTTGGACGATTTGGACACGGATATCTGGATTCGCAATGGTTCCTGCTTCACTCAATGCATCGACTTGGACGAAAATCGTTTACATGTAGGCTCCTCAAAGGGTGGTAGGCCATACCGTCTTCGTCCTGCTCTCACCATCTACTATTCCAAATATGCAAGTAATTTGTCACTTTTTTGTACATCCCTGATCCAACCTCTTCTAGCCACCTCCGCCCACATATGCCAGGCACTCCAATAGGGCAATCAAACATATTTCCGGTAATACAATCGACAAATGGCACAGTAACGTCTTAGTAGTATGTCACGGCAAACGAAGCGCCGTGGCAGGTGTTCAAATGAAGCATGTCTCTTACATTAACAAACGCATCATTCGGTACGTATGCCGGTCCTCCATTTATGCATTAATAAAGTTCTGAAGCAGGTTGATAACCGATGGTATGCTTCATCAAGACCCGTAATAAACACTTCCTTCCCAGTCACGCAAATTTAGTTACCGGATTGTTATATTTACAAATTCACTTGTTCTCGAGTGCTAATCATGTCCAAGTGGATTGTCATTCGTAATGCGCGAAAACACAAGAACTTCTCGTCTCGAGAATGTGGTATGTTATGTTACTATCTTGATTCAATAATGCTTATAACCACAACCCTAGAAACCGTGTCAAATCATGTTGTATGCTTTCCAATCGTGACTTCTCTTTTTCCGCTTCACTTAACATGATAAAGACAACAGGTGTGGCGGCAAACCTGATTATGGGACAAACTATACATTCAAACGTCCAACAAACACCCCAAATTACTTCGGATAGTCATCTTCCAACGTGGAATGAACTAGATTAGGACTATTATGTATTCTACATGTAGCGTATTGTTTTACCCTTTTTCAATCTCCGACCGCGAAATAAATAGTGATTCTCAGGTTTCTGGCGTCGCAGCTCCCCACTTCGTTTCCTATCAAGAAAATTTTGTAAGTACCGCCACGAATGACCTGATTGTATTCTTATTGAGAAGCCCACAGACAATGGCATTCAGTGGCCCTGCCGTACGCAACCGTTTGATCCATACCGCACAGTATTGCGCGAGTCCAAACTGGAATTCCAGAGTAGGATGGGCCAACTCAAGATCTGGTCAAATTTTAGTCGATGCCAAAAGTGGAGATGAAATGTTCTGCATCGTAGTGGGCACGGTCTCTGAAACACGATTCAAGATGGGGCCTGTTGGAAACTACAACCCCGAATTCAACAAGCTCAAGGACGCCAAATACACTTTCGGTTTGGATGAACCAACGAATCCCGATTTCAGACCCGACTGGGCCACCACTGTCAAAGCCTTAGAGGACGCCGAGAATATGATACAGGGGACCAAGGATCATCGACACTTCATCGAGAAAGTCGGCAATCTCAGGTCGCTGCGATTGAGCGCTCGCGTTCTCCAAGAAAAGGTGTGTTTCAATTACAATTATCAACTCAATGATCTAACCGCAAATCTCAGGATCCCGGAGTATCAGGTAAACACGTTTGCGCTTATTGTCACTATATTGACATTTTTATAGATGAAATTAAACTATCACATTGGCCTGCGCCGCCGGAGTATCGTGACGCTCTAGTCGACTTGGAAGACACGCACACCGTTGCGCCACTCATGGCTTACAACGAAAAAGAGTCTCAAATTTTGCCTGAAGAATTGCCATCCATTCTCAAAGGAACTCTTGTCGAAGTAACCTTCACCCTCCGCCATTATCGTATCAAGAACGCTACGCAAGACAACGATACATACACTGGAACAATCGAACAGATCATCATCTTAGAACGCGCACCTCCCAAGAAGATCAGTCCTTACCGTAAAGGAGGTGGACCAATTCGCGCTCGACCTTCGAATGTTCCCTCTCGGGAAGAACAGGCGGCCGCAGTTCGCGCGTTCTCATGGTCAAGACCTACCCTTCGCGATCCGCCTCCAGCCACGCAAACCGCTGGTTCCTCAGTCGACGTTCCTGCAAAAGGCAATCTAATAGCAAACATTGCCTCCCCATCTTTTCATAACGTCCAGGAACCTGAAGCTGAAGCTTCCTACATTCCAGTTGCGGTCACAGACGATCACATTACATCTTCTATTATCACCATTTCTCCAACTCCAGCTCTCGGTCAGACAACCTCACTTTCACCAACTACTTTCCCCGCTGTGCCACCTTCGGCTGCGGTGGCTGGACCCTCGATGACGTCAAGTGTGGCCCATCCTGAGACCCACAATACATCGTCACCGACAAACAACCCTGTACCACCTTCAGGTACCCCAGAGACTCAAAACATACGGACCCGCCAAACACTCATCATTCCTTCCTTAAAAGCTTTAGGGAAGCGAAAAGCGGATGAAACCATTGACGATGAAAGGCCAACAAAGAAATCCTCTAAGTAAGGTATGTTAACTTTAGTCTTGCGATCACGACGAATTGTTTCTGACCATATATCAGGAGATCGTCATTTCATTGAATAATACATGCGGTCTCTCATAATCATGATTGTTATATCTCCATTTCATCAGCAGCGGCTTTGGTCTATCCTTTTATGCATATCTCTCACCTGTTTAACGATTTCTTAAACTCCGCGTTTATACATGCCTCAAAGAAACTCAGGCCGTTCTCCATATGTGTTACTTCTTTTGCCATGCCTTCCACGTTTCCTTTTCAGTACGTATTTATTGCTCTTCTGCACTTGCCTCGGGTTTACGCATCGTATTCACGAGTTCATGTCCAATTCAATATGTGGCTAGTACCAGGAACAGCGTAATTGCCTGTATTAATATGACGTACGACATGAACTGTAATCTTTGTAACAACATAGTCCCCGTATATTCACCACAACATAAAAGACAAGGTAAATTTGAGCTCCAGTTTCTGATACTCCGCGTTGAAATTTTTGGCATAACTACAAACGTACGCTTTCTAGCAATTATTCATATTCAAAGCTGACTGATTGGTAGAATGAATACTTCTCTTTCAAACAATAACCTGTCGGATCGCCAAGTATTTCAAATGCTTTACTTGTAAAACCAAACTCACCTTTGATCAAGGTTATGCTAGGCACTCATAAACCCAGCATGTACACGCAACGCCGATTTCTTGCTTACGGCAAACTGTTGTTCGTCGCTAAATACGATCCTATTTCCAACACCTATGAAACTCCCACCTATGAATACCAACATCGAGCTACAACTCACCTGCATGTAGTGCGATGGTTCTAACGCGTTGGGATAAAGTTATTCAGCGAATCTGTCAACTTATGTAGTCTATAATAAAATGGCCACGGATCCTTCAAGCCACGTATATCATCCAAAAAACATATATTTCCCTGCCCCGCCGTACCTCTCACCCTAGAGCAGCAGCGCCTTCAGCATATTTAGACTGCCGCCTCGATCTGAACACCATCGCAGTCCACACTCGTAACGCCGAATACAATCCAAAGGTTGGTATTGACCATTAGCTTACATGCAACACATTGAACTCGCCTCTTGTTCACGTTTTTAGCATTTTGCAGCTGTTATCTTACGTATCTGTGAACCCAAGACGAATGCTCTTGTTTTTGTGTCTGACAAGATGGTCGGAATTGGAGCCAAGTCAGAAGACGATTCACGCCTTGCATCCCTTGAATACGCGTGTGCCATGGCATGGTTTGGACGCAAATTTATCCAAGTTCAAGCTACAGAACATCATCCAGAGGTGACTTCAAGTTAACCATTCTCCTGGAGAGCTTGACTTATAGTCACGGACAGCTCAGCTGTTATAAACTCTCTCGCACTCTATAAACTCTCTCACACTCTATAAACTCTCTTGCAGTCTCATCTTACCACTCACTCCTATCATTCACCACAACGCCCCAAAAACGATGAGGACAAAATTGTTTTTGAAGAACCACATATTGATCAACTCTCCTCGTCGCAGTCAAGAAATCGAACACGTCCTACGCAACATCGGGAAAGTCAAGAAGGAGGTCGACGATGTTTTCGGCGACCATGAATGGGCCATTATAATCTAGTGAGTTCATAGCCCTCTTTCGGAATCCAAATTGATCACCTCTTAGCAATGGACTTCATACTTCGAGGAACGTTGGTCGCCACTCGACAGTTTTCGCCTTCGTGCAAGGCGGCCAAAACTTGTTTTTGCAATGCTGGGCCGTGCACATTTTGGAAAATGGACGCACTGATTTTTTCTTCGACCCGAGCCGCGACCTACTTCGTCAACAGATGACGCCCGTCAACAGTGAGTACTTCATTTGAATTACTTTCTGAGATTAGACTTGATATCCCTATAGTCATCTTCCCAAACGGTTTCGTTGCGCACACCGTGACCTTCGAAAGGGATGGGAGGATTATGATGGAGTAAAAGATCGCTAAGTAGTATAAATGTAAAAACTACGCTTTCCGTTGATCCAATTTACCCTCTGTCTGCTTCCCTCGATTCATTAGTTTTCTCCATGTCCGCATAGCATACATTGGCCGATAACTCTCGAATCCTCCCCAACGCGACCTTCTTCAATGGTAATGCTTCTGCCCACGATGCGCTCATGGTTTTGCTGGACGCTTCGACCAACTAATTCTGCCAATTCAACTAGATTGGGTTTTCGACAAAGGAAACATCATGAACTCGAACTCATCAGGCGGCAATCTAGCCCTAGTTCTGGCGCAGGCCAATAGCGGAACTAGAATCTCCGACGCGTCATCTGCACTACGGGACCGTCACTGCCAAAAGTGCTTGAAACCACTTTTTGTTATCCCACGAACGCTGAAACGACGTTGTGTGTTTAGTCAAAACCGGTCGTTTGGCTGGCGTCGTCACAACATTCATCACGATGAGCGAGCTGGCCCTGTTATAGCATTGGGTGGTCCCAAAAATATGTTCGTTCTTATGACGACCCTTTCCGTACTCTTTTTCCATTTTCCATGATCAATTTGTAGCCGTTGCTTGCGAATATACCCCTAGACACAGAGAAAATAAAATGTCTAATTCATTTATATCTACGTGCATGTTACAAGGCGTAACCTAACCCACTTGAAATAATCTGGGCTCGGTTGATCTCGTTCCGAATTTAGCACCCGATCATTTTCAGTCGCCATCGTTCTTCATCAAAACCCTTGATATTGAGTCGCCTTGAGCCTCGGACACAGTTGGAGGCAGTGGTATAAGTACTTGAAGATCTGCACTCCTCACCCGACGATATTTTGCCTTAGTGAGATAAAGAAATTTGATCCTGGTCGTCTTGATGGCAGTGCACATGCCGCCACCGTTGATACCTCCAGGAGACGGAGCATCCAACAGCACAGAGAGCGACATCCCTGATTGCTGAGATACTCAACTTTACTTACTTTAACCAATCCACTTAAATTCTGGTTTTTAATATGACTTATCCAATAAAAAAGTTAACTAAATATATCGAAATAAATAAATAAATGCAACCCCAAGCAAGGTTTTTGTTGACATTGGAACAATGTCAAACTCTAGTATCTTGTAACAACGGCATATGTGATAACAGAAGTCCCGTGTGAACTGGAACACAAATAGAATGGCAGTTTCTCCCCAGACTGCAGCTTCGACGCCTAAGAATGGGTGAAGATCCCCACGTCTATGTTGGGAATTCTTCATATGTGGAATATGGTACGATTTACAATGCTGTATTACAATGACTTGTACATAGGGTGGAGAATGCAAGAAAAACCGTGAGGATATCAAAGGATATAAATCCAACAGAGAGGAATAAACAGAGACTAAAAAGAGGTATCAAACATCTCGTCGCTTTATGCCAACCTTACATTCAAGGGGTTTCCTGAGGAAGCCCTCGCGCGTCTCAAGCTGCGTAAGTGAGTTAGACTGAGGAAAGTGCAGCAGAGGTTAGGAAGACGTACGGGTTGGTTAGGATCTGCGAGAACGATGTCGTAACGACGCATGATCGATGCGATGATGATCTGTAGTTCCAAGAATGCGAGGTTACGCCCGACACAGGCTCTGGTACCGCGGATGAGATTGGAAACAAAGAAGTCTTTTGATAAATGTACCTTGGTCCGACTGAAAATGGGTTGAAAGTTTTCTGCATGGCAGCGATGTCACATTCGAACCATCGCTCGGGTCGATAATCTTCAACATCTTCACCCCAGACGGTAGGATCGCGATGAATGGAGTAGCTGGGAACACTCAACACCGTGCCCTCTGGGAAGAATTCCCCCTTTATGGTCAACCCACCCTCAGGGACAACGCGGGGAAGGCCGAGAGCAGAAGTCGAATGAATACGCAATGCCTCGTTGATGCAAGCATCGAGGTAGGGCAGCCGCTTCACTTGCTGTCCATTGGCAACCGTTTCGTCTTCGGTTCCGAGCTGTTCATCAAGCTCTTTGTGCAATTTCGCCTGGGCAAAGCGGTTGCGAGCCAAGTAGTAGATGATAGCGCATGTTGAGCTGTTTTGAATTTTTGAGTTTTAAACAATGACAAGTTAGAAGGAGAAACCATACTTGGAAGTAGTATCTGAACCAGCGATGAGAAGAGTTAATGCCTCGGCAGTCAATTCTTCCCGACCCATAGGATTTCCGTCGCTGTCAATGCCAGCCTTCAGTTTACTTAAAAGGTCGACGCGGTCCGTGGGAGTTGCTAGTCGACGAGCGACAGCCATGATAGCGATACCTGCTAGGGACTTAACATCTTTTAAACCCCGTCTGTACCATGGCAGTTGGCGAACAAAGGGACGCCACCAGGCTGGGAGCACACCCATAGACATGGAATATTCTCCACGACCATTGAGGATCTTGACAGCAGGAATCGCGATGACTTCGGCTTCTGTCTCACTCCCATAAGTCGCCATGACATGCTTAGGATCTTTGGCGACAAGGGCTGAATCTTGGGCAGCTTCTACCATGCCGAAGGGCGCTCCGAAGGCGAGATCGCCGACGATGTCAAAGGCAAGATAATTCGACCCTGTTAATCCCGTTCAGTGACGCCATAGCCAGAGAGCGAGGAGTTAAGACGCACAAGGTAAACAATCTAGCCAGAGACGTCCGCTTTCTCCCCGCCAGCCACCCTCACCATCATCTCCAGAAAGACCCTTCACGGCACCGTCACAGAGCCGATCCCATTGTTTGATAAACAGGCCGACATACAGCCGAATCTGAGGTTCAAACTCGACAACACTCTTCTGAGAGAAGATGTGTGAGATAATTTTGCGTTTTCGGGCATGGTCGTTGCGGTCACGGGTGTTGAAGACTCCACGGCGAATGGAAACGAAGGCGTCATAGAAAGCGGACTTGAGGGCACCATTTCCGTGGGCATAGATGATCGAGAGAGCGTCGGGGACAGCGACCGAGACATGGTTGGGAGCAATACGAACGTATGGACCTGTGTGTTCATTGAGGTGTTCAGAAATTGAACGTTAATAGTACGACAACATACCATATTTCCTATGCATTCCGTGAATTACCTCGGAGCGATGACCTTCCTTGCAGACCAAACCCAACCAGGCGTCTGTGAACTTTGCAAAGAAGGGGCCAGGATACTGCCTTATTCCATGTGGATCGACAAGGTAAGGAATAAGATGGGCGAGGATGAAGGCGGTGGGGATGAGGACCGCTATGGTGGTGACATCCAGGCTGCGGTACAGAGAGTCTAGGATGGGGAGCATAGTGAAGACGCTGTATGTGTTCAGTTCAGGTACATAGACCTTTTAAGGCGTGAGTCAAGGGCACGAGATCCGACATTTTACCTTCTCCTAATCAAGTTCCGGGCATACAAACTCCTTGAAAAATCCTGGGAATAGAAGGCGGATCATGGTGAATACGATGGCACCGCATCAGTCGGATGCTTAGCGCTTAACTCTCATACTGGTCCCATTCCAAGTTTTGGAGAAGTTTTGAGTTCAAATCCCAGCTTCCTACAATCCAACTCAGATCAGCTATATATATCGAAACACAAGACTCCGACATATCCTGTCCTCCGGAATCACATACCTGACTCACGCAGGGAAGCGACGATGTGCTGTGTATCAGATAACTCTGATAAGAAACTGCTCACACGCTAGTTTTTAACAAATGAAGGCAGGGATGTGACTATAATTCGTAGTGGGGTGTTGAGAGAAATTTTGCGGTTCAAGAGGTCTCCTTGAATATCCGCCGATGGCCATTCCGCCGACATGCGATGTGGACTCTGGAGGATGGTGTGTTCGTGAGTGGGATTGTAATTTGGACAACGTTTGATTAAAAGTTTCCCTGTTTGGGTTTCTATGCGATTGCTGTCACCTTGATCTGACATCTTCTGACATCTGTCGATCCATTTCCTCGTGTTCGGTTCGTAATGCTATTTTAAACCGCTGGACTGAAGCGGTCGTTGGCGGTGCTGGCGTCTCTTCACCGTTTTCGAGCTACTTTTTTTCCCCTACCTCATCATGCCTAGCACTTCTGGTTTCGTCCTCCTGGCTTCCCTCTTTCTTGCCACTACCGCTCAGTACAGCGCTACCTACCTCCCTTCGAATGCGCCCCCAACCACTGAAGAGGGCCAGGTCGGGACCAACCAGTGTGGGACTGCGCTGAACCAGACTTCTATGTGCCAAAATGCCTATAGTGAGCGTGCTATGATACATATTCATCTCATGGAGTTCTCACCGGTCCAATAGTTAACTCCCTCACTGATTTCTGCATATGGGCTCCTCCAAACCCAGGTCCTGATTCTGTCATCGGAAATACTGAAGTAAGCACCCCCCGATGTGACCAACCCGATCTCACTCAAACCTAACCCTCACTTTAGCGTATCGAGGTTGCTTGGTGCCTCAAGGCAAGTTTTCGGTAAATAGAGGCTTGACGCTCATCCTCAACCACTTTTAGAACGGAACTGGTGCCCGATTAATTCCGGATGGCGCGATTACAGGCGCTCACTTCGTACAGACACCAGATTATGTTCAAGTCACCGGTAAAGAGGATGCATCTCCGGTACAAAAGCAGATTTTTATCTCATTATAGGCACTGGCGATTTAACACTCCTTAACATCCCTGCGGGGGATGCGGGCGTAAGCACGATCTCCCACGCACGATCTCGATGCGACTGACGTCTTTTATTTTGGTCATTCAGGGAGAGGTTCCGTCTCTGTCCTCCTACACGTTTTTGCCTTTCTCACCGTTTTGCTTTTAATAGTTAGATCCGCATGGAGCAGATGGAAACGGCAAGACAAATATTTCGCGGGCACGTTTACTTACCGTTGCTTATCTTTTTTTTTTCGTCGTAGGTAACCCTATCGGCGGCCTGGTATTCTCTACGGCTTTTGGACCTATACAGCAGATTTTCGAATGGACGGTAATTGCGATCATCTCGGTACGAACGTCGGGCTTACCACCCTTATTTTATTCTAGAACTTCGTCGCTGCGAACCAGTTCTGCTTCCGTGCGTGCAAGCCAGGCCCCAATGCTGCTGCTCTCTGTGAGCATATTTATGATATCATGGGTTGCGCGTGGAACATGCCAGGCAACTACGACACGGGATTCGATACCTGCAAAGGGGATAGCGGCGAGGTACAGGATTTACCCGTCCTCTCTTTTCTAAAATAACGTCTTTCATCCCGTTAGCCTATGGGTGTTTATGGGGCTTCAACGTTCCATCAAGGAGACGCCGTAACGCCTCCAGCTCACCCCGCCCCGTCTTCTTCGTCTTGCGTGACCACGAGCACCATCGGTAACGGCTTCCACATCTCTGGTACCAGCATTTCCACCCCCGCAGCGGTCGTCACTCCAACGAGCGGAGCTGCATCGGGGTCGGGCGCAACGCCTAAGCCCTCTGCGACGTCTTCGACGTCTCATGCGAGTGCGTCGGGCACGAGTTCAGGTGCTTCTCGTACGTTGTCGACCGACAACTGGGAGCGTGCCGTCATCACTGTTGGGTCAGCTGTGATCCTTTCTATCATTGGTGGCTTGCTGGTTCTTTGATTACGACTCACTTTCGTAATTATTTCTCTATGGACATCTGGCTGTTTAAGGCATGGGACTTTGGACTGCCGTTTTTTCCTGGATACCACTCTACCCTTTGCATGCAATTGACGACTTTTACTCACCTTTCACATCGTACACTGTTCGCAATACATGACTATCACGTACTTATTTTTTTCCGTCTGGATCACTTCTGGATTAGTTTACGTCTCATGACTACACTTGGTCTTTATGAACATCTTACGAATATTTTTACAAACGGTGCTAGATTTTACAGATGATTTTTCGCTGAATCAACCCTTTGCTACTTATGAGCAATACTTTAGGCATTTGGTCTATTTTTACAACGGCCTGATGTTGGGAATTGGCCCTACAGGGACAATGCGTGTTGGGTTAATCTGTAGACATGATGCTTTAGCGGTTCACGACCAGAAGCAACAAGGAATATTTACGGCAGCATGAGACCAATAGTAGTGAGTTTTGATATGATCAAAGTTGGTGGAGGACTCGAAAGCGTCATTATTCCAATAAAGCTTTTGCATCCATCTAATGATGAAAGATGTGAGTATAGCGGCGTGACGGATTTTGTGATGGGCTGACTTGTGAATAGCTGGGTATCCATCACGGATAGTGCGTATGTTACACTTGAAATGTCCCACATAAACAGGATCGAAACGAATCTAGAACACAATCGGCCGAAAGGATTAGTCAAAACGACCGAATATTCGATAGGAATCGTACAATGGTGACCCAAAGCCTTATGTCGGCTTCCGTGAGCCTGTCTCCGACTAGGAAGTCTTTTCCAGTGAGGATCTTCTCGACCTTGTCAAGGGCGTCAAAAAGTTCGGTCACCGCTTTTTCGTATGCGGCTTGAGTTGTGGCAAACCCCGATCTATACACGCCATCTGAAAAGCGTCATGAAATCGTTGCCCTGAACCAGGGAACAAACATACTATTGATGTTCGGATAAATCCATTCATTGACCGCGTCAATCTCGGTACGTAACTCCTTTGGATAAAAATCCAAAGCAGCCTTTTCAGCGGGGATGAATTCGTCGAAAGCCACATTGAACATGCGAATAATCTCAGAACTTTCGTTGTTAACGATTGTTTGCAACTTCTTATCCCAGAGAATAGGGACGGTGAACCTACATCGATCATATATTACAAAATACCCATGTGGAGCAGCAGGGTCGCATGACGTACCTTCCGCCGTAGTTTTGTTCAGCTTTAAGATAGAGATCCTTGACATGCTCGGATTGGTAGAGCGGGTCAGAATCTGCACCAGGGAAAGGATCGGCATTGGCAAACGGCCAGCCGTGTGTGCCCATACGAGGGGACACCACAGTGACCGCTGGAACGGAATTTGTGAGTTCGAGGAAGACTGATAATCGCAATGTGGTCTCACGTATGAATTCATCGAGTCGCTTCAGTTTCCTGACTATCAACGTCCTCGTAGCCCAAGCTATAACATTCAGCAAAGTAATCAGCACGCAATAATTTTAACTTGCTCAAAAGACCTACGGCAGGCGTATGAGACATAGAGGTAATACCGATCTATTGGTCGGACAGCGTTAACAGCGACGACTAATCAGATAATCAGCTACATACCACGCTCAGGCTCAAATCTGCCGCCACGTTCGATTGTGTTGCGAAATGAAGCGTCTAGACGCTTGAAGGAGCCGTCTGGCTCGGTCTTCATTTTTGTAATATCCGATTGATCTGTGGTATCTTTCGTTGTTGCCATTGTTCGGATTGAAGGCGGTCGTGTTGGAGGGTTGACGGAGATGACAATTGCGCTGCGGTTTATATGGATGCCTCGAACAAAAGGCTGACTATGTCGTGCACGTGAAAGGGTGATGCCGAAGTATCTATTACACAGAATGAGTAAGGGAGCAAATAAAAATGCAGAAAACAAAAAAGAACCTGCCATGGTTGGTCACTATGTTCATGCCTATTACAAAGTTGCGTCGAAAGCCGCGCAGAGGAAGAAGGATCTGTTGGAACCTTTTACGAACTTCGCGGACAACATTCACCGTCACGTGACCGTATACACACGCACTCCTGAACAAATCATCCGCCATGACTGTACGGACATTCGCGTTAAAGCCAGATGCTTGCTCGAGTGCTCCCCATCTGGGGCAACTTATGGACACCCGTACAAAATGTAACTGAAACGAATTCTTAACGAATCCCCCAATGAAGGCACATTCCGTGCGTTCCAAGTGCGTTCATAGATTTTACACACTGACAGGACCGTGTAATTTTCCCTCAGATGAGACGAGGACGGCATATCACAAGTCTGCGCTGCCTTTTGAACAAAATTCCTTGTTAAATCCTTGTGAGCATTTACAGCGGGACACCGGGATGCTAATTTGATGACTGGTTGGTTCTGTGGTCAAGGTTTAAGCTAGACTAATTGCGCTTCTGCGTAAATCAGCATTCAGCACGATATCCTCGCCATCTTGATTGATCAAGTTTTTTTCCGGTTCGACTCGCCCGAATTTTCCTGCCATTGCTTTGTAGTGTGAGCGTGTGTATAATGGCGCGCGTCTTGGGTGGCTGCCAGACAGGTGTTTGACAGTTTTTAATCAACGGACGAACATCGTTCGCGGGATGGCCTTTCTATAAAAGTGTTGTCACACTGGTGTTATTCATTTTCTTGCTTAGCCGTACTTTCCGCAGGCACGCAACACGACTTAATTTTTGACGGGGACAGTCTGGCCTCTTCCTCGCACAGTTTGGCTGATGGTCTTTCTTTTATTATCGACATACAACTGAAGGAAACCGGGCCGCACAAAGCCAGGCCCATTTTCATGCCTGCGGACTTACTTATCGTCGGCTTTCCGTGGTAAAAGGCAAACTAGTCATCTCATGCCGTGCGTCCCGCTGTTCTCATGCCGTGCGTCCCCCCCGTTCACCGCCGGCACTCTCGTCAGGTATGTAGAGAGACTAGAAAACTGACCACGTTTTGGCCTTTCCGTTCTATGACGACCGGTGCGGTCTTGTGTCGCCACAGGCTCGTCGTCGATTGTCCCGTAGGCAACACTTTATGTAAATGGGGCTGCCGCCGGGTTGCTCAATGTTAGTGATATCTTCAGATCCAAAGAGGGGCGCCCATATGTTCGTTGTCGTCCTTCTCGGTCGCGCCCAGTGTTTTTGCCTGTGAGAAGGAGTTTTGCGTTCATGTTTTAGTACAAATTAACCTATCCTGCTAGCTTTGATGACGACGCGTGAACTTCGAAATGTCCAATGATGCAATGAAGAAAAGACTCCCAATTTGGCGCAGTTTGTACACGACAGCTGTGAGCCGTGTGCATAATTTCGTCGCCGGAGTGATTTCACTGTCGCCATTGACGTGCCGACCATCGAGTTCTGCCATGCTTTCGCGCTGATGGGACTCCATGTCTCAAAATGACTGATTGATCTTGTCCCGTTCCAGAGCGAACCTAAAGGCCGACTTCACTATGGACATCGGAACTGCAGTTGCAAAAAGCCAGTAATCGAGCTTCCCGTTCTGGGGATCTACTTTCTTGAGTGTACCAAGGAGTCTTCAGGGAGTAAAGGTCATTATCATCGTTGACACCAGAGTCGACGCGAAGAAGAAACACCCCTATCGTCACTTTACAAGCGGTATTAGATCTTTCTGTTTTCTTTCCTTGGAGGGTGGCACAGCATGTCTAGAAGTATTTAAGTGTACCTCCTGTTCGATGAGCCCTCGTCATTCAAAAAAATTTCAACACGAGTGAGAGAAACGAGCGGTACATGTTGCATATTCCCGTCATACGCCATGTATCCCCCAAAGGAAGAGATCTACATCTGTTTATCTTCTTGTGTGCCAAACGCCTTCCATTCCTTGATAAATCTAGAGCGAGCGTCCTCTAGCGAAAGTTTCTCGCCATTGATGAATGAATCATGCAATCCCACAAACCAATGGCCTTTCGCACCGCCAAATTGCACAATGATCTCGGACCTATCCCTGCCTTCCTCTAACCAACCCTTTCTTATCGGAAGTTCCACTCCGAAGTTATCACGATTGTCGGCTGTCTGAATGAAAACCCGCCGACCGTCCATGGGTATTTTTGCCGCACTCAGGTTAGGACCAGGTGTGACTGGCCTTCCAGGCAAGATCGTCAAAGACCGTACAAAGCGAGCCCTGATACCGAGTAGCGATCCAGCAAATGTGACTCCAAATAAAAATTGGCCTGCACAAAGCCCCGCCCGTTGCCACGCGGGTCGGAGAACCCATTCCATTTCCGTCGGGGCGGCTGTTTGATCGTCCTTTGACGCCGACTGTTCAGAGCCAGACACTTTCTTTGGAACCCGTTGAGCCCAATAGTTCCATGTAAACCCCGTGGCAGTACCGCTAATTTCGACATATTCAACAAAGTCATCTTGGAGGAAGAACATCGGTGACGACTCACGTAATGAGCACGTCTACAGCGATGAGGCCAAGAGCCCATCTGCTCCACCAGGGAGGAGTACGACGGAAAAGAGGTGGCTTGACCTGATGTTCAAGAGAAGTGATTGGAGGGTGGCCAGGCTTGGTGCAGCGTCCGCCAGTTCTTGAAGACATTGGCCGAACGAACTTGGCAGTCTGTGATCGGAAAGTACAAAAAAGCAACAGCCATAAACATGAGCGCTTATTCGAATCCAACTCAGCGAGCTCAAAGTTTGTCACGTCCAACACAGTAGGGAATATGTATAATTATACTTCTTCAGTTGTACAAGCGATTTTACAAAACAATAATGGACTCCCAAAATAAACCTAACCGCAGAATTCGAACCCGGGACAACCAATTGAGGTGCCGTATACTGCCAACATTATATTAGATGATGTCGATTGTGGTTGTTAAAAAGAGAAAAAAACTTACCACCTCCATCTACACCGGCGACGGCCAACAGGGCTTGGAAGACACCACCTAGACCTTCTCCTGCCAAAAGACCAGCTGAGATGGCGAACATGTACATATCGAAGCTTCCTGGGCTGCGCAACAGCCAAATGTAGTTGAAGACAGATCCAACGGCCATGGCAATAGAGTAGTACACTTGGGGTACAACAAAGGCAAGACCAACGGCGTTCCAGTTGGGGACCCAGTGCCAGTATTTCTTGGGAATGAAGAAGTGCTAAGGGAGCGTTAATACCAGAGTTCGATCACAATGATAGAGAGTAGCGGACCTTGACTGCAAGAGAGACCATGCTGAAGATCCCGAGGGCAATAGCCGTGTACCCAGACGATGCGGGAATCGCTGATTTAAGAGAATCAGAAAATGGACAATGTTGATACAAGAACAAACGTACGAAGCTTGGGGCTGGTGACTGCGACGGCAACAGCAGCCCAAGCGGAAACTGATGGAGCACCATAGGTGCAAGCGCCATCCTCGGGTGGGTATAAGATGCAAGGAGAGGCTTTTGTGAATAGAATGAACAGTCCGGTGGTCAAGAAGACGGCGACAACGGAGCCAGCCAACTGAGCAATGAACTGATTTTTGGGTTTAGCGCGAAGGAGGTAGCCCGTCTTCAAATCACCGGTCATGTCGGCCGACTGGGCGGCAGAGCCACCAGCGACGACACCACCCACCAAGTTCAGCATCTTTGCGTTGTTAGTTGCGATGCCGGTGCCTTTTCCGATGCCTCCGAAGATGAGTTGAGAAGCCTTTTAAATGGGTTAGACGATGGTAGAAAAGACAAAAGGTGATGCTGACCTTGGCAACAGTTGAGACGGGGTTGAGATCAGTGTGACCGCTGGATTGCACGGCGATGAAGGAGAAAATGAATCCGAGGATGAGAGCAAGGATGGCTTCACCGACGTTCATGTGGAACTCGGTGGCAAGGATAGCAACAGACATGACGGTACTGGCTGCGAGACCAGTCGTCCACCACAACGTAGGGATACGATCCTCCGCCGGGGTCTGATCCTCATCTTCGGGGTCGATCTCATTGCGCTGCCGGAACATGGCTATGGGATTGAACTTAGTACCCTTCATGCCTGTGCGACTCATGTCAGAGCTGATTACTCGATCCATAGAATGAAAGGATATTTACCCTTGATGATAGGTCCTAAACTGAGCACAACGTCGGCAAAGGAGTAAAGCAACATCATCAAGACACCGGGCCACAAGAGCCAGTATCTTGGAGAGGGGTGATTGACGTATTTTTCGGGATCTTTGAAGGACAGTCCGAGGTATGAAATAAGGGGAAATTCGTCGCTAATGGGTGAACCAAACGCAAGACCATTCTTAACAAGAGCAGGTGAGACTAAATGAGAGAATGACATGAGCTTATGTATCTTATGTATATCTGGGTGTGGTCAATATGCTTACTGATTCCCCATGCCAGGACAGAACCGCCAACTATTTCGGACATGAGATTAACTTCAGTAGTGAGAAAATTAGATGCGTACAGAAACTCCAACTGGCGTTTAAGCCGCTGAGCATACCAGCACCAAAGAAAGCAGGGGTAACTACAGAATATAGGTTAGATGGGTAGACATTAAGATAGAAACAGAGGGCATACATTCGATAAACCAGCCGTAGTTTTCCAGGGATATCATACTCGTAAAGCCAAGACGGTATAGAGTCCAACCGATGTGCCAATCAAAGATCTTATGATACAGGCTGAGTACGGCGGAAAATGATAGATCATGGATTGACGTACAATACCAGGCGCATATCCAGTCATGACCTTGTACACAAAGATGATTGCGAAGGAGATCATCAACGCCATGGACTTTTTCTTGGCAGCGATGGCACCACTCTTCCCGCTGTGAAGGGAGCGAATGGTATATGCCTATAAATAGATCTTGTTGAGATGCATATCCAAATGGGACAAGACGGAAACTCACAGTCGCGGCTGGTGTTGGGAACGTAAGCTTCTGGTGTACGATGTAATATTTGCGCAACGGAATGACAAAGAAAACACCAAAGAAGCCAGCGCAGACAGTCAGGGCGATCAACTTCCCAATATCTTGCTGGGGAAGCGTCGAGAGAAGGTTAAGGCGGTACATGGCCGGAATGGCGCCGACAAAGAGGATACCAAGGCCTCCAGAAGCGGTGGCAGCCCTACAATAAAAGTAAGTATCTCGAACCTGGGGAAGAAGAAATGCAGACGTACGACTGAACCGTACAGTTCTCCTTGGGACCGAACGGACCCCCCAAGAAACGACCCAGAAGGCCCGATTCGGGAATTATCCTGGCAATGAGTTTCAGAATAGCAAAACCGAAGATAGCCTGTCTCGATGGGTCAACATCGGTTCTGTGCCAGAATCACATGGTACTCACACCGAAGAGTTGGGGACCGAAAGTAAAGCCCGTCTTAAGGCCTAGATAGATGTTGGAGGCTCCAACAACAGCGCCAAGGAAGCATCCGACGAACACAGCCCTGGTAAAGATCAGATGAAGCTACAAATCCCAGGAGACGGTAGGCAAACCTAAAGGTGAGCTGGTGGGTTTCCTCTTCATAGGCTGGATCTATGGGGAATGGCCGCGATCTACGTTCGAATGTCAGGAGTAGCGACAACAAAGAGCAAGGATGGTTGAACGTACACGTCGTGGTCATCAATAGTCTCCTGCTTTTCAAGGGGACCATCCTCCGGAGCCAGCTTCTCGTCGGAGTAGACTTCCTTGATATCGTTCGACTTGCTGTAGGACAAAGGCACCGACGGGTCGAGTTGGGAGCTCATGGCTAAACCCAATTGCGCCTGGGAGACTGGCTACTACAAGAGGGGGGTTGGGACAAGGCAACAGAATCCTGTCCGTTTGGCTTTTGAAGGATTTTGAGATGACGGCAATAGATAGGAGATTTGATTGGTGAGGCGAAGAGCACGGACAAGAGCTATCATGCGGGTCGACGTCTCGCATGGTTCTCTTCGTTGTGGGATACTTGTACAGTGTGCATCACTTCTCGCACCTTGAGGTTCTTTCCCGATTCCGAGTGCCGCTGGGTTTCAATCATTCCTTGGCACAGCAATTTTGATTTCTCGAAACTCACCCGTCGTTCAACGCCAAGCTAAGCTCTGCACCGTTCAATTCCAGCATTGACCCCTTTTCACTGTTCCTTTCTTCAAGGAGCATACCCGCGCTTAACTGTTGAAGTTGAACCTTCATATTGTTGAGTAGCCAAGTCACCGCGTGCAACGTGCTGGTAAAGATCATCAACCAATTACGTCGCGTCCAGGCGCGTTCGTGTAGAACGTACATTCGGCTACATATGGCGTGAGACCACCAAACCCACCACCTTTCACCGCGCCTGTCAACAGCTGTCAACGGCCACAAATGCGTCGAGTCAGGAAATTCGCAAACTTGACATCACATGGAGATAACGGAACGCTTAAACGTTAAATGCAAAACTTCTTCCGTGGGCCGTATGTCGACGATATGAGATGATACGATGAGAAAGCGCATTAAGAATTTGGAGTCATAATGGCGTTTGTAAGTAGGTGTGTCGGCCGAACCTGCTTATTCGATCGCGCTCTGTTTGGCTTTATTGAATTTTGCGCCCATAGCACTTGCCAAGCCCAATGTTTAATTATAGACCCTCCTCAGGAGAGTAAGTACTTACTTGCTTAACGAATACACCACTCATTCCCGGCGTCTTATGACCAGAATCTTTCTCTTAGGGGAGCTCACATGCCCTCATGCACCATGTTACCCCACAAGTTGTGGGGTAAAAGACCGAAATCTAGAATGTGGTCTTCATTTCATTTGTATCTTGATGACAATTACCGCGATTCGCATTTTGCCTGGACGGATCCACAATGAAATTTGTCATTAAGGTTTCAAGCGCGCGGAAATATATGACAATAATCTTTACTGCCGCAATTTAATTATCAGAGTATCAACATACCCGAAGGACCTGGCTCGAGGGAGCACTTGTCACTCGCGTATCAATAATACAGGTGGGTTGCATGCCCCTAAATTTTCCAATCGATTAACAATATGATGAGCAGTTGGTGTAAGTTGTCGTGCGAGTTCCATATGTGGTTCTGAGTAGGACGTCCAAATCAATATCTTCGATCGCCATAACACGCACGGACTGAAAAATTTCACCTCTCTAACGGTCTGCCTGCCTTAAGGCGATTCAAAACTTGATTAGGGCCACTCGTTTATTGACCGTTCTACATAATATGTCTGAATGCTAAACTAATTCCAACAAAAAAGGGGGTGTACACGAGTAACATCTATTCTTCCCTTGAAAGAATCATTTTTTCATTGATTCGCCTCAAGTACCAGCCATGCCCACAACGCCGACCTGATCACGAATCTTCGCAATCTCACTCGGCGTTAGCGAGCCTTTCGTCGCGCACAAAAAGTCCTCAAACGCCAGATACGCGTCGGCAGGAGTAACGAATTCCAACCTAGTAAAACAACAACATGACGTCAAACACCGAAGAGGAGGGGGTTAACAAGGAAGAAAAACATACTTCAAGAACGCGTATAACCTCTCCCAAAATTCGGGTTTCACCACAGTGGTGTAGTACGTTGATTCCTGCTGGACGACAGGGCTAGGCATAGTGCCTGCATCGAGCGTGAGCATAATATCCTTCTCCACTCCGCCCAGATTATCATTCGAAGGTGAGGGGGAAAGCACCACAGACGGGATGCGTTGATGCTTCTTGCCACCACTAGGTTTCACGCTGGGGCTGGGTTGCAACGACGAAGGAGACGGTGAGGCCATAGTAGTAACTTCAGGCGATTTAGGCGTAGGCGGCTTTGTAGGATCCCAATCAAACCCAGGTTTGAGCACAAGATTGACAGTGTCACCGTTCTTTATGCTATACTCTTGAAGAAGCTTCGCGTCAGCGAGTGCTTTGCCTTTAAGGAGGAGGCGTTGCGCGTCTGCGGGTGGAGCGGTGGGCTGAGCAGCGAGTTGTGCTTTTATAGAAGATATGGTGTCTGTGGGTTGGACTGAAACCGTGTAGGAGGCAGGAGGCTTCAGGGACTTGAACACGAGCGAGATGGAGGCTGTGTTATGTAATGTATTAGAACGAAAAAGGGGTCAGCGTGTGTTATTAGGTGGATGTGGCGCATGATATCTACGTACCCGAGGAAGAGGTAGACGTTTGTGATTGGGTTTTACGTTCGGGGGGCGGGGGGACAGGAATCTGAAGGTGTGGATCAGCGCAAAGAATCGAAACGATGAGTGTGCATAGGGACCTGGAGAACGGGAACTCTCTTGAGAGAGTTCTGTGATGGTTGCTGGTAGTCATCGGAATAGGTGATGGGTTGCGTTGATAGGGTATTGAGGAATGTCCTGGCAAAAGCTTGTTCTGCTTGTTCTGCTGCCATGGTCCGGTGTGAAATATCAGATGAGGCTCAGGGGTGTTAAAATGAATTCAAAGCTGCTTGAAGGCGCGTGAATCAATTCCAAAAAAACGAGGTGCAAGTGCGCAAAAGACTGCAAAAGAGGGTGCAGATTTGCAAATGAAGTAAATGAGTGCAGGATCGCGTCGTCGTTACTTGGCCGTCACGTCACGCTGCTCCGGCATCAACCTTTCTCTGCATTGTAAATCATGGCGGTATGTTCTGGTTCCTTGAGGACCCCCATTTACTGTCAACTAATGCTTTGAAATTTCTATAGTCAGGCTTTGGCTGGGGCGGAGGTAGGCTTTCTGCAGCTATCATCTTTTAACACTCACCCTCTTTTCCAGGTCGTTCACGATGCTTTACCTACTGGCAGGAGTTCCAGAAAGTGAGCAAGGCAGAACCAACCTGCCCCGACGTTTATTATTGACATGGTCACCTACAGTGCTACGCGCAGACAGACAACCCCATTGAATGCCGCCCCCAATCCCGTGACTATCTAGAGTGCCTCCACCACCCTCAAGAGGCTAGTTAGCTCCCTCAGCCTTCGACTTGCTTTCTAACGATTCTTATCTCTTTTCAGGTTACGCGTGCAAAGATTGTACAGGAAGAGTTCATCCGCAAAGTGGAGCACAGCGCCAAGGAGGGGCGTAAAACTGCAGACGTCCTTGCTGAGGGTTCTATCGTCGGGGTGGGATTAATACAACGTGGGGGCAAGGGAGATGGTGAGGCGAAGTAGGTCGCGTATCTACCCTTTTGAATGCAAAACCCTGGACATACACTGCCCCTGCTTCTTCTCTTCAACCCAAATCGGCGTTGTATTGAAGACTCCGTTGTGCTCCTGATCCCGGCCGCTTTGGCACAAGCCCACATATTTTCAAGCACCCACAACTATTGTCCCACTTCTTCTGAAAGGTCAATGTTCTACACAAGTATATATACTACAGAATACACTTCAGTTTTGAGAAGATAAATACAGTCGACACACTAAAGCGCTAAGATGGCATACCCTCGCGCCATGGCAAATTCACAACACCAATCTGGTACTCCGGTAATCGTTCGTCATGATAGTTATCATCTTTGTGAGATAAGGTAGGCATGCCAATGATGGCTGCAACCTGTATGGATTCCGGCGGTTCGGGCTCTACTTCGGATTCGTTAGAAGCTTGTGTTTCGTCCGCATGGCGCGGTCGTCGCAGCCATGACGGAAACATGGAAGAGGAAGGAGAAGTTTGCCCTTCAGGCGGAGGCACGTTGAATTCTGATGGTGTGGATTGATCTCCACTCCGAGGCTCTTCCGTCTGCTTCCTCACCACTCTCACGGATAACGGCTATTTTTGTCTGGTCAGCAGCAAGGCAAGAAAATAAAGAAAAAAAGCACACACATTTAAATTGTCCCAGCTACTTTTGCCATCCGAAGCCACGAAAGGCGTCTCGAAGAACGATGGCCTGGGCGGCAACATCTCTTTCGGCATACACTGCGGATCCAACGTTGCCAAGAACAGTGCCCGCCTCCGCGCGAACCTCCGCCTTGAGCCAATTCCACAACCGATAAATAAGAGGAGGAGTACGACGAAGGTGATAAGGAAGCCGAAAAAGTAATTTGCGCCGCGTTGCATGCTGCTACCTCCACCACTGTTGCCGCCGTTCGTCGGCGATGGAGAGTCTGATGGCGGGGCGGTAAATGTGGGTGTGATTGTCGAAGACATTAGACTGCCTCCTAGCGCCCTGCGATGGGGCATTCGTTATGGTTGAGTTGTAGAGTTATATCTCATGTCATACATAACCTTCTGTCGGTCAATGACCATATAAGGCTAAAGTCATTGCATCACGACAACGGAAATTCATGCTAATAATTATAAAATGGCAGAAATAATACAATGCGATAAACCAAAGACTACAGAAAGATTACAAAAGGTGAACGACCAAAGAGCCTCAAAGCTCTTGGCTGACGCCTTCGTCTTTCCTTGATTTGCCCGACTTCGTAGGCAACAGTTCCTAAGAGGGGGACGTGAGTGGACGATAAGAGTGAATCGGGGGGCCAACGTACGGGTGCGATATGTGGCACAACACCACCTTGGGAGATAACGACGTTTCCGAGAAGCTTTTGAAGTCTGAACGAAGACAGTCAGAAAAGAAGGCATGAGGTCGTGAAGATGACTCACTCTTCGTCGTTCCGGATGGCGAGTTGCAGGTGACGCGGCACAATACGTTGCTTCTTGTTATCACGAGCAGCGTTGCCAGCAAGCTCGAGAATCTCAGCGGCGAGGTATTCCAGGACAGCTGCTAGGTAGACTGCAGGGGAAAGATTCAGAAACATGTCCCAAATACAAAGTTGCCCTGCTTACCTGGCGCACCAGCACCAACTCGCTGAGCATAGTTGCCCTTCTTCAACAGCCTGTGTACACGACCAACAGGGAACTGGAGGCCAGCTTTTGACGACCGGGATTGGGATTTTGAGCCTTCACCGCCCGCCTTGCCACCAGACGAAGATTTGCCAGCTTTTCCTTTGCCAGACATTGTATATGCGAAGATTTGGTTGGGTGAGGGTGGGTTAGGTGTTAAAGTGAGTGCTTGTGGCGGATGTGGTCGAAGAAAGGAAGCAAGAATGGGGCCGTCATGGATTGCTGCTCTTTATACTGGAAAGAGTGGCAAGCAAAATAAGGTTTGGGGGGACTGCGTCACGTGTGTGTGGCCGCGTTTGTCCCATTCAACAAAGACGCGTCAAGACTTAAACAAGACCAAAGGATCGCGTTTGTATTTATACCACCTCACATTGTTGGTCTCGCCACCGACGCTTCTTGCCCTCAACCATACCACTCGCCACCACCGCCACCTAACTTTTACTTGCCCATTTACCGTCACCATCTCTCATGGCTCCTAAACCCGCTTCCACCGCTGGCAAAGCCCCAGTCTCGACCGCTTCCAAGGCTCCAGCCAAATCGACGGAGGGTGCAAAGGCAGCCAAGAAGACAGCGAAAGCCGCAGCGCCTGCTGATGGGGAGAAGAAGAAGCGAAAGAAGGTCCGAAAGGAGACTTACTCCTCATACATCTACAAAGGTATGCGTCGTTCCTGATACACATCTAACTTAAATTGATTCCTTTTCAGTCCTTAAACAGGTCCACCCCGACACCGGTATCTCCAACAAGGCGATGGCCATCCTCAACAGCTTCGTGAACGATATCTTCGAACGGATTGCCACTGAAGCTTCTAGTACGTGTCATTTCCACTGCCTCATTTTACGCGATCTAACGCGTTTTATCTCTACCAGAACTCGCTGCCTACTCCAAGAAGTCCACCATCTCATCACGCGAAATCCAAACATCAGTGCGACTCATTCTGCCCGGTGAACTCGCCAAACACGCAATCTCAGAAGGAACCAAGTCGGTAACGAGTATGTCATCCTATGGATCTCCCTTGCCGGCATCGCTAACAACGTGTCCGCAGAGTTCTCATCGGCGGGCGCGAAGTAAAATGTTTTGGATCTCTGTCTTTCCTCACGCATTCTGTACAGCACTGTATTTATGTTAATTATCTCCCATCAATTCTCATTTACATTCTACGGGGTCAAATCAAGTCTTGAGTGGCACAGCGAGAGAATCGACTTTGTTCTGCTTGTGGCACTGTAGTGGCTGAGGCTGAGGTCGAAATTAGGTGAGTTTGTGATTCTGACGGAAATGGAGGACTGACGTGTCATTTCAACAGATCTAACGATAATCGTGATCCAGTTACGCGTCAAAAGGGATGACAAGGTTACGCCAGGCGCTGCCAGGCGTCAACGGTCAAAGTAAGATGCCCACTCTGCAACGTGGATCTGGACTAATTCTCTTAGGGGGATAGGCCGCGACATTAGGGCTTTTCTTGATTGACAAACACTGGTTTACGGCGCGAAAACGTATGACCTAGGGCAAAATGCTCACTGCGACCACCAGATCCTTCCATCACCATCGTCACTTGTCTCCCATATGTACCAGAAGACGCCCTCGCCACCATTCTCTAATTCAGGGCTTTTACGCGTATCAACTTGCAAACCAAGCAAAAACCAAGGAGTCTCGGCGGATGACGCAAGATTGAAGTTGTCGACGTGACATTGCGCCTAACTGATGTTCGCTTACCCGGTTCTGCCTTCTGTCACACTAATCGGAAAACTCTTCATGTCAGTGGTGTCAATTTTTGGACCGACCCGAATACTTTATTGGAGGGATGTTGGCTGGCAAGCGAGTGGCGACATAACCCTCGAAAATGGGATCCGACGCCCTTCCGCTGGTAAATTTGGTTGTCGGTTCTCCGCTGTGAACTTCTTTTCTGCGGTTTTACACATACCCAGGCCTCCCATATCCCGTATCAGTCGCTCCACGGCTCCTTTTCTCTCTGGATAAGAAGAAGGAAACTGAAGACATGATCTGATCTAATAAACCTTCCGAAGTTCATACCACGTTTGAATTCTTAAAATTGTCGGTTGTAAGACTTGGCTTCCTAGTCCCCTTCATTTACCAGTATTTCACATTGTCCGTTACGTTGGTTTCCCGTACACGCGTTATGAAGAATTTTGCATTGGACAGCGATAAATACCAAAAATTTGTCAATTCAAGTTATCAAAAAAAATCGCAAAGACGACAGCTGATCAATATCAGAAATTGAAGGTGTACCTGGAAGGAAATTCAACCAGAGGGTGTAAGATGCTTAGAAGTGACACACGTTGTAGGTACATTGCTCTGTTTCAATCCAGTGATGGGGATAGGGATACCGAGCTTTCCCTTGATGGTAGCAGCACTATCAGAGTGCTTTAGCATGTGGAAGCTAATCAGTGCATGGACAATTCGACTGACCGAAGATACACATCCGTCGTGATGAGGTCCAATACTCCCAAGGGAATAATGTCGAGGGAGGCCATAGCTCCCTGCGTGAGGAGGACGTTGTCGACAGTTCCCGAATTGTTGGTCTTCAAGGGAGGAACGACGAATCCTCCCGGGAACTTGTGGTCGAATGTAGCGTAGACCGTTCCGTTGATCCCAGCAGAGCTGACGACACGATCGATGGTGAGCTCCAGAATAAGCGGGTTCTTAACTTGAAGGGGTTCAGCTTTAATTGGGAGGATGAAGGGGTTTTTAACGGTACCATCAAAGTTGATGCTAAGGGGGTTCAGAGCCTGGTTGTTGGCATTGTTTTGAGTAGAACGACAAAGGGGGCTCACGAGATAAGGTTGGTCGTCAAAGTATCTAGCTAAAGGCGAGACTTCAGCAGATATAATTTTGGAATAAAACTTTGAAGCGTACGGTGAGGAAAGAATTGATTTTGGTGACAAGCCCGAGCCCGAGGGCGTTGATAACATCGCCAATGAAATCACGGCTTTCAACAGTCGGAGCTGCACTGACGGAGACGAGAAGGTAGCTCCAAAGAGCGAACAGGAGTGTTCCAATGCGCATAGTTTCGCCCGTTTTCGATGTTGAATGTGAAGTTCGATAGGGAGACGACAAATCTCAACCTGATTTCCTCGAATCATATATATAGGACCGCGCCCACGTTGAACGATTTATTAATCGCACAGGTGTCCCACAAAAAGGATCGTCGGTGCGGTCAGATGATTGCTTTCGAGGAACAGATCGTGCATGGAAGTTTATTATGGTAGAGAGAAGACGTGCTTCCTCAGTACTTGTGACTCGTTGGCAGGATGGTCTGCAATGGCGTGTGGTCTCGTGTAGTATGGTTCCAGTCTTGTAAAAATCACGGACCCAGCTGCCAGGTCTGATCTAGGGCACCGGAAGGCCAACAAAGGTCCAGATAAGACCGTCAAAGTACGGGAAAGATGATTGAGATTTGATGGCGTCTTCTGATGATATATATCGTCTTCCAAGGACATACACCCCGAGCTCCCCTGCAAAAATGCTTCATCGATGTCGAGGACTGGAGTCATGGTCAGAATCGTTTCGCCAGTCGTTGTTCTAGCCCCTATGTATGCCATAAATAAAATGTTAAATTTTTGACAAGTCAAACTCCACACGTGCCAGAGTGAATTTCAAGGTTACTTCGTGACTCCTTGTTCGTGACGAAATCCTCACTCCTCCTCCTGCGTATCGTTTCATAGAATCTGATAATGGCAGACGCTGGTGAATATGGCTAAACTATCCCACCTACGGCTGTTTTTTCTAACGATAGGTGTCTAGGTTTCTTCAAAGGCACTTCCGCCGATCAAGACAGACGATTTTCTGACAAGGAGCTGAAGCTACTCAAGTCTATGAAGTTTCCTGCTCATTTTGAGAAGAAAGTAAGCCGGTAATTGACATTGTTTCTCTTGGAATGTGGCTAACAAATTATTAGGTGGACATGCGGAAAATCAACCTGACAGTCATACGACCATGGATTGCCAAGAAAATTATTGAACTTGTGGGCTTCGAAGATGAAGTTGTCGTTGAGTACGCTATGGGACTGCTTGAAGACGAACAACAAACTGTAAGCGCTCATTCTACATATCCAAAGCATCAACTCAATAGGATGAATTTGCAACAGACACCAGATCCTAAAAAGATGCAAATCAATTTGACAGGCTTTTTGACCAAGGACACTCCAGCCTTTATGAGTGCTCTGTGGAAACTACTTCTTGAAGCACAGGAAGAGGTTTCTGGTGTGCCACGCACCTTTGTTGAAATGAAGAAAGAGGAAATGCGACGTGCGCGAGAAAATGATACGAGAGCTATTGACGAGCGAGATCGTCGGTCCCGACTTGACGAGATGAGGGATGGCGATGACCGTGGAGGAAGAGGGGGGAGAGGTCGTGGTGGACGGGGCCGGGGAAGAGGGGGGCGGGGTGGGTTTGATGACGACCGTGGAGGCAGACCTCGTGATGGAGGTTGGGGAGCAAGAGGTGGAGGACCTGGACCTGGCGGATTCAATGGAGTCAGTGTTTTTTCTTCTTTCTTCCAATGAATCGTGCCAATACTTTCTATTATCAGGGACACGGACGTCGCATTTCACGTTCTCCACCACCCCGGCGTCGGTCGCCGTCTGACATAAGGAGCTCTCTCTCTCCGGTCCCGATGCGCAGGCATCGTTCACCCCCACGTCGTCGCTCGCCATCTCGAGACTCCCGGTCTCCTGAACCAGTCAGGCGGCGGTCTCCACCGCGTAGATCACCACCCAGGCGTGCTCGTTCGCGCACCGTATCTCGCTCTCCTCCTCCTGCCCGTCGCAGGCCACGTTCTCCTTCTTTCACTCCCCCAGTCCGAGAGCAAAAGCGCAGGTTCCGAGATAAAGACAGCCGCAGCCCACCAGCGAGGCGTCGTCGTCTCTCTCCTGGTGTCCGGTCCCGTTCTGATTCTGTCAGCCGTTCTAGGTCACCTCCGGCTCGAGGATACCCCAGGAGGCGAAGTGTCAGTCCTCCACGCAGGAAAAGAAGTGAAAGCCCGCCCCGGCGGCGTAGAAGAACTCCTTCTGACGCACGGTCGTCCCCTTCGCCTCCACCTCGTCGTCGGAGTCCCAGCGGAACGAGACGCCCTGCTGCTGGAAAGAGTTCTCGACGCCTCAGCCGCAGCCCAAGCCCTGATTCGCGCTCTGCGTCTCGGTCAACTGGACGACGTGAGAACAGGATGGAGGTAGACGCACCTAGCACCGGTCCAGAGCTCAAGATCAAGGGACAGGCTGAGATTGAAAGAAGGAAAAGTAAGTGGGAGAATGAAGCTGCTGATGACGTGCGGATCCTGGCTTGATTTTTGTATTTTTTCAACGCTAATTTTTCTTTTGTTTAGAGAAAGAGTAAAGACGACTTGGAAAGACGAGAGAACGAGTTGAAGGAGAAAGCACTGCGGAACAAGGTTTTGAGGAGTAGGAAGGCGGATTAGACGAGGGAGTTTCTCAACAATGCGTTCATTTTTCATTACTTCCTCCAAAAAAAAGAAACAAGGCTTAGTGCTTCTTTTGTACAGCGTTCTCTTTTTATTGTGCTTTTTCTAGTGGGATGTGGCTTGTCACTTGTTCATACTTACACACACGATCGTCGGTTTGCTCCTTTTTTACTACGCCGTTTTTAAAATACTGATCCTGTATATTCAAGTCCTTTCGTATCATAAGGCAGGAATGATCAATGATTATGGGATCTGTCTCTTTTAAGTGCGCATACAATACTGACTCGACGTTAACAGTCGTTCTCCCTCTTTGTCAAACCAACAAATCAGTCCTAATCAGCAAGTTTTTCAAGACCTCCACCCTGTTGCGACGTAGCTTGTCTGACTGTTCCTGGAAAGATGGTTGGCCTATGCTTGTGCTTTCAACGAGCTTTGTTGCGCTCTTCGTTCACACTGTTCCAGGTTATCAAGAGGTCCTCAACTACCCACTCACTACTTCGTTCAACGTCGATCAGCATTTCCTATCCTTGTTTACACTATATCTAACATGCCACAATAGAGCCTGTCATTTCTAGGTTTTTGATGACGATGTCATGTCGTACTACCAAGGTTCAGTAAGCGTTTCCGGTGGGGAGCAGGGTCCAGGGCCCAAGCGTCTGGTGTCCATTTCAAAGGCGTAGTATGATGAGTGAACGGTAGGGTGACTCAAGTACTTTCAAGTATAATCCTCGAATAATCGCCGGTGTTGTACCATGCGCAGCAATGATATATTTCTGCGTAGTTTGAACGGCTACAAAATTGTTTACCATTGTGTATAAATTGGAGCACGTGGAAGGACACGTCGATCACGGTGGCCTCGGCAAGAGTCACTTGTGTCATACCAATTCAAGTCTATCTTAAAGACGCTTATCCCTTTACCTCACCTCCAACACACACCCCTCCCTCATGGCCCGCTCAAAAAAACACGCAGCACAGAACGGCTCTTCTTCAATATCAACATCCACCGAAGACCTCTCCAGCAACAACGACGTGAAACAACTCCTAACACCCTCATCTCCCGATAGACCTACGGGTCCCCTGTCCGTCGTTATCCCCCCTGAAGACAGAGAGGTCGTGAAAGTGAACAACGCGAGTTTTACGGAGCTCAAGAACGCCTGTGACGATGCTGTCAAACGCGTGAGTCTCCTCTGCTCCCACCTCATTGAGTGGAAGCTGATCATAATGCACACAGTATCTATCAAGACCCGACTTGTTCAAGCAGATCCATCTGCATACTGATATCCGGTTAGGCCTGGGGTGGCTTAGCGTGTTCGTGGCTGCTGGTACCGCGCTGTATGGGTACAAAATCGACTTTGAAAAATCAAAACCGGTCGTGACCATTGGCCTTGTCTTGTGCGCATCTCTCTCTCTTCTCCTCTTCAGCCGCTCAGGCTCATATGGGTATGATAGGTACATGGTCCTCACGGCCCTCTCAACGCTATACGCCTACTTTATTGAGGGCGAGACCGTCTTTGTCGGGAAACGAAAAACGTTTTCGAAGAGGGTAGGTTTTTGGAACATCGTCATTTACACCACTCCAAGTACTGACGTCTTTGTTGTTTTACAGATAATAACTGAAAGAATAAGCCTTTCCTCACACACCGAGCCCGTCGCTGGCTCCAAGCCCCCTGCGTACCAACTGGCACTGCATTATGTCCGCTCAACGAACGGCGGCAAGTCGCTCCTTGCCAAGGGCCGGACGCGCGGCGTGAAGGGATACAACGAGTTCTTTGATGAGCAAGGAACGATGGATCAGGAGAGGTTTGAGCGCTGGGTTGGGGAGCTGGTGGAGGAGGCTATGGATGGGAAGGCTGCCTAGGCTTCTTGGCTCTTTCTGTGTTTGGGGTTTGGTATTGAAAACTTGCTTGTTGGTCACTTCTTCATTTTGTCTGTTGGACCGGCTTCAACCTCAGTTGTCGTACAATTCCGTCTAATCTCGTGTACAGATATTAGTATACCTTCCTACGTATGTTATGGCAAACCACCCAAAATTGTACTTTTTGTGGTTCAATGACGATTGGCTGCATTCGATGGGGTTAGGTAGAGTTTGAATTTAAGAATTCAAGGAGCCCCGGCATCCTTGAGACCCATGACCTTCTATCAACCAGATGACTTTTGCTTGATCTACCGGCATGAACGCCGGACTCGTAAAAGTGACGAAAATTCTTCTGCGTAACATTCATGACGAGCCCAGCCCATCATGGAGGGACGTTGGTGTTGGAGGGATTAAATACAATATATTCCAGCATGCACACAAGGTATGTAGTTCGACATGCCACCGACACAACAGAAATAAAATCAGTCGATAAGATACTTCCGCTTGAAGAACGCGCGAAGGTGGAATATTTGCCATACGCCCAAGCCAGCGAGGGATAGGATGGTAAACCAACCAAAGTTTTGTACGCGTTGATTCGTCGATTCTACATGTAAAACAAGTCAGAAACGACAGGAAACGTAGGGGAAAAGAGGGGACGACGCACCGTTGGTCTTTGTGAACCGCTCTTCCCGCTTCTTGAGGTATAGCATCTCGTCTGCGACTTCTTTCACTATTCCTTCGAGTTTGCGCATCTCTGTTTCGAGGCCGGATAGGGATTCTTGGTTGGCGATGGCACTGAGGAGTGAAAAAAGCGTCAATGCATGCAGACGCAAAGGAAGGAAGGAAAGAACGAAACTTGTAGTCAACGGCGTCTGCGCCAATATCAATGTCCAAGTCAATGACACGACTCAGTTTTGCCATTTCATCGTAAGATACATCTACATCACCAAGCGAGCAAGCGTAAGTCTTTACACACGAAAAAAAGCCACGTAAAACGGGAACATACCACCCTCAATATAATTCCTAAAACACACCCCAACCTCACCCTCACTATGACTCGTAATAGCCAGCCTCGACTCGGCTTTAATCCCTTTTTTACTAAGGTAAATGTTCTTTTGCGGACTCGAATCCACGATCTCGATGTCTACGCGCTGGTTGAGCCCCGGGCCGACGTTGGCTGTGACGATGACGAGGGCGTTGGTGTGGGCGGCGTTCCAGATGCATTTTTGCGGTGGGTAGCGGAAGGCTTGGAGGGAGAATTTGATGGCGTGCGTTGGTTGTGAGAGGAGGAGGAGGAGGGAGAGGAGGAGGAAGAGGGGGAGGGTGGTTAATGGGGATTGACGAGCCATGGCGTCGGGCAAGTGGTGAGTTGGTCGGGTATCAAGCGCAACGTGGACAAATATAGCAGTCACTCAAAAATTCCACTCGTGTAGCTCAAAATGTGGTTCATGTATTCTAATTCAACGTATAATTCCGTAGATATCTAGTCTATCTAGTCTATAATTGAGATTTTGTCCCAAGTGCTTTAGCCCCCCTCCCCTTGAATCCCCACCCAATCTGATTGGCCACATGAATCTCCACTCCAAGCCTATCAGCCATCTCCCAAACCTGTCCGGGGTTCTTCTGGAACTGCCGACCAACAAACACAACGTCCGCGTCGCCATTCTCCAACACGTCTCGAGCAACGGTCGCGTCATGAAGGGCTCCAACGGCCCCAACGAACAGGCTCGATCCGACAGACTTCTTGACGGCCGAGGCGAATGGGACTTGGTATCCTGGACCCGACTTGATTCTCTGGCGGGGGTCGTTACCGCCCGTAGAGACATCCAGCAAGTCGACTCCGTGAGCTGCCAATAAATGTGCAAGTCTAACGGTATCTTCTGTTCTCCATGACGCCTCGTTGGGCGCGCTTTCCTCCAACCAGTCTGTTGCGGATACCCTAACAGAATGAATATGCTGAATTTTCTAAGATTGAACGCACTTACCGCAAGAAAAGAGGTGTGCTGGCGGGTATCGTGGCTCTCACTGCGTCTACGACCTCCAGGGTTAACCTTGTCCTATTCTCAAAGCTTCCGCCGTATTCATCTGTGCGCTTGTTACTCACGGGGCTAAGGAACGACTGTAAGAGGTAGCCATGCGCGTTGTGGATTTCGATCACGTCGAATCCTGCAGCGATGGAACGTCGCGCAGCGTCTGCGAAGGCCTTTACAACGCGCTTGATCCCTTCTTTCGTCAACTCTTTCGGTGCAGCGTAGGATTTTGCAAAAGGAGTGGTAGAGGGACCCCAGACGTCGTCGGGCCAGCCATCGGCTTCTTTCACTGCTAGAACTGGTCCACTTTTCCATGGTGGGAGGGTGGACGCTTTACGTCCAGCATGAGCTATTTGGACGGCGATTTTCTGGTTCTGCGAGTGCGCAAACTCGACGATGGACGCCAAGGGCTTTATGTGGTCGTCTGACCAGATGCCTACGTCTTCTGGTGAGATGCGTCCTTCCGGAACGACGGCAGTTGCTTCGATGACGGTGAGCCCTGGCCCACGCGTGAATATGCCGCCAACTAAATTATTCCCTCGGTCAGGGTAAGTATTGTCATGGGCTTCTTGCAAGACTTACGGTGTGCCAAGTGCCATGGGGAGACAATGCCATTCTTTGCGGAATATTGGCACATGGGAGATACCTATGCAACTTGGTTAGCAACTCCTTGAAGAGCGGGAGAGGAAACACGCAACGAAGATCCTGTTCTGGAAGGACACTCCTCTGATAGTCAGAGGTTGGAACAGCTTTGGGATGGGTTTCCCATCTGGCTGAGGGACCACAGCCGTTCCAGCGGGAGGATCCTGGAGTGGGGTGAAGTAGGAAACTCCGGGAGCTGGGGTATTGTACTCGTAGTTAGTGGCCATGTTTTTTGAGGATAAATAAAATTGAACTGTGCTTTATAAGACGGTCCTCGTTCGCTTCCAAGTATTGATGAACCTCATGAGATTACTGGTGCGATGATCGGGTATGTGCGGTCCGAGTGTAACCTTGGGTTAGGGTTAGGAGAGTGCGGACTTTGTATCTGAAACTGAATTTCCTTTTCTTGTTGACAACACAACGGTCTCACTTTGTCTTTGCTTTCAACAACCACTGCTTCTCTTTTACTCGCTGCAATTTGAACATGGCTTCCTTTAAAACTGGTCCACGCAAGCCATATAGCGTTAGTTTCCACAATACTTCCTCTGGCGCCAACACTCAATGGACTTACAGCGTCCTACGGGTCCTCGAGGCGACGTAGACGGCCAATGGTTGCATGACAAGGCACCGACAGGCCCGAGAGCGACACGACAGAACATTGGGCTAGGTGTCAGCCCCGCGACAACGACAACTCCAAACAGCAAGCTTGTCGTCTCAAATTTGCACTATGAGATTACGCCGAAAGATCTTACTGTGCGACTACCCTTCTCTTCTCCTTTGTTCCCAATTACTCAACAACGCATATCCATTCAGGCCATCTTTGGACAAATAGGCACGCTCGTTCGCGAGCCATTAATCAGGGTACGACCAGCCCCCGAGCTTCACCTGATATAAGAAAACAAAAGCCAATGTTTCCGACCCCCCCCTCTGTCCCCCATTTTTTGGATTATGGCCTCAGTACGATCGAAGTGGCCGCTCCTCAGGTACCGCGTTCATCGCGTTCGAAACAAACGCCGAAGCAACTCGAGCGAAGAAGCAGTTTGATGGAATTCTTGCCAAGGGTAACGTTTTTATCTTCTCTATCCCCCCCCCGTTTTCAATGCTCCTTGGAAAGAAGCTTACTTGCTTTTAGGACAACCGATGGAAATCGTCTTTGACGCCTTGCCGCCTCGCAACCCCCGTCGATCAGCAAGTGTGCCCTCAACCTCGTCGCTTCTCAACAGAATACAAAAGCCGCCTCTGGTCGACCGACTCAGCCGCGACGATTCTTCTATCAAGACCCCCTCTGGACCGTACGTTTCGTCTCACTCATCAATCTTTGTCTGCACAACTCAACTATCGTTATTTACAGTCGCGCAGGAAACAACGTTGGTCCCATCCGCTCTCGACCAGGACGTGGAGCTGGTGGAACTGCCCCCGCAACACGTGCACCCAAAGCCCCCAAGAAGCCAAAAACTGCGGAAGAGCTCGACAAGGAACTCGACGCATTCATGGGCGATGCTCCGGAACCAGCTGCTGTGGCGGGGGAGAATGGGGATGTGGAGATGGCTTGAATAGACTGATAAAGCTCCGCAATTCGATCGGTTCTCTCTTTTTTCTTCTTGCTTGCTGTTGTGTAAAAATAATTGTTCCGTTACGCATCCCCCCTCAGGTATTGCTTCCGACGTTGGCTTAATGCACATAACGTATCTGCGTCAATGTTTGATTATCACCTACAGTTGTCCATAGACCATCTTCCTATCTAGCCTACAATTGATTTCTTACTTTGAGCTCCTCTCTTTATGTGTGAAATGTGACCTCCCATATCCTCGCACACGCATCGGCACCAGCGCTCACCAACTTCCCCGATTCGCCTCCTTCAAGCCAAAGCACGGCGTTTACACCACCTGGCCCAGCCTCCTTGATAGCGATGTTCTTCATCGGTTTCGCGACACTCCAGACGTACACGTTCGTATCGAGCGATCCAGAAGCACAATGCTTGGAGTCGGCAGTCCAGGAAAGTGAATTGATTCTTGCAGAGTGGAAAGCCCATCGAGAGGTGATTGTCTTCAAAATGGGACGGGTGAGTGATGCTGCAAAGATGAATGGAAGAAGAGCAAGACCTTTCTTTCTTTGACATCAAACAACACGATTTTGCCCTGCGACTGTACGAGGTTAATCACTTGTTGGAACCAGGGCGCATATGAAATAAATAACTTACATCTCCAGCAGCCAAATAATTTCCATCTGGGGAGAACGCAAGAGCCGAAACTGCGCCTTTGTTACCCTCCAGGATGGCGATTTCCTTCAACGATTTGCCGTCCCACTCGTTCAGGTATACTTTGTTGTTCTAAGAGGTTAAGCATGAACGAACATCATCTCTACATGTGTATGCACACTTGCCTCTCCACCAATAGCGATTGTAGAGCCACTCGCAGCGATAGAACTTGGTGCGAACCTTGGTTTCTGTTCAAACACTTTCTGGTTTGATCTGAATGCTTCGACGTGTTCGATTTCTGAAACGAAGACGGTCCCATCTGCGGCGACTGCGATGGACTTTGGCTGTGCGGCCGTACCGACTGATGCGGGTCTTTCAAGGGATAAATAATTTGTTAGAAAAAATAGCGCGAAGATAAATTTGAACTTACAAATAACTCTTGCCGTCACCTCCGATTTCCCGTACACGATCATCGTACCCTATTGAGTATACCTTTCCGTCAACTGGAGAAGCAGCGAGGCCCGTAACGAGATTCGAGTGACTTTCGCCGCCCAAGGTTGTTGACTCTCCAGTGTATGAATATACCCGACCATCAGCAGCGCCTGTAAGGAAGGTGGTGTCCGGTCTTGCTGGGGCAATCGCAGTGACAGCCTTTTGTGGAGCCTGTCATGTCTATTAGACGGCGGAACAGGTTATGAACAACTGGAGGGCTAACAGTGAAAATGCGGGAAGGTTTGTCTCCGATTCTGGGATCAAAGATGTTGAGGTCACCAGAGATGGAGAGCGAAACGAGGTCAGCCTGGCCGCTCCAGGTGTTTCCGATCTGCTGATGGTCGATTCCGGTCCCTAGTGTCCATGTTGTAGCCACTTTGCGGGTTTCAACGTCCCCTTGACAGAACGTTGTAAGGCTTTTGGCAAAAACACAATTTCAAATGTAACTTTACAGAGCTTGACGGTACAATCTGCCGAAGAGGTGAACAGAGACTTGCTATCAGGACTCCACGAGGCAGCCATCTAGAAGGCTTTGTTGAGCATGATGTTGAAAAAAATAGATTGAAACGGTTTAAACTCACGATAGATCCTTTATGCGGGCTCTCTGTGATCTCTGCCAGCGTGTCTCCTGTTTTGCCTTCGTGAAGGAAGATTTTCGAATCTGAGCCCACGCTCGCAAACTGGTCCCCAGATGGGGCATACTTCACATCTTGTACGAATTTCGTGTGAGTTTTTATCGTCTACAGAATTTGAACTCTCAAATGGTAACCTCAAATTGGATATGTAAAAACCTTTTCATACTTGAAGGGCACACCTGCATCCTGGGTAAAATAGGTACTTTGCCATGGCGTAAGCCGAGCTCACCGGTGTGGAACAAGATCAACCCGTCATCGCCTGCGGTGGCCGCCCGGAAAGGACGCTGATGTCGAATGGAGACAGCGTTGACCGCCTAAAAAAGTTCAATAAATCAACAAAGTTGTCAACGAAAAAGAGTCGCTATACATACCTTGGAATGACCGATGATCTCACCCGTAGATGAACCACTATCCATCATGAAAGCGTGGCCGAACCTGGTCTCAAGGCGTCAGTAGACATCCATCTTCTCGCACGAAGGACCAACTTGTCTCGACCATCTCCAACTGCAATTATCCTCTTGCCTTCCGAGTCCCAAGCGACATCATTTCTGCGAGGCAAAGTAGATCAATAGATTAAACGTGACACCAGACAAAAAACCTGGCTGCACATACATCCGCCCCGATATCACCTTATATTCACCCTTCAGAACTTGATCCTCTCCAACTGTATCCCACACTCGGACTAGTAAGGAAAATAAATTGTCAACTTTCGGATGGTAGATGAAGAATTCCCAGTTTACCCGTTCCTCCTGCATCCGCAGATGCACAGTAATACCCGGACGGTGATATACGCGCTACAGTTGCGTTTTGAATGTGCCCAGCATACGTCGTTGAAAGGCCAGGGTTCTAGCGAGAGAGATGAGCATTCGGATACTTAGATAGACGATCATGAGGACCGGCTTGCCTTTAAATCACGGATCTACTCTCGAGAATTAGTAAAATAGAAAGCAATGAAGATACAAAACCGCGCACGATGATTGTCTTTCCATTGGCGTAGATAACTTTGTCCTTTAGCGGCCCGTTTCCTGAGCTGAGTTTCGTAGAAACTCCTCGCGCGGTGGTTGGATTGGGCGGAAAGACTGTGGACTTCTTTGACGACATCGCAACGTTGAATGTCGATTCTGTTGAACTTGGTTGTTGTGAACCTGCGATCAACTGTGCAATCGCAGGCGGCAGGACATCATAGGGGCTGTTAGGAAACACGTGAGCTATTCTTCCCTCTCCTCATTCGGGGCTTCTGTCGGAATTCGACCATATGCATTCTTCCTTGTAAGTTCCTGTAAAAAAACGTTGTGTGAGTCAATTTTTTCAACGGCGACTGAGATCCATCGCTTTACGAAGTTAACGATATCAAGATAACAAAGTAAAGTGAGGTAAAGTGTGCGAGGCTAAGACAGAATCATAAAATGTCGTAACAGGACAGCAACAGAATCGATATAGGGGTAACTGTGTCACAGGGAATGGAAAATGGGTAAACGATGGTGGTAGTGTAAAGTAACTTTTGGGAACTAAGTAATTTCCAGGATATAGAAAGTTAGTGAGCGGCTTTAGTAATAGTAGCTGGCACCTGAAATAGGCATGCATTAAGCACCTGAGTGAAGCGCAGGAGGACGAATGAATCATTTTCGCTTCTTGTTCAATAAGCAAAAATTACTTGTTCAAGTGCCCGGTTGTCCCTTGTTTAAGGTGTGGATTATTGGAGGGAAATGTGTTACTTGGCGAGGCTGGCAGCGACTCGTAGTGCTTTGTCCTTGAGCACGGACGGGAAGCTATTCATCAGGTGGGCAAGGGCCCGGAGATCCTCTTGGTCCAGAAGGGCAATCGTAACCTTTGGCTAACCGAGCGATGAGTATCTCCATAATACGAAAAAGAATGACTTACAGCCCCCTTGATACCAAATGATTTGACGACTTTGAAGCTGTTCAAAATTTTCGTGGTGAGCGAAAATTTTATTTGCATAGTACGGGCACCTACAGTTTGTCTCCAAGTTGTTGCTTCTGCACTTGGGGTGGCTTACCCAAGAGGCTATCAATGAATTCATCAGTAGCCTGAACTACGAGGGGATCTGCCTTGGGTAAAGGTAGTCCAGTAGCTGAAGAGGAGTTGGAAAGCCGAATGATTTCGGCCGCAGGTAGCTTTGAGAGAGACGCCAAAGTATGCGTGGAGCTGGCGCTGCCAGGTGTTGGTGGCAATGGAGACGCATTCGCTGAAGGACCGCGAGAAGACAAATCTGGAGTCTGCGGCGAATCTACAACTCTGGGGGCTGTCTTCTTGGGTTGAGGCGTCACAGGCACCGTATGGGGCGCAGACTTGGTTGACTGTGAATCAGGGGGATTCCTATCTTCTTCTTCATCTCCATCTTCGCTATCCAATACCATTTTTGCATCAGCTATTTTGGTACGCAGATATTCAGCATTGAAGAGACACAGAGCACGATCGCGCTTCGGGAGGCTCATCAACAGGTCGGTTAGTTCAGAGTGTCGTGTGGACTCAAGTTTTCCGACGGCTGCGATTATGCGATCGCGTTCTGATATGGGTGGAACTGAGCCAGAGGGCGAGGAGGTACGAGGAGGACTTGACGACTCGCTGACTGAGATTGGAGTTGATGGGTGCTCGGGAGCGCTCGCCGTAGCATTGAGAGCATTTGGATCAAGAAGTCGCGAATCCTGTGAAGCCGACGCAGACCTAGAAGGAGATTTCTCAGGAGTAGAGGCCTTAAAGCGTTTGGCCTTGATTATCTCCACTTGCTCCTGGAGTCTTCCAGGATCTTCCACATATTGTAAGACCTCACTGAGAGAGACATTGACAAGGGATTCAACAATGGAGTTAATCTCTTTGGCAGGGACAATATCCAGTTTCTTGACACGACGGCTGAGCTCGCCAGTAAGCACCTCTTTTCGGACAACAGGTGACAAGCTTGCGAGGTCATCATATCGCATGGGCAAATTGAGAGTACCAGTGAGAGCAGCCTGTAAGACATTCAGGATGATAGGAGTTCAATAAAGTTCTTGAGAACTAACATTGTAGTAGCTGCCAGATCCTCTTCTTCCCCTTTCAGGTCGCTCATAAATGCTTCCTTTGGGAGAACCCAAAGATGTCGGGAGGAGTCGTGGACTGCCCCAGCCAGAATAGTCGCCAACTTCACTAGCCGTGGGGCTTGTAGCACCACTTGAGCTCCTGGGATGGCCGTTGTGACCAAATCGCTGAGCAAGTTTCTCTTGTCGCAATTGCTTCGGCTCGTGGAGTCGAACGACAACTTGTTTTGAGCCAAGTTGGGCTCCATTCATTGCATGCATAGCTGCGTTGGCTAGAAACAGAAAAAATAAGAAGAAATCGGGAGTTTTGGAGATTGAAAAACCAACCTTGATCGGGTGTTTGATAAGATACAAAACCAAAACCTCGACTCTCTCCATTTTCATTGCGCATGACACGCGCACTGTTGTTATAGTGAGTTTCGTTAATCGGTATTTGATCACCAGTCTCTTTACCTGACGATCATGCCAAACTATATGGATGATAGACGTGAGTCACTTTTGTAAATCGAAAATAGATGTTATCTACCTGTCGGAAATGGGTGAATAGGCCGTTAGAGTCGATGTCAGGATCCAAATTCTGTAAAAGCGCAGATCAGTTACATGCAACGCCGTCCACAGTAGGGCACTGACTTTACAAAACAAATTGCATGGGTCAATCAATCCACTATGGCTATTTGATCCTGGCCCTAATAGCGGAGCTAATTGAACTTGCTGCCCAGGACCATGAACAAAAGGAGGGGATGGTGGAACTGGGGAGCGCAAGGGGGACCGTACAGGGTATGGGCTCCCTCGTGGTGGGGAGTACTAGTGAAAGGCTGCCATGAGCGAAGCATGAAAAAAATAACATCATTTTGTATCATACCTGGGTTGGGTATGGTGAGTACATTGAACCAGAGGGCACGAATGTCGGAGCGCTCGCGTTGAACTCAGGAATTGCTCCTCCACTGGTCCGTCTAGGTTGATAAACCTGAACTGCGATATTCTGGCCCTCTATGTCTGCACAGTGCAGCGAGTCTTCAGCCTGGCGTGCATCATTTTCGTTCCAGAATTCGACCATGCCAGTGTCCGCGCCAAAATGAGTCTGAGTACGTGCGGACGCGAGTGCACCAAAAGGCCTGAAAAGGTCGAACAACTGGGAATCGGTGTAACCTGGCGGTAAGTGTTTTACGAGACGCGGCAACGCTGATGGGGGCGGCAGAGGCGTTGGTGGATTGGTTGGAGGATAAGGTGAAAGCACCAAAGGCACAGGAGGTTGGAGGTTAGGGATGAGACGCGATTGGAGAGTTGCCAGTGCCTTCTCGGCTACGAACAAGGAAAACATTTAGTATGCATGACTGTCGGAGCATTAGAACACGAAGACTTTGGACCCACCCTTCTCGAGGAATTTGAATTCAATGGTGCCCGACAACAGACCGGATGCACTGTCGCGGGGAATCTTAGGTCTAAATGGACCACAAGTCATGAAGGCGACGGCTAAATTTTCATCAGAGACATATGAAGGGAGATTAGTGATGTGTAGGAGGGGGTCGTGGAGGTATGGGTGAGGTTGGGGCCCCTGGAAGTCGGAGTCTTGAGGATGCTGATAGTCTGGGTCCATCTTGATTATGGAATTTTAATACTAGTACTCAAGATGAGGGTATAGGAAGAGAAAGGGGTCGAGTAAACGGCCGTCTAGAGGGCAGGATGAGTCCTGGCCAGCAGTCGCCTCGTCGATGGAGGAAACAAGAGCCCAAAAAAAACAAAATTGCCCTGGTCATTTACAACTGGTTCTTACCTAAGCGACAGATCATATCGTACATATTTTCGTTTTCCATCTCATCAACACCTCATCATCTATGGGGTATAATTACTATCCATCCATCCAATCCAACTTAACCCAACTGAAGCCTGATCGTGTAGGGTGCTTCGTGATGACCCTCGCAGAGGGTCACGTCTATCGTGGTGCCGCCAAAACATTTCATAAAACAAAGCATTTCAAAAGGTTGACGTTGAAGAGCAGTTAAAATCGATGGGCGTCATAATCACTACAAAGGTTCAGTAAAGGGGCTGGCACGTGACGAATAGGTAATAACACACTGGGTGTCGCCTACAAAGAAATATTTTCAGCTCCTCCGGATTCGAAACAAGATCTATCTGGCTTACCGACGACCAATCCGGCGGCGCGTTCTAAGAAACTCGTTTGTAGGTCTAGCTGGTTGCACACCCGATTTTGGTGGTTGTGGAGTTCCAATAAATATTCTCATAAGCTCCTGGAACCGTCTGGGTTTGCCGGAATCAGGCGCTATCAACCTTTCTCGGATGTCGCAAGTCAGTGGCGTTGCAATAGCAATGAATTTAGCAGGAGGAGACTCACTCTTCCTTCAGTGTCGTCATTGCAGGCAAATCCCACTCGTACTGAGGTGTCTCTCCCTCTATCGCGATGAGAGGTTCGGAAGCAGCTCCTTCATTCCAAACTGGCGCATGATTTGCGAATGAGGGATTATCCAGGGACCCGTCGCGAACGTGTCGGGTGTCTTTAGGTGAAGGCGCCGCAGCAACGGAAGTCGCAACCAGGATGATAATCAAAACAGATTTGCGCCAGGAGAACATTGTGCAAAAAAAAACCTGTCTTGTAGATGCAACTAGAGGAGGGGCTCGAAGGAACACTAAGTTTCTAATTCTGGGTGGCCTTTATACAACCGGTCAACCACGCAATGACACCTTGCTTGTGTAACCCGCGGAATTTCATTTGTGGCACTTGGGAGTCGCGAAAGCATAAAGCTTCGGGGGTTGGTCTGTTTTTAGCCGGTGGATAGGGCCATTGTTCGGATCACCTGGATTTGCTGGTGTCAGGTCTCGGCATGTGTCTGTGGCGGACTTGATTTGTCCGGACCAGGCATGAATAGGGTCTGAGGGGGGAATTCAACGGTGAGTGTACCTTGATAGAGAAGAATCAAAATCACCGGGGAACCATGAGCTGGTATCAAAGGGGCTCGTATAATTTGATGTTCTTGAGCTTTGCTGTCCGCGGCGAATGAGGGATACAGTTCTGATGGCAGACTGCCCTCCGGCCGTCGAAATTCCACTAGTTAGTCATCGCCACAAATTGAACGATGCGTTGTCAAATGAGGCGCTTTGCAGGCCTCTATTCGACAGACAGGCAGACATGTGTATATCGCCACAGTGCGGCAAGCAGTCGCCGCCAGCGGAATTCTCTGATTGAGGAGTGGTCGCGCCGCTGTACGAATACGTAATTGACTCGAGTATCGAATAGACATTTCTCGGAGAATCGGAGGGCCTTTCGACGATTTGCATCAGACGAGGACGTTCCAGAGAATGCCTATTGCCTGGCCCACCGAGGATCATAGTAAGCAGAGTGCAGCTCGATTACGTGCGACAGCGTGGTTTCCATGAAGTTTCTAGCAGGCGAAATTTATCTTCTTCGCTGCACTCTTTAATCATCTTCATCTTATCTGCGACACTTGACTGATGCCATAGTGAGATTACAGTTAGTACATGAAGCGAATTTCCAGAAAAAAATTAAAGAGAGAAACGTATGTGAGTATCTGTTCATGATCCATCCTCCTGAGTTCCTTCATTCACAAGGTAATTCTTCAAAGGATCCTTTCTCAAAGCCTCAGCCTCCGAAGTAGGGGTAGGAACCTTCAACCCCGCCTTTTTGACCCTAATGACAGAATCCCCGATTGGGGTAATGGCTGGAGGTGTTGACTCGGCCTAAAACAATCGTGAGTTTAACCCATTCAAAACGGAAGATAGGTCATCACCTCGTCCCGAAATGGGGTGAACTTGGGTGTTGAAGGTACCATGGCCGCTGACTCTTTTGGAGTGTCAATGAAGGGGGCGAACCCTTTGTCAGGTGTCTTCGCACTAGAACTTTTGTCCTTGCTTGAGCTTGAGCTATGCACAGGGGGAGGTGGCATGTCTGCTGTGTCACGATATGGTATGATTTTTGAGCTTGAGCTTGCGCTAGAGCTCGACGCTATTCTCTTGGAACGTCCAGCCTGTTTGAGTGTTGACCCACCGAACTTCTTAACCTCTGGTACGTTCTCTTTAACCCTTATCTTACGTGACTCAAGGGCGTTCCATTCGTTCGCTGCTGCTTCCGCCAACTGCGACTCAGCGCCCGAGGGATCCACAAAGATCTGAAGACGGCTATTGGACACCGGTTGGAGAGAGGCAGCCAAGACGGGTGCGGCCGGTGCCAACGTCTGAGCCAGAGCGGGTCGAGGGGCCTGTGACGTTGAAATGGCCTCCGGCGTAGGGTTATGTCTGGATACGGTGGACATCATTCGTTTTTGAAAATCGTGGTATCGATTTTCAAGGTGGTCGAGGGGCGAAGCTCGCCTTGCGATTCCCAGAGAGTACACTTCGTCAGCTTCCTTTCGTCTGCACTCTAATGTCAGCTAAGTACGTTTGTCAACGGGTGGGTTACACGCACCGCCCGTCCCGTTCGAGCACTGCCGCATGCTCTTCATACAAAAGAGCGAAGCTTGTCCCAATATCATTTGCAATCAAAAACTTATATATCATGGTCGGCTTCTCCACGTAGCTTGCATAGAGCAACCACAGTTTGAGATATCTCAAGTCACCTCTCCACACACCGTTTCTAAAATCCTTCAAGGCCCTAGTCGATTCCTCTAGTAGTTCTAGAAGGCCCGACTCGGCGCTGTGCCCCTGGGGGTAGTTCTCCACCGTCCAATAAACGAGCCGACAATATGCCTCGAGAGGATCACCATCCTCATCTTCCAAAGCCAGTTCGACGTTGATTCGTAGACGTTTACGAGTCTCAGCAAGCTTAGTCTCTCTTTGAGCGTGAGGGGTTGCGAGAATGGTTGACAAGGAAGTCACTCGACGACCAGTGGCCAAAGGTTGAACATTTTCTTTGGCGGCCTCCAATAAGTCACAATCGACAACGTTGGATGATTGGTCCTGAAAAACGTCGTCCTCAGTTTGCATACTTTGAACGGAGAGAGAGATTCGAGGCCTGAGGCCGAAGTAAAGTAGGAGACAAGTACGAGAGCGAGCAAGCCCTTTCCAATTCAAGGTGCGGTGCTATGTGCATAACCACTTTATCACGTGAGCGTTCCTTGAAGTCGAGAAATTAATACGTAGATTTTGAAGAGGTTCAGGGTAATACATATATGAAGGGAGGTTCAAGGCTACAGTTTGTCATAAAAAACTAATATCCACTTCCTCCAGCACCATTAACCTGTCAATCATAATCAGTAAACAATGCTTCATTATCAGTGGACGCCGGCCGGCACAAACCTGCCATAGCGCTCTATGTTGTAATTACCTTGTCTTTGAGAGACGAAATAAACTGTTGATAACTTGGCAAGACATCCGCACGATCCTGGATGAGGGCGCTGAGTGCCCACAACCTGAGGGGGGGTTCTCCGTCCTCCTTCACGATGTAAAGATGAGGGTAGTAGATCCCACGGCGCATTTCTCTAATCTTTTGGATGACGGCGTTGACTCGTTCAGAGAAGGGATTGCTGAGAGGGCGAAGAGTCGTCTACAAATAGTTCCATCAATGTTAAGGATAACGAAAAAAAAACAAAGAAAGGCATGCCTTTCCGCCGCGCAATACATCGTAGCTGGGAAGGTCGAACACGTCTTGCACAAGTTGAGGAACAGCATCACGGCCGACCCAAAGGAAGATGGTCTGTCCATCCTCGATAAGGAACAAACCGTGCCTCTCCAGACGCTCTGACGTCAACGGGAGAGCTGGCGGTAAAATAACTCCATTTTCACCGATTGTTCCAGCCTGCAGAGGATCAGACAAAATAAAAAACGATGTCGTAGATGAACTTACCTCGGGCGGCATGTTGTGCAGCGCATAGAAGGTTGGGTAGATGTATGGAATGAGAATTTGTGATGGAAGGGATGTCAAAAGAGCTTGAGAGTACGCCCTTATATCGGGGGGTATCTGGGCACTCTGGCGAATCCCAACCTAGATAATGAAAGTAAGCCAAAGTGCAATGGAATATGACAGGAGGGGTACAGACGTTCTTCAGCAGGCCTAGCACAAGAACGGGCAACATCTTCAGATTTTCAGAAATGGCCAGCTGCGCGCTGGCGCCAGCGCCGCCCGACGTCATGCTTGTCTTGTATGCGATAAGGATCTCCACGAGTTTTTGGAAAACGTATTCTCGGCTGTCCTCTAATTTGTGTGTCAACGACCGCTCGACGGCCTTATTTGCCAGAAGAGTGGCAATTGCAACCTGATCGGCGGAGGCAAAAACTTCAGAGAGGATGGTTGTCGTTGGGAGCGCAAGAGTAATGACGCGAATACGACGTTCGCCTGGAAAAATGAAGTCAATATATTTCTGAGCAAAAGAAAATGCCAAGACCAACCGTAGCACGTGGTGTGAAGAACTGCGGTCTGCATAACAACAAATGGGGTGTTGATTTGCTCTTCGATCTGTATCTCAATGGCATACGACTGATCTTGAGGTACGGCAGGCATGGCAAGAAGGTCGGTGGACCTGACAAAAAAGTTCCCATGGAATGAAGACATGCGCAACCCTGAACCTCCGGTTAGAAGAAAAGCAAGCATCGAGTCCCCATCAACATACCGCGCGATGCTCGAACTCGCATGACAGCCTCGAGCATAATGGGCATTGCCAATACCTCCCCAAATTCATGCGCAAACTTGATCGCGTCCTCCGTCCGCCCAGCGTTGAAGGCTGGGTAGTAGTACGTCTGGCCAGAAGTGTAATGCGGTAGACAGGCTGCACGTCTTGCCATGAGCCATTGGGTCGGTGTGATAGAAATGATGCTCACCAAGTGTTGCGACATCTTGATAAGCCGCGCTGAAGAGGAACATATCGACTGAGACTTGAGCTCTTGAACAATCGATTGCGAATGTTTTGTAGAATGGCACTGCAGCTTGAAGCAGTCCGGACTCCTATGAAGAACGGAATGAACCTAGGATTACTTGGCCTGTGTCAATGCATACCTTGGCAGTACCCAGAATCTTCGGATCTTCTCGGTTTTTTAAAGCACCAGGGCCAACACTGGGTAAGGTCGAGGACAGAACCACAATCTTCCCGCCAATTGGCGACTAAAAATGCTTCAGGATTATGTCAAAAATTTTCGACGGATAACGGTATTACCATTAGCTTGAAACCAGCTTGCAGTGCAGGCCCCAACGCACTACCGATGATGCTATTTTCCTGGAACATATCGTTGATCCTCCCAAGCAAAGTCTCCAGTGATGCGCGAGACTCCGCCAAATTAACAAGAAGGTCGGTCGGCTTGGGCAAGAAGACGTCATCAATGTCAGAAACAACAAGCATGTTGGAATCTGTGCTCCCGACCTGTAAGGGTACGTGAGACCTTTTGCCTGATCTCTGCAAAAAATAAACGTACTGGTAGGGAGAAAAAGTACAGAGACACGTCAAAGCAGATGATGGCAACCTTGGTTCTTCCGTCCTCGTCAGGGATGCGATCAAGGTTTTCAAGGATTGTCCGTGTAGCAGTGGCAACCATTCCTTGCAAACAATGAACAAGGAAGTATGGGTTGAAAGGTCGAAACCTCACCCGACTGCACAGCAGAGTTACTGACATCAATCAAGAAGATGTACACGGCAGGTTGCGGGGGTCGGACCATGTACTCGGTGGGTGCAACAAATTCGACAACTGAGTGATTCAGCTCTGCTCGCGACCACCTGTCACCAGGTTGATTTCGCACTTGATCCCAGTCAAAGAGTTGAGGAACTTCGTTCGTCATGTTACACATACAGCATCGCCACCTAGAGGGTCCTTCAGTCATCCGGGAGGGGAGTATTAAAAAAAAACGAATATACCGATTGCCCCCTTCAAGGAATTGCACATAAGGATTTATATACGTTCTGCAGCGGCGGCATCGAGCAATAACAGTATCGGTCACGACTGGTACGGCTTCATCCCCCTCTTTTAATGATCGATAGGGAGTGATCACAAGGGCCAGAGGGATTTTTGCTTTAGTTAATAGCGAGGATGTCGTTGGGATTGCATTCAATGTACATCTTTGGTAGGACGGATGCGCATTTGCGAAGGGTGATGGCGAGATACATGAGTTGGGCGGAAGTCGGATTTCAGGTGGAGGCCGTTGGAGGTCGCGTGGCTCTGGAGGGGAAGTGAGAAGATTTGTGGTGTACAAATGAAACTGTTTTTGTCCGCCAACCCCCATTTGCCCAAATTGACCTGCAAGAGCGTCCACAGGCGCCTGCCCATAGGGCGGCGGAGGTTGACCAAAAGAAGGGGCATTGATGTATTCGGACTCCGCCTGGTTATAGTAGCCAGATTGCCCAGGTGGTGGGTGCGTCTGCTGCGTCGCGAACTGATTCTCCCCAACTAAACCTGGCGTGAAAAGTTGGGCGCCAGGAACTGCCTGGGGTTGAAGTCCTGGAGCTGGATAGGCCAGATCGGGCGCGGCCTCGCCACCTCCATAATACACCTGCGTTTGGCCCGCAGCGTACTGCCTCCGTTTCCCATGATGAACTGACGGTTCAGCAACTGGTGGGGTATTTTGAACGTTTGGACCATCTTGAGATGCAGGCGGGTCCCACTGCGTCGCCCCAGTCGCGGTTTCTATTTTGCATCAGATATTGAGAGAATCTATCGTAAAGTGAACTGACCGATGAAGAGGTATCGTTGATGTTGGTTGTCCCTGGAGAATAATTGAGCACAAGACAAGATGAAAATGAACAATTCACTCGCCACTCTGCAGCCCAACCAACGGGTAATTTTTGGGCAGGAGACGCCATTATGCTTGTGCTGGCGATTGGAGGGAGGAGTTCAATGACGGGATTGACTGAAAGTATGGATCGCCACGTCTCGTAAACAAGCCACAGCACAACAACGACAAAGCTGGATCTCGAGACGTGTCTCGACGTTTCACTCAGAACCAGGACACGTTAACTGTACATCGGAGGACATCTGGGATATGGAAATTCCGGCCGTCCGGCGGACTGGCGGATCCGGTACGCCAAACTCTATCATCTCCACTCTTTCTGTGCACGTAGATGGTCATTTTACATGTACAGTGATTCAATACTACTATTATGTATATGTATGGTATACAAGAAGACTGAGTATCTACAGGTGGAAGCGGCGGTTATCAACTGGCAGTCCCCAAGGTGGTTAGCGTCGCTTCGCCGCTGTCGACCTGTATGCAAACGTGCTTATAAGCCTGAGGTCTCCGTGATACATTTGTTTCCGCTTCCTCTCTTTCTCCCACTTCACATCCTCGCCAGATTCTCCTTCTCCCACACCTTCAAATGCTCCTTACGCGCCTCCCAAACGAGCCTCCCAGCAACCTCCACTAGTCTCCATCATCGGGGATTTCCAATACCAGTCTTCAGGTTCGACAACGTGAGCTTCTCGGGGGACTTTGAATGGCGTTAGGAGGAGGGGCGTGTAGCACGGATTGCATCGCCATTTCTGGGGACTTGTATGTAGAAGATCCGAAGGATGGGCTATAAGATATCGTATCTACATAGTATCAAAATGTATCGTGCTGCGATTCAAATAAAACTCACAGGGCTATTCCGAAAGGTGTGAAGGGTATCGTCCAATCGGTGTGGAAGCGAGAGATGGTGTCGACGGCCAGACACGCGCTCACAGCGGCGGTGTTTGGCTTTTGCGCTTTGGTATTAACCGCAAGGGCGGAGGGCGGCCTTCGTCTGGTTTGTGTAACTGTGCAGCGTAGAATACATTGGAGATGTCATGGTTGGCGTCCTCGTCGATGTTGCAGACTTCCTCAATATCGAAGTGGTTCCCTCGTCCCGTTGTCGTTAGCGCTACAGTGCGGTCCACATCGTCACGAATCATTTTCCCTTGTCGTGGTCGTCAGGCAGTTGTACAGCTACCAGTGTAGTTGTAGATCTTTTTCCCTGTTCAGTCTTACTATAACTATAGCCGTAAACTTACCAAGTGTCAGTGTCGCGGTTGTCCATCAGGCCAATGTCAACGTTAGAGTCGCGTTCATTCACGCCATGTAGAGAGTTCTTGACGAATGGGCAGCAGAGGAACTTGCGGTTGAAGTCAAGATCGGAATTTGCCGCATGGCTGACAAATTCATTTGCCGGACGCCGGACACGCGGAAATTCCAAATCTCAGATTTTGTGGATTGCCATCAGTCCCAGTCTCAATTTGGTTTCAATCGCTTGTCTTATCATTGCGATTTTCTGATTGATTCTACCTATGCACGGTGTTTATGAGAATGACGGCATTTTCGAGACAAAATGCCGTCGTTGACGTTCGAAAAAGTATGTTTCCTAACGTTGCCTCGATGTGAGTCATCTGGGTCCGACCGTGACTCTCCGTGACTGCCCCCTTACTTGACCCCTCTTTTTTGACTGACAGCTCAATGACAAAACTGAGTGCAGATAGCGTTGTCTGAATCAGATGTCACTATTAACCAAGGAACATCGCCTCTCAGTCAAGCCGTTTGCTGCAGTCCCGGCTCTGCTGGACCTTCCTGAGATCAAACGCGGAGCCTCAGCCTCGAATGTCTCCTCCTGCCTCTCATCCATGGGCGGCAGTGTCGATCTTGAGGAGGGTTGCCTCATTACAAAATCTGTGAAGTATGCGCACCGGCTTGCTTACATGGTCAATGCAGCGCACTCTGGGGATGCAAAGCCAATTGTATGTCAAAGGTGCCAAGAGATCTTACCGCAGGTGCTGAAGCTCATTACAGCAGGATCTCCTTGAGTTTGACTTGAAGGTCATACCGTACGCTCGATTCAAACTCGAAGACCCATGTAACATTGTTCTCCGTAAGTCTGAGGGTCGTGCACTGACAAGACTCATCTGACTTCGAACAGTCGAACCGTTTGTCCACACGTCACTAGATCTGTACGCTTTCATTGCATTGTCGCCGTCGTCCTCAACTGTCAATGGGCTTATCAAGATGGTAAAATCCGACAATGACCGGCGTCAACAAGAAATGGATCGAAGGGGCGGTGCAAAATATCGTTCGCTCAATGTGCACATTCATGTTATCACGATTTCTCTCTATAGGGTTTCTGATCTTTTCTCTTGCGATAGTTTCTTTCCTCCAGTTTCACCAACCCAGAATATGAATTACTTGCTCTGCACCCAGAGCATTTCCTGCCTCGTGGCTCCGTCCTCCCCATTTATGAACCCACTACCGGAACTTGGAAGAATTATGTCCCATCGCGCGACCGATGCCTCCGCGAGTCGATTGAACCTGACAGTCCTCGCTTACCACCCTTCCGCCATGACTTTCAAAACCGCGGCAAATTTGACAACCTGAACATTTTCCTCGTCGCTATAAACGCCGAAATCAAATTTCGACGCTACTTGAAAATGACTCAAGAGGACCCTCCTACGGCCGCTCTCCCAGATGACATTCTCGCGCTTATGCGTTGCGTCTCAGAGCTTGTTGACCTCCTCTACTGGGTGCCTGTGCCAACGAAGGGCTCGAAGGGGCACACGATATTAGCTGAAAGGGCGCTCCTGAAGCGCAAACATCGAGAAAGGGCTGGAAGACCACAGTACACTGAGACAGTGTCTGATGAAGAGGGCGGGATGGGCTTGCTGACTCCAAGTAAAGCTTGGAAAATGTCAAAACGCTCTAGGCAGCTTGACTGGCTAGCCGATGCGGATGTGGAGACGCGGAAAGCTTATGGAAGTGCGTTGATGAGTGGCCATGGTACGCCTTCTCTTCTGCCCGATTTGTGAATACTAAAGCTTGTATCTTTTCCCCTAGACATCGATTACGATCCAGCCTTGTTCGAGGATGCATTCCCGATTGATGATCGTGTGTATTTTTTTGATCTTCAACAAATGACTCGCCATTGTAACTTTTAAGCAGCACATTTATACTCTGACAATGCAGCCATGGAGAAATGGAACCAAGGCGTTTCAAAGGGTCTGACTGCATAGGCGAGCATAGTACCACAGGGAATTCCTTTTTCCTGGCGGAATTTCTCCTCTACACATTCACTCCACCACGTTATAACGTTATATTTACTGCGTAACCACTTTGCGAACCAACCAGTGTGCACTACAGACATAACATTCCTATTTAACAACGCGTCACAGCATCCTTGCTCGCTTAAACCCTTCGGGTGTCGCCAGAATGATGTCTTGCTTTACATATTATGGAGGACATCTGGGTAATGAAAAAAGCCAGGCACATTGTTTCCAATTCCCAGATTTTAAGTAACCACAGCACAGCGGCTCAGCTATAAAACCACTCCCTTTCACCACTTATGAAAACCTTCAAATACGTCACACTTTCACACTTTCACAGCGTTGAAAAGCGCCTAAAGCTCCGAAAAGCAGATTTGTATTTTTCCCAAATGTAACGACCTGAATTGTCCAATGAGGTTTACTGTGGTCGTAAAAGGACAGTTGCACTAGATTTCAAAGTATGAAAAATGACAAAATCCAGTGGCACACCCTCTTTCGTTATATCTTATAAGCAACGAACTGAGCGTGAGTCGACAAACAACAAAATACCCTTTCACCGACATTATTGAGATATTGAAGGCATCGAGGGGCTCTTCATTGCATCGACGCTCCCTCAAGTTGAGGGAGGTGTCTTCTTTTCCAATCTCTTCAACAGCACTCCTGTGCAACTTTCCAGAGCTTGACTTTCCTCCACAGTTGCATCCGCACAGCCTCCCCATCGAATTCTCAGATTCTCGTCGATGAGATAGACATACCCGACTTTGCTATTGGTCATACCAAGGGGCTCCCGAACGTACTCCATATTTTGGCTTGAGACAAGGTAGTTCGGTTGCAAGCTAGGAGGAACTACGTTGCGCAGGGAGTTGGCGAAGAGGTTCACAAGGAATGATTTAAGAAGGTTTTCTTGCAAATTGATTTGAACATATTGATAAAGGGGATTTGAAGAGAAGCGCGCATTTGTCGCGTCAACAAAGCCTTTGACATGAAGCTTGCATTTATTCAGCTATTGGCGTGTGCAACAGAGGGCATAGTGTTATATACCTCTGAAATTTGCGTGCCTAACATCGCAAGCACGGTAATGCGTCCAAAACACATCGTTGTCGTATTCTTCTTCATCTTATCAGCTAAGCTCTTGCCAGAGATGTTGGGTAGATATAAGGCTTTCTGGAAGGGGGTGAGGCAAATTTAGAAAACATTATGCTCCGCCACGCACGTCCTCGCGAATGAGGACCTTGGGGGCAATCCAGGTCTTTCCGCCATGCTTTCGCGTCATGTTCATGTCGTGAAAGTAGCCTTTACTGGCCTCTTTGATTCTACGACCGTACAAGTCAAAACCCTGGTCGGGAGGTCAAGATATCACGTACAGATGCCTCCGTTCCGCAAGCCGCACATCCTGATCCATTAAAGCTTTCATTTTCTCCGTTCTCGTCTTCACTACCGTCGTAGGCCTCTCCTGAACTCCTAAAGGTCGATTCAACGGCTGCAAATCATTGGGATTGACACTGGGCCCTTCAATGTCGATAGTATTGGACTGCGATGACGACGGGGGCAGTGGACCATTCTGCAATTTCAAGCCTGTTGCGCAAAATGATCTCCGGAGACAAAAGAAATGATCGGTATTTCGTGCAAGGAAACCGCGGACTGGCCATGATGAAAATATGGACATGGGGAAGTATAAAGTTTTGCTTTTGACCAAGTTCGTCACAAGATAGCACACGTGATTTGGCCCATAAATTGACGCGTTGGTACAGAGTTTGTTGATTGACCGCTCTTCAACTCAAACCACCACCATCTCTTCTCGACTCCTTGTATATTGTAAAGTAACTGACCTTCATGGTACGCCTGACCTCTTTCATTAAGAAGTGAAAGTAGTTGACGCTTCGATGCCTATAGAGCGGAAAAGGTAAACACTGGGCGCCCAACCGGCAGTTCTTATACTTACCCATCGACGATAGGGAAATCTGGAAAATCCTCTTCTGGCGGCAAGGCGGGTGGTGAAGGCGGCAAATCCCAATCGCGTTCGGCCAAGGCAGGTCTCCAGTTTCCTGTCGGTCGTGTCCATCGTCTCTTGAAGAAGGGAAACTACGCTCAACGTGTCGGTGCCGGCGCACCTGGTACGCATATCTCATCACGTTGCATTCTCTTAATCACAACTGTGCGCATCTCCTAGTTTATCTGGCCGCGGTCCTCGAGTATTTGGCTGCTGAGATCCTTGAACTCGCTGGCAATGCCGCTCGCGATAACAAGAAACAACGTATCGTTCCCCGTCATCTCCAACTCGCTATCAGAAACGACGAAGAGTGCGTTTTTTGTCATTTACGATGAATTGCTATATTTTTACTACGGTTAGGTTGAATCGACTCCTTGGAGATGTCGTCATCTCTCAGGGTGGCGTTGTGCCCCACATTGCTGCTGTAAGTCCAGAGGTTATACTCTATCGAGTTCTTCTAAGACGTATTTTAGGAACTCCTCCCTACCAAATCAAGGTGAACTGTTTTGGTGACTTCTTAGGTAGTCGCATGCTCACCTTTCGTTCATTGTAGCAGAGGAAAGAAAGATACTGAAGAAGCTTAGGAGACGCTTGTATTGCTGTTTCTTATCGAGTATATATTTTTCATGATCGGCGTTGTTTCCAGTACCATCACTGTATTTCTATCTCTTGTAGTAGTAATTCAGCGTCCTACAATGTTGTTTGTTCGAGTTATTTTTGCAAGCAGTTATACTGCAGTCCTTCCGCTTCTTGGCGTGTCTTGGCCTCCCTCATCATAGACGCTGCTTCAACATGCGATGGTTGGCACCACTTGACAGGCGGGAAATCACTCTCATTCTTTTTTCTTTATGCACCTATTTCCTGGCCTTTAACTTTGAAACTTCTTTACGACTTCTGGGAATTGATCCTCTGGCAAGCCAGGGAGCCTTCTTTCGAAAAATTGGTCTTGGTAAGACCAAACTCATAGGAAACGACGGACGGAAACCTCAAGGATGGAGAGATGCTCTCGAAACCGAAATTTTTGGTGACTGGCGTTGGGACGAGAATCATATTGCTGGTGACGGCGAGGAGAGGAGCCAATCAAGCGGTAATGGGCGGCACGGAGCGACGTGGATTGGAAGTCAGGCTGCGGGTGATTTGCTGGGTGAAGTATTTGGAAATATAACAGTCGACCAAGCACTTCAGGTATGGGGGGAGGACATACCGCAGACAAAGGTTGTGAAACATGTGCCCGGTAAGGAGCTACTTCTCTGTTGTTCAGTGATATAGACAATGACACCCCCACGAAGGCTACACTATTCTGGATAATGTCATGATCTTTAACGGCTCTGTTTATCTTGTCACAGAGGATGAAAAGTCTTTCCCCCCAATGGCGTCTATGGTCGCCACTGTTGGCAATGGATTCGCGGAGTGGAAGTTCCTGTCGAAACCGCAGGCGCTGGCGCATGTAGGAGATTACGGCTCAATGTATGACTTATGCTCGAAACCCCATGCCGTGTATTAAATCTGTTTTGCTAGCATTCGAGGCGTCTCGTGGATGCAAGCGGACTCTGACCCACGTATGTTGCAGATTTTATCTAGTCGCTATCTGCAGAGTTCACCTTTTTTCCTAAGATAATTCTACTCTTTTCGCTTTGTGGCGGCTCTACAGCACACTGGACACTTCAATTGATTACAATGGCCTTACGCATCTCCCACCTCCACAACGCATGCTTTTCCCACACAATCGTTTCTTCACCGATGCCAATCCCGACTTTAGCAAACATTGGCTACGTCGCGTGCGCGTCGACACTGGGTTTCATCCTTACCTCGCTAAGGCCGCTTTCCCCCACCTCACAATGCTGTACTATGAAGACTGGGAAGATTATCACAAAATGGTAGTACCATTCTTTTTCGAGCGCCTCGTGGTGGCCGACCGTCAAGCGGCGGGACTCTCAGTGAACTCAGAACAGCCCACATTCTCGCCACCCTTCGATCTTGAGGCCTCAAAGAATTGGTGGGAACCTGTGCGGAGGACTTTGGCTCTGTATTTCGACGCATACGACGAGAAGGCCAAAGATAAGAAAGTCATCACCTACCTCCACAGACAATCCGAGTCAACTGGTCCAAAGTTGGTTTCCGAGGATCACGATGCCCTTGTGCGTGCGCTGCAAAAGTTGGGTCGTTCACGTGGATATGTCGTACATCTCGTTTCCACCTCAACCATTGAGACGGATTGGAGCGTAAAAATGGGCGCTGTGGTCCGGTCGTCGGTGAGCGTTTTGTTTCCCCCGCCTCCAGGTTCGTATTGATGAACTGCCAGGTTATCCTTGGGGTTCATGGAAACCACTTGTTTGACTGCGTATTCATGAAGCCGTCACCACAAGCTACATTAATGGAGTTCTTCCCTGCTGATACATTTGCTCATGATCGAGAGCTTACTGCTCACTCCCTAGGCTTCCACTACGTTGCTTGGCAGGGCAATCAGTACGTATCCTCTTTCTTTATAGATGATACGCTCAGCATTGTTTGAAAGTAGAGAATTCACATCCGAAAACCTCCCGAAGCCATCACCTCCAAGTGATGGCCCAGTGCATGTCGACGCGGATGCTGTTATTCAGGCCGTTCAAAAGGCCCTATCTCATGCATGAGGCATCCTCATCATGCAAACTTACTTACCCCTGGTCCCTGGGCTACTTTGGGATGATCAAGTATTCGCCCAACGTCTTGCATTTTCGAATAGACACTGAGCATTTCATGCCGACAAGGACTCTCATATTTAGAAGGCAAACCATACTGGTTTAGGGACACTTGTACAGTTATAACTTATAATTCATGTACTTGTATCTTGACACTGATCCGTTAAATGAACTTTTGGATAACGATCTTAATCATATGATTAACTCGCACATGCATGTGCGAGTGCTACAGGCAGTACATATCACTTACAGTCTTATTAGGCGGACCGATGTGAGTTCTTATGACACTAACATTAGATCGCTTACAAAAAAACCCATCCTATGCATATCTGTTTTTAATTGATGTATGTACATAAGTAAACCGCGATTGACTTGACAAGGGAGCATTTCCCGAGGCTGCGATTCGGGGTAGGTAGGTCCAATATTGCAATTGGATTGTTAGGATGATAGATCAGAGAAGGAGAGTCACCGACTCGGATATCATCTGTCTGTTTCTAGTAGGACAGTGGAGCAAGAGCGCTACTTTGGCCATCGTTAACCAAAGCCTTGCCGCAAAGTTGAGAGCTAAGTAGAATGACAAACTTCAAGTTGTGCCTGCGATTATAAATAGCTTGATCCGAGATGCCAAGAGAGATTGGGATAACGCGGAGAAAAGATCCCGTTTCTTGTCAGTCACCATCACGAGTAAGTACATACCAATTGGCATTGCAGGGTATCATTGATTTACCGGCTCAAGCGCCATGTTTCAAGAGCAAGCTACAGAGCACTTGAACGTCTTCAATTTGAAAGCCTCCGGAAATCATATTTGGCCCTCCGAGTCCCACACCCTGACCTGCACCTGCGTAACTTACGAGCATATGGTGACGCAAAATGAAGTTGATATGCAGGATGACCAAATGCCAATAACGTCAAGATGCGGTCCACCACGGGTTTGCGTTGCGATAAAATGCAATTGCGTCTTTTGCTCGTTGTCCTGTCTATTCCCTCTAGCGGTACTTACCCCAGGTTTTGCGGTCCGCCCGTGTCAAAGATGAGCCACGAAGATGAGAAGCCTAACAGCGTCCCATTCACACAAACAAACTCGATCGCGTCTTCCCTCACTCATGTTCTATCCAACGAAAAGTCGCCTGTAACGCCTGAACTCCCTTCCAAGTTTCAAGCTGGTCATGGAGAGTCTGCACTTCCTGATGATAAAATAGAGGAAGCCATCGAAAATAGAGAGGAGGATTGGGAAAACGATCCCGAAAACGCCAGGAACTGGTCAACAGCGAAAAAATGGACAGCAGTCTCCATCGTGCGTGCAGTTGTTCGTCGGTTTATTGTTCGCAACCAATGAAATTTCAGGTGTCCTTCTACACTTTCGTCTCCCCTCTGGCAAGTTCTATGATGGCGCCTGGTCTACCAGAGGTCGCTCAGAAGTATGGCATTACGAATTCATCGATCCTTGCCCTTACTCTGAGTATATTCCTGTTGTCGTTCGCAATTGGGGTAAGTCAAGATGTGTCCTATTATTCTTTTACTCAACGAGCTCCCAGCCCCTCATCTTTGCACCATTGTCCGAGATGTACGGGCGGACATGGGTATGGAGGTGCCTCCTTGGACTCGTATACATCTACTCAAGCCATGAATCTAGGTCCTCCATATTGCTAATATCTTCACTATGGGTTTCAGCCTCGGCTGCGCGTTTGCACCGACCACGGGCGCACTCATTGGTTTCCGTTTCCTTTGTGGGTAAAAACATGGCATACCCTTTCTCAGGTTAACCTCCATTTCAGCCGGTCTCGCTGGCAGTGCGCCTATCGCGATCGGTGCTGGGTCAATAGGCGACATGTTCTCCGAGCGGGATCGTGCCTCGGCAATGGCTATTTTCAGTTTGGGACCTCTGATCGGTAAACAGCACATTTTAAAACCCTGATCCACTCCTCTGATCCTGCGATCTATGATCTCTCAGGTCCCGTTGTCGGTCCTATTGCAGGCGGGTTCATTGCGCAAACTATCGGCATTAAGTGGGTCTTCATTGTCATAGCGAGTGAGTAGTGCTCCACCCAGGAATCAAAGCATAGGACTGAGCCTGTTTCTGTACGAAGTCACGTGTGGTGTTGCCAGTCTCTTTGGCATTCCACTTCTCAAAGAAACGTATGCGCCCGTCATCCGCTTGCAACGTGATGCGAGCAAGGGCATAGACCCCGAGATAGCCGTGAAGTTGCATCCTCATCTTAGCGCAACCCATGGAAACAAATGGAATTTCTTCGTGGACAATCTTAGCCGGCCAATAATTATGTTGTTCAGCAGTCTCGTTTGTTTCATGCTCAGTCTTTACATGGCATTGTGAGTTTCAATCGGCCGCTCAATCACAAAACTGATCTTTTCCTGCAGTATGTACGGTGAGCACTAGACCAAACCCAGTTTGCGTAGGTCATTCAAATCGCTGAGTCTCGCTGTCTTAGGCATCTATTACCTGATGTTTGCCACCTTCGCCGGTATGTTCATCTTTCTGCTACGGATACTTTCAGCTCAACTGGGCATTTACAGAATTGTTCCACAACACATATGGCTTCAGTGCTGGTACCGGTGGTCTTGCCTACCTGGGTTTGGGGATAGGTTTTTTGGTGTCAACCATTTTTGGAGCAAAATGGGCCGATGCTGCTTATAAACACGCAAGTGTGCCTCACCACCTCCCTTCCGTCAATCTTAATGGCTCGTATAGCTTGCATCTAAAAATGGCGGAGTTGGCACACCCGAGATGCGCATCCCAGCCCTGTCCTTCGGATCACTCTTCGTTCCCATTGGCCTGCTGTAAGTTTATAGGTACTATTCGTTCCCACCCTCTGATGCACTCTCCAACATAGCTGGTATGGATGGTCTGCGGCTGCTAAAATCCACTGGATTATGCCAATTATCGGTTCAGGTATCTACGGATTTGGTGGGTGCACCCTCTTTCGGAATCAGATTATGCAAAGCGGCTAACCTGACTTTTTAGGGATGATGGCTGTGTTGTACGTCTATGCAGTTTTGGTTCCATCAGTCAACTCACTCCCTGCGCAGCCTTCCTATTCAGCTGTACCTAGTCGATGCGTTTACCTTTGCTGCGAGCGCTACCTCAGCTGCTGCTGTATGCCATTTGTTTGTTCTTCGTGGACGTTCGCTGAACATGTCTCTCTGCTCAGTTTTTCCGCTCCCTGTTTGGATTCGTCTTCCCTCTCTTTGGACAGCAAATGTTCGACAGGCTTGGCCTTGGTGGTGGCAATTCGGTGTGTTTATCTCTTCTTTATATGACACTGCAATTCTAATAGAAATTCTTAGCTGCTAGCAGGCCTAGCCATCGTGTTGGGTATTCCTTTCCCCATCTTCCTGTACTATAGAGGAGCGCAGCTGCGAGACAGAAACCCGCTCACACGCAAGCCATAGAGTTTGGCTGTTATATCCGGATCTTTCTTTTCTTTCTCATTGGCGGATGGGATATGAATACATTACTGACCGTAGACTATATACCCAGTGTCTATCTTATACACCCAGTCGTATATCACTAATTCATGATAAAGGGTATTAGGAAATACCTACATAATGACGACACCATGTTGACTGCCAATTGTCACCACTGCCACCGTCTTCCTTTCCGATATCATTTAAGATGTCCCACAAGCCCAGTATCCCTGCTCGGTTGCCCTCATCTTCCAATCTACCAGGTCGAAGGAAACCACCGACGCGCCTACGTTCCCTTGGAACATCCAATGGCGGGCCCGAACAGCCCACGGCACGTCGTGGATCTATATCTGGCCTCGCATCTGCGCCCAAGGCGCAGAGGACATCAAAAACATCACATAAACTCGTAGTACTCCCTTCTGCGCCACAAACGAGAGCCCTACCTACAGATGTGGAAGAGGATTTGACGCTGGCTGCTGAGACGGATGGTGGAGTGAGAGAGTACAAGAGCGAAGCGGAACGTATGAGCAAAGAGCAGAGGAAACAAGCTGGGTATAAAAGGATCACCGCGTATTGCGTTGCAGAGTCGTTCAAGATGAAACTGCTCGCGTCTTTTTTGAAAAGGGAGCATAATGTGTCTCCTAGGGTGTTTGACGAGGCGTTGTATGTGGTGAGTATCAAAGATATGTTTTCTTGAAGCGAAGTTGACATCGTTCTGTAGATGTACCATTTGCCGCTACTGCCAGGCTATGGACCTAACACGAACGTTCGCTCCTCTGCCCCAGCGACATTGATCAAGGGCCAATCATTACTCTCCAGATTGTCTGAAGCAGAGGAGAATGGCTACCAAGGAACATACTTCACATCCACCTCCGCCAGGTCGCCGTCGTCCCTCCGTGACGGGTACATCTCTTCCACCTCTCCCGTGGAGGTGCCCAAATTCCACCGACCAGATTCACCGACTACGTCCCAAGCGACCCCGCCTTCACCTGCTACCATCGTTCCTGTATTCCGAGAGCGAGAGTCTGAACCCCTCCTCACACCCGCGTCGGAATTTGCACCTGAAGTTGTAGGTCCTCCGGTGGATATAGAATCTGGGGCGGAGACTGATCCTGGGGTGTACGGGCGATGGCGAAGTGCTCGTGAGACGCCTGAACCGGTTGCCCCGATGAGGAGTGTAGAAGATGACGTTGTGGAGGTGGTATTTTTTGAGTATGGGGTTGTTGTTTTCTTTGGTTTAGAGGAAAGGTTTGAGAAAGATATTATTGAGGACGTGGAAAAGGCGGGCGTGATGAAGAGGAGGATCGACGAGGACGATTGGAAAGTCGAGGAGTGTCATTTCGCAGTACGTCTTAATCTTGATGTTTCTTTTACTTCTGATGTCAAGGTTACCAGCATGATCCCCATATTGCATACCCACGAATATATAACGACTTTTTCAGCAAGTTTTTCTCAAATGGGTTTGTATCCGAATGCTCTAACCATTTCCGCTGAATATAGCTCTCAAATCTCGTTCTCATTTGCTCAAGCTCTCCATAGCTCACGCACTTGCCCAATCGACACTCCTAGCACGCTATGAAACCACGGCTCAGCAAGTGCTATCATCGCCTTTGACCATCTCGATACCAAAGCAACTAGCCAAGTCAGGCGTGCTGAAGCTTCGCCGGCACGAAGCACTCAAGTTGACTGGCCGCCTCTTCAAATTGCGCCGAGACGTCAATCTGGTGTCGAACGTCCTTGACATTCCCGAATTGTTTTGGAGTGAGGCAAGTTTGAAGAGTTTGTATGATGCTGTTCGGGAGTACATGGAGATCAAGCCTCGTGTGCAGTTATTGAATGAGAAGCTTGGGGTTGTAAGCGACTTTGTCAGTATCCTCTCCATATTTTGAGACGGGGGATTGACATTGCAAAACCCAGTTGGATGCCATTCACGACCATCTCAATAATTCTGCGATGGAGCGAATAACGTGGATTATCATCTGGTTTGTCGATGATTTTTTTATCTTCTCTTTTCGCTGACCTACACTTTCAAGGCTGATTGTGGTTGCCATCCTTGTGGAATTGGTCAGTTTTTCTTGTCTTTTTTTTCCCCTCATCTTTTATTTATTATTTTGTTCAGGGTGAGGTGATTGCACGGCTGGTTGTTCACGCAACGCTAGGTGGGGAGCGGCTTCGGATAAGGGAAGCTGCAGTATCTGTACTTTCAAAAGAAGAAGCGCTTAGGAGGTTGGAGGGTATGATATGGTGATACGGTTCTGATTTGATGTGGATTTGATACCCAAGGTTTATTTTGGACGTGGCTTGAGCGTGTGAAAGAACACTTTGAGTCGTATTTTCACAACAAGACAAGAATTGAAGTCAACGAGCACAACGACCAACCAGCGATCAATATCCCGCCTATCAGCCTTTAGCGCCTTCTAGCTTATAGCCACTTCTCGCCCTTTGTCCCTGATACCACCTTGATCCCATACCACCACCACCCTCATGTCTCAGCCAGCGACCTCGTCGTCCTCGACGTACGTCAATCATACCCATATTCATCACTACACATCTAATAACTCTTTGCAGACCTTCAATCACAGATTCCTGGAAATCCACACTCCGTCCTCCACCAAAAGACATCCGTCCCCAAACCGAAGATGTAACCGCTACAAAGGGCATAGAATTCGAGGACATGTTCCTCCGCCGCGAGCTTCTCATGGGCATCTTTGAAGCAGGTTTTGAGAAGCCCTCTCCCATTCAGGAAGAGGCTATTCCCATTGCCCTGACCAAACGTGACATCCTCGCCCGTGCAAAGAATGGCACCGGAAAAACAGCCGCTTTCGTCATTCCCTCCCTTCAGCAAATTGACATTACAAAGAACAAGATCCAGGCCCTCCTCCTCGTTCCTACTCGTGAGCTTGCCCTCCAAACATCTCAGGTGTGCAAAACACTCGGAAAACACATGGGAGTGCAGGTCATGGTCACCACTGGTGGTACAACCCTCAAGGACGATATCTTACGTTTATCGGAGTCCGTACACGTCTTGGTAGGCACTCCAGGCCGTATCCTGGATTTGGCTGGCAAAAATGTTGCCGACCTCACTGAATGCCCTGTATTCGTCATGGACGAGGCAGATAAACTGTTATCTCCTGAATTCGCCCCTGTGATGGAACAGCTGCTTTCCTATCTCCCTACTGAACGCCAAGTCATGCTTTTTAGTGCGACTTTCCCTATGATCGTCAAAGACTTTAAGGTATTTATTTCTTTGCTGGCGCCTCCTGACTCGTCGTTTAATAATTTTACACAGGACAAACACATGAATTCCCCGTACGAAATCAACTTGATGGACGAACTTACCCTTCGCGGTGTCACCCAATATTATGCCTATGTCGAAGAACGACAAAAGGTTCACTGTTTAAATACTCTCTTCTCCAAGGTTCGTTCGTCTTCCACTGGAGTTGTCAGCACCCAACTAACATCCACACGTTAGTTGCAAATCAACCAATCCATCATTTTCTGTAATTCCACGAACCGCGTCGAGCTCCTCGCCAAAAAGGTGACTGAGCTCGGATACTCCTGTTTCTACTCCCACGCAAAGATGCTCCAATCGCACCGCAACCGCGTTTTCCATGACTTCCGCAACGGCGTATGCCGCAACCTTGTCTGCTCGGACCTCCTCACTCGTGGAATTGATATTCAAGCGGTGAATGTCGTTATCAATTTTGATTTCCCCAAGAATAGCGAGACGTATCTGCATCGTATTGGCCGTTCAGGCAGGTTCGGACATTTGGGATTGGCAATCAACCTCGTGACATATGAGGATCGGTTTAATCTATACAAGATTGAGCAAGAGCTAGGGACGGAGATTCAGCCGATCCCGCAAAATATTGATCGGGGGCTGTACGTTGCCCCAAGCGGGTCCGAGGAGCAGGAGAAGGCACAACAGCAGCAGCAACAGCCAAAGGCGGCTCAACCTCAGCAACGACAGGCTAACGTGGTAACGCCTGCTCATAGGAATGGGCAGCCGCAAGCTCAACAGCAACAGCAGCAGGGTCAAGCGCAGGTGATGTACTCGAGCAGGCAACCCCAGCAAGGTCGGCAGCAGCAGAATGGAGGTGTGCCACCTCAACATCCGCGGGGTCAACCTTCGTACCGTGGTGGTGTGCCTGTGGTGCGGTGAGGGCTTTGTGAAGGAGCTGGAGGTGGGGAGAGAGGTGGTGGGAGGGAGAGGGGAGAGAGCATTGGAGCAGGAGGAGAGGAGCGGGGGAAGAAGCAATTCCGACATTCCAATCATTTGTCAAGCCAACATCCACCACCATTACACCGAATCTCAGGCAAAACACCCATTCTTTAACAGTCCGGCGATCGCATACGCAGCCCCCGATCTGTGACCTACCATTATTATTCGCGTCACCGCCTCCAACACTATTATATTTTGCGTCCAGAACACACATCGACTGCGACTCCCGTCAGTTTCCCTGACTCATCCCCGTTGTGCCTATTCCTACTCTATCTTTCTGCTATAAAGGCCTTACAGTTCGGACACTCCTTAAACCTTGCCACGTTGGCGCTTTTGTCTGGTGTTGCTGGTGATGCGTTATTGGCTTTTCGGTGTTGTGTGTCGGTTTGTTGGGGGGAGACACTGTTGATGTTGTTGAGGAGGGGAAGGAGGGGGAGGGGAGGTTAGCAGCATAGCACAGTTCGTGTCGTTGGTGTTTGGTACTTGACCTTTTTCCTGGTCATTATTCCAGAATCAATCTATCGAGCTTTGGCGGCCTTGCTGCAATCCTTTCGTTGTCACGAATAAGCACTCAACCAGAGGCTGATTTGTCTGATCACTACAGACACTCTCTACATTCGCTGAAAACGCGTTCAAGTTGCTTTCAGTCACTGGGTATGTATACCACTGTCCCTACATACTGTCTCAGCTGCGTCGTCGCGGAAATTTGGCCACTCCAAGGAGTTTCGGAAGCACCTCGTTGCCCAGATTTTTACTCCGAGAATTCGTCTGCTTAAGGAAAGCCCTTGGTTGGCCCTTGGGATGCGAAGCAGCCTCTAACTTACAGCTTACTATGCACCACCACCGAATCGAATACTGTCCAGCAACGTGCGATTTGCAGCCAGTTCCGCCCAACATTCTGAATTCACGCCAGTCTCGTTGCCCTTCTTCAAGTCCATTGCGGTTCAAGTCCAGCACAGAGGACTAATAATACTTACTGCCGTTTGCCACATAATTCTGCTTTCTAAGATGTGACGTGACGTTCACTGACATCGCGTTCGTCACACCGCGTTTAGGATCACATGACGGTGTACCTCTTCAGTACCATACCACGATGGACCCAACACAAACTCTACCTGAAGGCTTCGCTCGTTTGTCTGTGAATCCCCAACACGAGGCCATATCCCAAGATACTACCCCATCGCTGAATCGAGTAGCACCCGAGCGCGATCGCTTCACCGACGAAGATCACAAGCCCCCCGATGCGGAGATCATGGAAACATTCAGCGCCTTTCGGAAAATTAATGAGGAGCCCGGTTTACCTGCGCTTCTTTCTGTCATCACTAATGTAGACGAGAGACTCGTATCTCTCTCTCCGCGTGAAACAGGAGGACTGCTAACGCGCCAGCCGTCCATCACTACGGTCTTACAAAAAGCATGGAAAGAAGCCTCATTCAAAGAAGTGCGACAATTGGGTGCGTTTTTTTGTGCCACGCAGCCTCTTTTTCAGCCTCTAACCAACATTGAAGAAATCCTTTGGCCTGCAGTGCCAGCCGCTCGTAAGTAGTTCTCCGCGCTCTTTGACTGGGGTTGGTGACGACGGCTATGTGTAGCAAAATGGCGCCAACGACGGTTCAACGAGGATGCAGAACTGACCAGTGCGTCATTTGTCATCTGTTGTGATTCATGCTTATTTGATGGACTCGATTCTCTAGACCAGGGTGTTTATCCATCCTAGCTTTTGTTTTGCTTAGCCAACCTTATTTTCGAAGCTTTGAAGTCCGCCTGGCATGATAGCTACATCGGAAATAATCATCAACTCCTGTTCGCCAATATCAGTGCAATTTTGCCAACAAGCAAACCATATTCAAACCAAATCGCCATTGTTCAGAGCTCCGGTACGGGAAAATCTCGCATGGTCCACGAGCAAGCGAACGTGGTTTTCACCATCCCGTTTAATCTACAAAAAAGCGTCGAAAAGCAAGGTCTTTGCTTTCTTTTTTCGACTTCCTTGGGCGCTTCTGATGTGCGAACCCAGGCTTGGCGTTCCCCGTCCCTGACGATGCTGTTCGTGACTACCTCGTCGCAACTTCCCTATCGGATGACCAAAACATCCTGAAAACCAACTACTTAAATTTCCTCGCTGGTGTGTTCACGCAAGTCAATAACGAGCTGGAGAAATGTCGGGAAGAATTGAGTGTGAAGCAAATTAGAACCTCTGAAGGTTTAGCAAAGTGGTGGTCAAGTCACCTTGAAGGTGTGCGCACGGGACTATACAAGGCAGCGATTGACGGTGCCAAGGAGGCAATTCAGGTGCGTATTCGTACAGACGGCAAGTAATATCACATTTAGTGATTGCATTCAAGCAGAATCTCCCTGAAATCCAGCAGAAGCATGAAGAATTACTCATGAAACGTCGATCGAAACTCGAGGGCTCCAAAGATTCTGATCGTACCGATTACAATTTAAATATGGTTATTAAGTTTGCCGCAGCGGAATCAGCGAGAGTCGCACTAGGACAACTCATTAGAAAGCTGGAAGGCTGTGAAGGGTCGCAGCGAATCAAACTCATAATCTACTTCGACGGAGCACACACTCTCACCGAGGTGGTGCCCACGAACGACAAAGAGAACACACTTCACGATTTTCTATGTTCATGTCTCAATGAATTTTTGGCCTCTCCGATATTTTGCATTTTTCTATCGACGGGTTCGAGGTTGGCCCAGTTTGCTGCTCCGCGGGCCTTTGCCACATCTGCTCGCATTCGCGGCGGGAAGGCCGTAACGCACGCACCAATTACTGAAACACCCTTTGACTGCTGCGGGGACCTCATGGTCAAACCAGGCAAGTTGACTACCAAAGATATCAGCACAATTCCATTCATGGCGCAATTTGGGCGACCGTTGTGAGTACTTTTCCAAGTGTTTCAATTGACATTCTTTGACGACTTAATGCGATAGATTTTGGGCGCTGTTACGAGGAGCCGGGCTTGAGGCATCACAGCTTCATACAGAAATCTTGGCTTTGGCACGCGCGAAGCTCGTTGCTTCTCGTGAGATCAACAATCGCTATGACACCTTCTCACCTGCTGCAAGACTAGCAGTTCTAGATAGCCAATTGTCTCTGGACTTTGAGCCTCGCCGTGAAAAGGTTCAAATCGAAGAGGCTGCTCTGGTCGAGAGCCACATGCGGTTCGCATATTCTGTTCCTGATCACCAAGAGTACCTGCGGTCTGGATACCCTTCCGAACCCCTTCTTGCCGAGGCTGCTGCCCAGCAACTCAGGACATGGAGGACGCGAGATCCATTCATAGCAGTCGAAATGCTTACCGATATCCTCGAAACTGGCTTGCTTGATCATGGAGAACTGGGGGAGCTTGCCGGACGCCAACTTCTTCTCGATGCCTACCATCGTGCCGTCGAACTAGAACAACGTGATTGTCCGGAGAAGACGCCTCTGAATTTCAGTGCTGGCTGTCGTCTCATAAACTTTATCATAATGTTGTACACCGATGAGTGTGCAAATATGGTTCTTGACAGCACCCCAGATAATTTGGAAGGAATACAGTTCAGAGAGGCATTCAAGGACGCCCTCATTTGCTTCACACACTTCGGGAAAATGGCGGACGACACTGGCATAACCTCCACCGCCGCATGGGCAGCTTTTATCCGTCACATGGCGATCATATGTCGGAATGGCCAACATACCGTCGACTGCATCTTACCTGTCCTCCTCTGGGACACTTGGCTGTGCGAGCATGTCATGACTGGTATGCTTGTTCAGTTCAAGCGACAGATACAAGGCGGTACTATCGCTGAACACTCCATCGACCAAGCTAAGATTGGTTTTTTCCCGAAAGCGTTAGAGGAATGCACACACGGGTCAAGCCCCACGTCCTACCGGCCGTACATCAGCTTAATAATGGAGCTGGGAGTACAAGTAAAAACTCCTGAGGAAGCCAAGACCGCCACTATATCGTCGTTCAAGAAGAAATCCGACAGTCGCCCTCGAACCCCGCCACCGATTGAGGGAAGTCCGGATCAACATGCCAGATACAATATCTTTGCATATGGTTGCTCCTCAACAGTGTACCGCGGCATCGATGCTGGTCATAAAGCTTCATATGCCCTCCTCTTGAGTTCTCGTGACTTCCTCGGAGAGCATCCGCGGAAAGATGCGCAATCACTCAAAGCGGTGCGGCGGATGAAGCCATTTTGGAATGGGGGTGAAGATTGTTACCACTGGGTTGAACATGACAATATACTTCATGGCCCTGTTCGACCCCGGAAGGAGGAATTCCTCGTTGGAGAGAGCATTGGAGCAGGAGGAGAGGAGCAGCAAATCTGACATTGTCAAGCCAACATCCACCACCATTACACCGAATTTTAGGTAAAACACTCATTGTTTACAGTCCGGTGATCGCATACGCAGGCCCCAATTAGTGACCCACCATTATTATTCGCGTCACCGCCTCCACATTATTATATTTTGCGTCCAGAACACACATCGACTGCGACTCCCGTCAGTTTCCCTGACTCATCCCCGTTGTGCCTATTCATTTCTGCTATAAAGGCCTTACAGTTCGGACACTCCTTAAACCTTGCCACGTTGGCGCTTTTGTCTGGTGTTGCTGGTGTCGCGTTGTTGGTTTTTTGGTGTTGTGTGTCGGTTGTGGTTGTTGATCGGGGGAGAGATTGATGATGTTGTTGAGGAGGGGAAGGAGGAGGGAGAGGGAGGTTTGCGGCATAGCACAGTTTGTCGTTGGTGTTTGGTACTCGACCTTTTTCTGGTCAGTATTCCAGAGTCAATCAATCTATCGAGTTTTGGCGGCCTTGCCAAGGCCTTGCTGCAATCCTTTCATTATCACGAATAAGCACTCAACCAGATATTGACCCTTCTGATCACTATATGCAAAGACTGAAAATGTTCACGCGAAAGTTGCTTTCGTGCACTGGCTATGTATGCCAAAAAGCTAACATTCATTTTCATTGGTCATTCCTAACTTCATAACCCCATTGAGAACAAAGGGTGTATTGCAAACACCATTCCACCATTCTTTTGTTTCCAAAAGCGATTTTCCATCTTGCTTGACCCTTGGGACTGATAACACCGAATTGTTGGAACATCTCACGAGGAGTGCTTTGCTTGGTTTATGAAACACAGCAGAGCCTGGCTGCGTAGGAAGGGCCATTGGCTCCAGACTTGATGATGGAGACCATACGGAAGGGTTGTGCAGCTGGAAGGATTTGTGGGAGACAGGCATGTGAGTTAGCAGAGGACGCTAAGAATTGGGGCGGTTGGTACATATATATCATGACAAGAGGATACTTTACAAACCTGATGAGAAATCGCGCGATACCGTTGAACAATATTTTCTGCCGACATAGTCTCGAAGTTGAGTAAAGCATCGGCCATGGATATCTTTGGGGCGTGACTAAGGGTAGAAGAAGTAGGCTGAGGTTGAAGTGAGGCCTGTGGAAACCAAAGTCAGATTTTTCGCATTGAGTCGTGAGTCGTTGTCGTTAATACCTTTCCCGCGCGCATATCCCTCATAACTGACACTAACAGCTTTCCGCCCTCACACGCCAAAGTCTCTTGCAGAGATGTAAACGTTGCTTCCTTTGGCACAGGCTGCACAAGAACAATAGAGTTAGTTATTTTCAGTAATCCAAGGCCCCAAGGCACACATACCACTCTAGTAAACCCCCAAATACCCCCAGCATCGATCCCTTCTTTTTTCTTGAGCATGTTGATGACGCAAACCCCCGTTTCCTGCTCCCCATTGAGCAGAGTGTGTTGAATCGGTGCTGGGCCGCGGTATGCGGGTAGTAGAGACGGATGCACGTTGAGCCTCCTTGTCGGAAGGAACGCGTCTAGTTGAGTTGTAGTCAGGATGCGACCGAAGGACGCGGTTACCAACAAGTGGTCCGGGTTTGGAGAGTCCATCTGGAGCTCAGAAAAAGGAGGTGGGAGCTGGTGGTGGAAAGAACGTGTGTGAGCTCGTCTACGAGAAACACTCTGCGGCATACCTTCCACTGACGGAACTCTGGTTTTGTGTGAGGGATGGAGTGCACTGGGAGATTGAGCGTTTGGCTCAAAATTTTGAGGGGTGCTTGGAAAAGAAGAATCAGATCGGTGTGAAAAACCTCGACGCGTCACTTGAGAAAAGAAACAAGCGTACAGACGGAGAGCAGGGAACCACGTCGGCCAACCTTCTTGTCAGGGTTTGTAGCGACCAATATATTCTGCCATAAATCTATATATGTTAACTGGAAGTCAGCATGAGTGCAGAAACTTTGCTTGTTTGAAAATACGCCTGACCAGAAGCTGCGTAGAGCTCCTTCAAGACGAGGCAGGAGAAGTCGTCGCGTCCCATGAACAGGATTTTGAACCGCTCGTCGCGTTGTTGGCCAGCATGGGAATGAACATGTAACCTTCGAGCTTTCGGGGTGGTATGCACGCGATTTAACCTCCAAATGCGCCAAAGATAAATGGACGGGTGGACTGTTGAGGTTCGAAACATGGAAACGCCAAATAGTGAGAAACACCACTTCTAGGATTACAACTAACGTAACGATAAAGGTTGCAGAGGATGCCAATTATTATTGCTTGCATACAGTCGAATAAATCCTACAGGTATCGCTTCCTTTGTGATATATGGTATACAAAATCACGGTACATAGCGGAACTCCGGCGCCTGTAAGTGTAACGGATGAGTTTAACCTTCCTTTCCAAAAGCATACCACACCTACCTCGTCTGCGAGTTCACTGGTATCAACCTTAGCATTAGTTTTTGGTCGACCATACATTGCATCCCTTCGGGCATTGGCATTTCGATAAGAGATCTACCGAAATTTTGTTAGAGAGTTCAGGTGTGCAGGAAAGGGATTGGGGCAGTACACTCAGAATGATAGAGCACACAGCCGCCAAGAATTCGAGGGCGCAACAGACTGCAAACAAGGGGAAGTGAATAACAATAAAGTGCAGGATCCGAGGCTAACATACTTGCAAAGCCCTTGCTAAAAGGATGACAATGCAAGTTAGGATGCTAAGGAGCAAAAAATGGCAAAGGTGGAAGCCTCACATGTACCGAGGTCCGTCCGTCTTCGGAAATAGGTGAGATCCGAGAATACTTCCACATTGGCCTATGGCCATGAACATGGGAATGCCAGTCGCTTTCTTAGTTTCTGATCCAAGATTATGGGCAACTATAACAGAAATGTTCAGGATACGAAAGCAGGAGAAATGACGCGAGCTTACACCAAGCTATAATAATCCCAATCGTTGTGTATGTTCCACTGACAACGCAAAACGTGGCAAAGTATCGAACATGAACATTTGCATGTACGGTCAGGAGAAGTCTGTTAGATGTGCGACATGAGGAAAGGGTTAGAGCGCGGCGAATACGAAAAAACTGACAAATATCCCAGTCCACCAAGACTGCTAGAGATCGCCATGAAGATGCCTCGGCTTTGTAGTCTATCCGAAATGAGAGAGAGAAGTGTTAAGAGAACGGCTGCCACTGCATAAGGCGGGACTGTCAATAGCTGAGCGAGGGCATTGGCTGGAAGAATGTCAACTTTGGAAATCACACAGGTTAAAAGATTCAGCGCACAGTATCCAAATGTCGTGATAATAGTCGGCAGGAACGCTGAAGTGGAAGCCAGGGCGCAGTTCAAACCAAAGTAAATAACACCTGCAGTGTAAATCTTGCAAGAAAAAATACCTCAATTATTTTATTCATAGTAGAAGGACTGAAGTCCACACTTACTCGCCAATCACGGAGTGCGAGAAAGATGTGAGCTGAGGAGTGGATTAACTTATGTACGCCGCATTCACAACGAGGGAATTACCTTTATTAACGGTTGCCCCCGTATCACCGCTCGTGGATCTGTTCATCCTATCAATGGCAATCGCACGCTCCCGCTCATTCAAAAAGGAAGTAGATTCTGGACGGTCAGGAAGCAGAAAAATTGTCAAGATTCCCAGAAGTATTGGTGGTATTCCCTGAAGGTCTTTGTTAAATAGAGCTTCGCTTGTCTAGATTTGAGCTCACCTCTATGATGAACAAGATTCTCCAATTCTGTAGCGAAGAGTGGATATGCTGCACTCCAAATGCAATAAGGCCTCCAAAGGCACCTGCGACAGCAGCAAAGCCAAACCAATACGCCATCTGTTAGAGTGCATCAGAACATAAAGTTCACAGGATAGATGACGCTCACTCGAAGTCCCATTTCCGTTTTGGTGTAATAATAAGCTTTCAAGCCAAACATATGAGGTTAGAAGTAATATAACAGGAAAGATACATACATAGATATAACGGAATAGAGGGTCCAAAAGCGGCTTCAAAGGCGCCAAGCATAAGACGGCAGACCACCAGTCCGCCAAAGCTAAACCCCGTTGACTACAAAGATAGTCAGAAGACGAGGGTGCTTAAGAACTACCTGCTTTCGCACCATAAGGGTAGAGCACAAGCCCCAGCCAATGGCAGCTGAAGCTATCCATAGGCGAGGGGGAAAGAGTTTGGATATTACAGTTGCTGGAACTTGGAAGAGGATCTGTTGGCAGAGGGTAAAACTAACATTTGAGCCATACAAGGAATACCCTCACATAAGTGAAGAAGAAGGCTGAATTAACCCAATCAAACAGCTCTCCGGTCTTGTCCCCACCAAGAACGTCCTCGGGTAAACCCTGCAGTCGGGCATTGCCCAAGTTTGAGCGGTCCAAGTCTGTTCATCACGTCAGTTTCATTGAACAACCGAAACGAAGGTCACAACTAACATGCAAATAAATAGAGGAGACACGCAATGGGCAATATCCTCCGATCAAGTTTACGAACTAGATTCTTTTCCTCTTCAGACAGCTCCTCTCGACGCGTTCGTTCGTGTCCATAATCGTTCGATATGGTATCTATCTTTTGACCCAAGTTTTTTGTCAGTTCCAGTTCGTCAGACATAAGGGAGGGAGGTAAGAAGCATAATGGGGCCCATGTGAAGAAAGAAGCGAATAGGTGCAGGGCTATTTTTGTCACCTATGATCTGACAACCCAAAATCAACGACTGACCAGCGGGGTATATTCAACATCACTCTTCTGTGATCTGAAGAGCATGGCCGAAACGCTCTTTGCGATCATCGCAGATTGTGCAGCGCAATGTGGGGAGTAGGGAGTCGGATGGTTGTGCTTGCCGAGGGTACACCTGGCGGGGTATTTAACGGTTCACGGTATCTTGAGGGAAGCGCTAGAAGACGACAGGGATGATGATTTGGGAGATGTTCATCCGGACGTGATGTCTGCCTGCACCTGTCAAGTGTCCATTCACGGCTATGATCCAGAGAGGAAAACTCGGTGTATCTTCCGTTGCATCTCTCCCTATTGTCTCAGCCGCGTCGTTGCCGGAGATGATTACACTCCTCATAGGGGTGAGGTTGAAATTTCAGAAGGGAATTCTGGGAATTCAGAATAAGCTTGGAATAAGCTGATGGCTGGTGAATCTGGCACACGACTCTTGAACAAACATGAATTTGACCAAGCCCAGTCCAAGCATTGTATCTTTTCCGGTACTTTCACGCCTCCTATAAGTACGGATGCATCTACATAATTGCTACCCTCGCATTTTTGCCTCAACTTCGCGTCGCGAAAATAGCTATCGCTATCGCGGTGAACGCGCAATGCTAGCATATGAAAGGAGATTGAATCAGGGCGTATCCGGTAAGGTTGGCGAGAGCTCCACGGCAAAATTCCAGCCGTCCAGAAGGAAAAATAGACAGTCACAGAGGGGATAAGCCGAACTCTCGAATAGTGCCATGTTCACTATCTTTGATAACTAAGTCGTCACTGTTAATCACGTAAAATGGATTCGTGAGATCTGCGACAACAGTTTAGTTGATCAAGATGAATGCTCTTACGAAGGTGGGCCCGTACAACTTCCTTCGTTCTCAAGTCAAGCACAATGTTCATCAATGTTGAGAGTCTTTCTATACTGACCCATGGAGGAAAAACGAGTGTTGTCGTTGTCCGGTGGAACTCGTCCTGGTATTGTGCTCCTGGCAAAGATTGAAAGTAGTAAGGACCAACGGTGTGTAGGTGCGAAAGAGAGAAACATTGAATGATTTGGAACACCAACTTCAGGAAATGGCCTGATTTTGGTCAGACAACTTCCATTCCCCAAATAGCCGATGCAAGGATTTTCTGAAACACCTTTGTCGGTATGCAGTCAACCTGTGCTAAACACGCTTCAACGCCGCACTCTCCTCTGCTCCTGGCCTCTGCTGCGCTGTTCAAAGGTGGAGAGATCACGAGGTGATGGTAGCAGAAGGGGTCGCCGAAGCAAGGCGAGCCCCAAAATTTATAGGCTGGGGAGTGTAGGCTACACTACACATACAAATGTCCAATGTCAATACAAGTACAATAGAATATAGTCCATTTTAAAAGAAAACAAGAAGAGGGAGTGGAGGGAGGGCCAAAGAAAATCTGAAGAGATTCTGCGAGAGGCACGATACGTGAGTATTGAGCTGAACGAGGCCTTACAATGCTTCTTACAATCTAGCAGACGAAGTCTGAACTAGAGGGATGTAAGAATGAGGATGACGCTCAATATGACGAAAGCCTCACCAAATGCGCAGTGATTGGAGAGCGTTTGTAGTAAACGATAGGCGGAGCCTAGGTGTGGAGATCACTGACATTTGGATGAGTATGCGGCGCATAAAAAAGAGAGCGCGGAGCGCTTACCTGTGCTGGGTAGACGTGGTCTGAGAGAGAGGGCCAGCACAGGAGAGGGAAGCGACATCGATGACTTCTCCTAACCCAGCATCTGCCAAACTTTGGCACTGAGTCAGGGATCGATGTCGCAACCATGGTTGATGAGCGGGGCTCAAGGGGAAAAGACTCTGCGGAGCTGAATCTTTTCCTGGCGGAGTTTTGAGTTGGCGCAGAGGCCTACGAAATGCCTCCTTACCCTTGGAACCCGCCATTACGACGAGAACATCGCATCCACGATGACTTTGTTCCGGTACGACTGAGATGTAATATCAGATACTAATCGGTATGAATGTGCGGATACTTACGTCGTCACAAGAAATAACTTGAATAGCATCATTTATCGTCCCCGCATGTTCGGACGAGATCCTGAAGATGAAATCAAGGCAAGCTGGATCGAAGGAGTACTTTCTGAGGTTAGCGAGTTCCTCAAATTCTGGCCGGGTGAGATAATCCCAGCCCGTCGTGATGGTGAATGGGAGCCGTGATCACCATTTGCTGTTCCCTGACTAGCATAGATGTACATGGTCCATTGATTCTTGTTTGACTTCCATAGCTCGTAAAGATGATGATGCGATGGTAGGGAATTGAAGAGTTAAGTATCTGAAGCTTCGTAAATGATCAATATATTGCCAACCCAGTGTTTGATTACGGGAGATGCCAATTATCAAAATCCACTATGGCTTGGGACCAGCCAGTGAGTCAGATCACAGGCGTAATTGGTTCCAGCACCTCAATGTGTCGGCTAAGAAGATGTGCAAGCGGTAAGGCCTCAGTTAGGCCATATAGTACGCGGCCAAGGCCCAAGATGATTTTGAAGTTTCATAGGATTTCTGGTGTACGATCACGTGCGCATGTCAAAAAAAACTGGAAGTGACCTGATTCTCACTGCGTATTTAAATACCAAGTCGCCACATCATAATTCATTCCATCACCCTTCCTCTCCTCCTTCGTCTTCCTCTGGTGAGTTGTATTTCTGCCTGGGTTTTGGGACGAAAAAATTATCTGCAAGAATATTGACGACGTGTACCAACACGCTGGGTTGGATTCCTTCTGGAACCATTCAAGTCTCTGATTTATTTCTCTTTTGGCGCCGAGCCGTTGTGGGACGCGAAGTACGTTGGCTAACTTGCTCCACCTCATAACAGTACATCCCTATATAATGGTCCAAACCCAACGTGACGACGGTCGTATCGACAACCGTATCGAAAACTACACCAAGTTCTGGAATAAGGACCTAAAGAAGGAGGAGTCGGCTGATAATGACAAGAGGCTTGACAGCTATACTGACGTCGTGAACGGTAATCTTCTATTCCGTTCTTCAGTGAACGACCCTAATGCCCCCTTTCCCGCTAGGTTATTATGACGGTGCAACGGAGCTTTACGAGTATGGCTGGGCCCAGTCATTCCACTTTTCTCGTTTCTACAAGGGCGAAGCCTTCTTGGCGTCTCTCGCCCGTCACGAACACTACCTCGCCTCGCAAATGACTCTCCGCCCAGGCATGCGTGTCCTTGACGTAGGCTGTGGTGTTGGTGGCCCTGCCCGCGAAATCGCGCAGTTTACGGATTGCACCATTGTTGGCTTGAACAACAACGATTTTCAGATTCAGCGTGCAAGGAAGTACACCCAGAAAGCGGGATTGGAGAACCAGGTCACCTTTGCTAAGGGTGACTTTATGAAGCTCTCGGAACAATTTGGCGAAAACTCCTTCGATGCTGGTCAGTGTTTTCCTCCTCTTTCAAAGAGTGATTCTCATGTTCTCTTCAGTGTACGCTATTGAGGCGACCGTTCATGCCCCGACGTGGGAAGGCGTTTATGGCGAAATCTTCAAGGTCCTTAAGCCAGGAGGCGTGGTCAGTCCACTTCGTTTACTATAATCCGCATAACCTCATGTGTATATCTAGTTCGGCGTCTACGAGTGGGCAATGACTGACGACTGGGATCCTTTAATCCCCGAGCACAAGGAGCTTGCTCACCAGATCGAGCTGGGGAATGGAATCCCTGAGATGCGTCCTCTGCGTCTTGCACGTGAGGCCCTCAAGACCGTTGGATTCCAGATTGAACACGAAGAGGATCTTGCGGATCGCCCAGACCCAATACCCTGGTATTATCCTTTGGAAGGTGATATTCTGAAGGCGCAGACCTTCTGGGATTATTTCACTGTCTGGCGAATGAGCTGGAGCGGCAAGCTCGTAACCCATTCCGCCGTCTGGGTTATGGAGCTCCTCCGGATAGCGCCCCCTGGCACCAGTGCCGTTGGCGAGTCGTTAAAAGTCGCCGCTGACGCCCTTGTCGCTGGTGGCCGCACAAAAGTTAGTTCAATCATCACGGTTCATGAAAGTGTTGCTAATATGTCGACAGCTATTCACCCCAATGTACCTCGTGGTCAGCCGCAAACCCAAGAATTAAACCTATTGGATTATGCGACTTTTATTATATTCCCCCGTCACTCGTTTCTATATACCATACATCTCGTCCGAGGCCTCAACGTTATTTAAAAACTAGTTGCTACATACTGGAGACGTCTTTTGGATTCTGCATAATAGATGGCTACACAGCGAGATGCGAATGCTGACTATCCCGGCAAAGTCCGCGAGTTGAAATCGTAGGAAATCGCAAGAGTGAAAGATTCCGCGAGGTCACTCCAGGTCGCGGCGGCGCTCCCAATGTCAAGCGATCCCAGGGTACACAAGCCCCGCATACCAAAAGCTTACACTGACCAGCAGCTTGCTTTTCTCAGAAGGTACCATTTCCAGTTAGATTCAGGTACTACCAGGTCCTGACAACCCATTAAATAAAAGCCACCTTCCAGAATTCGAACGGAGATCCCAAGGGTCAATACGCGGCGATGCAAAGAAATTCGCTCTTGAGCGCGCGTCGGATTTCATAGTTCGTTTCGGTCTACCCCAAGAGTTCCACGGCGTGGAGGAATCGGAGGCTCGCTTCAAAGAGGCGAATACACTTGTCTACCCCGCGTACCCGTGCTAACTCGCTACAACAGCAAATTTATAATTGGTTCAAAAATACTGTCGGTAGGACAAGACGGAAGCTTGAAGGACGACCAAGAACATCATCGAAGAAGTCGACTGAGAAAGGTGGGTTTTATGCGGTTCAACTAGGAACTCGAATATTCACCACCCGTCATGATCCTAGCGCTACCCATCACAAATGAAATCGCCCAGACTTGGAATACGAATCTCGCAACACCAAATGTTGTTCCATATTCCCATTCGCTTTCTCATTCAGAGAGTAACAGCCCCGCGCTCGTCCAGCCCACACCAATACAGTACGGAAGTTTGCAATCTAATTCGACCATCCAACAGCAGCCACAACCCTCTCCTCATGCAATGGTTGCGCAACAGCCAAATCATCCCCACCCCTTGGATCTAGCTGTTAACCATAACACCCTACGTGAGGGTTTCCTGCAAGGCTTGGATCCGTCGACCGTCGCAAGCATGATACAAACACACGTCGTATCGAACCCTTCTTCAACGCCCCTCACGCCAGTCATTGACGCGCTTTTCGAAGCGACGCTTGCCGATCCCTCGACTTCTTTCAACACTAGAGACCCCCACCCATACCTCCGCCGATTCCTAGACGCATCAACCTATTTCCCCTCTTCCATCGTTCACGCTGGCGTATCTGGCCCCCTGGCAGGCCCAAGAGCGCTTCAAATGCAGATACGCAAGTACTCAATGTGGATGCCATCTCAAACAACAACGTCCCAATGCAGCCCACCATGCTCGGCGTCGTCGACGTCCTCCATCTCAGACGAAATGCAGCGCATTGCGAACGACAGACAAAGACGGAAAGACCATATCCAGTGGGCACGCATACACGCGGCCGCATTGGAGTTGGGAATACTTAATATGGGTCGCGCGGATGCGGATAACACCGCATATGCGTATGCGATGAGCAGGGCTTTTTCTGAGATGATGGCGCGGGATGCGGTTTGGGAGTGTGATGAGGTGGAATGGGTGGCGGGTATTTATGTACTGCGTGCGGTGATTAGGACCGCGATAAGGGGGGATAGGAGGCAAAGGGATGAATATGACGAGCTATTGAGGACGTATGAACGGAGATGGAAGGAAATTAAAGATGAGGCTAGGCAAGCCCTTGTGACGGTCTGCCACCTTTATTAATTGTGCATTTCTCCATTCTGACAATGCTTGGATTCAGGAGGTGTTGCTGTCTGCAAAAGATGATCTGACAAGATTGGACGAGTCACTGGCATGAACTCGTGGATCTGTTCTTGGTGTATTCTATCACTCATTTCAATGTACCATCACCGCAACACATCATGGATTGTATTTTATTCTTGGACATTTATTTATCGAAACATCCGTTGCCTCCAGGATACCTTCGGCCGCCAGTAAAGATGTTCATCGAAATGGTGTAGCATCTTGTGTGGTCCCCCGTTTTCCGAAGCTTTTGAAAGGCGGATCAGCATGCTTCCTACATACTCATTCGATTCTTTTATATGTTTAAGACTCAGGGAAAATGATAATGGAGTTGTATTGATGAACTTGCTCAAAGAGACCGCCTGAACTGAACTTCCACCGCTTACTCGCCTGTGCGTTACGAGGCCTGTTTGCGAGTATAGGTCGACAACGATGACCATCCAACATAACAAGATCTAAAAAAACACCTCCAGGATGTTTCACGGCACGGACAACCTAATAGTGGACAACATCTTCGTCAAAAGACAGTTTTCGCTAATCTTGCTGTCCTGCGCCGTGGCGCGTGTCGTTACGTCGAATTGCCGTAAGCCTTTTCAGGAAGAACAATTTCCCCAGAATTGTCCATACGAGCGCTGGCAAATGGGTCAATGGGGGACTGATACGAAACGAAGTCGGCATACTAACAGGGTCTCGTCCTCGGAATCAGTATGCTCTTTCACCCGAAGATGGATCATGGGAAGTGCAAAGACGAGTCCCGAAACCAGGAGAACCCAGGTAGATAAAAATATGTTCATGAATCTGAATGAGAACTGTAGTCAACCAAGTCATAACCCGCAGAGGTAATCTTACGGAAGTTTTACGGCATCAGCTCTCCAAATTCCAGCAGCGCCGGCAGACTGAATTGACTTATCTGTGTGATTACACGTCGTCAGTAATTAGCAAAGTTGATATTGATCAGGATTTGTACGGACACAAGCCCGTGAAGTGCGCAAGTTTAGCCGGGTCGTTCGACATGGCGCCCATAAGCCAGTAGGCTGTGACTTGCCATATCGCATCCAGAAGTCCACAGAAAATGTAGAGCCAGATCCTTGGGGTATATCCGCGGTCGTGGATATCCAACTGTAAGGGTAGGTTCTCTCTTGTATACCCCCTGGAAACCGTGATTCTGGGGTGCATGGGAATCTGCGTGTGATCGGCTCACCTCTGATAAAAATAAGCCCAGATGTGGACGACCCAAACCATGGCAAAAAGGACTGTCCAGCCCGAAAAGGCTCGAATACGCCGACTGATATTTTTACGATCAAGAAGCATTCCGATGAAGATGGAGCCGAATATTTGAGCTGTCCAGTATACGAGGTTATTAAGTGAGCGAGCACGAATGTTGAACAAGGTTCCATTGTAATCGTTAAATTCTACTCGGCGATTGTAGTGGTCAGTTCCCGCATAAGAGGGTTACTTTGAAGAACGTACGCCAAGTATAAAACCAGTTGGAAGCGAAGAACATGGGAAAGAGAAGCAGGACGAGAGGATCGGTCCTTATGGCAACCCAAAGCCCATAGATTTCTACTTTCCATGATGGGTGGCGAGGAGTGGTGACCTTTGTGCCATCGGTTCGAATCATTTTCTTGGGATCGACCATGAAAAAAGGGATGGTCACTCCGATCAAAGTGAGGACCAAGAATGCAATCTACCAGGGCTCAGCTGGCCTGTCCCGGACAATGGCAATAACACGCACATAGGTTGTGTTACCGACTATAAGCGTCTACGTCAGTAAAGGTAATACTGAAGATATCTTCAGCTTACCATGTGTGCCCTGTATTGTATTCAGTAACGTGAGCGAAAGGAAAGAAACAAAGGATGACTTGCAGTTGATTCAAAATTTATGCCAAGTGACACGGCAGCACCAACAACACCACCGAGGTTAAAGATAGACCAGAATATACTGATAAATTGACCTTTCTGGCTCTCAGTTGGATACGAGAGCATGAGGGAACCTTGGGCCGTCCAAAGAAGACCTGCACAGATCCCAAGGATAGCGCCCGCAGCGATGACAAAACCACTTGCACGAGGGTGGATGTTCATAGCACTAGACGTAGATTGTTAAAACGATGGATGCTCACAGGATAGACATCCAAGACACTCACAGGTACGAACCGATATATAACGCGTATCCGCAACTTCCGAGCAGAAGGGTCAAGCGCGAACCAAGTTTGTTGTTGATTGAGCTGTTAATGCAATTTTGTTAGCATTGAAAACAAAATGGACAGAAGATCAATTCAATGGCTGGCTCACCCCGCGAAAAAAGCAGTGAAAGCAAAAGTGGCATAGAGTGCGGCGTTGGCGTTCGCACTGGTTGTCGCATCCACTTGCCCCCCGGCACCCAAGCCATTCAGGGCATTGAATAGACCTAACGCCTTGGTGTCAGATAAACGGAAAGACTTGAATACGACTGAGTATACCAGGGCACATGAAACAAACGAAACCGAGCATAGCCACCTTGGTTGAAATTAACTGGGGTGGAGGCGCTCGAAGGACGGATCGTACCTGTGTGCGAGGATGGTAATATAGTCCCTTGAAACCCGTCGGCTTTTCAAAAATGGGTTGCTGAGGGTCTGTGTCATTGGTGCTGCTGGTCCCATGTTCAAGCTGTTTCTCTTTCTGGGGAACATCAGCCATGATGCTGGATGATAAGTGGCGTAAGATAGTTGGTGGCCGTCCAAGAGTGGGTTTTCTTTGGGCTATATGCAACCGAGTTGAAGTCTCGAGCGAAAAGCGTGAATATAGTATCTGGCACCCGCGTGTCTCTCAACAATTCCTATTGCCGAGAAAAGTCCACGAATTGTGTGAAAAGCTGGGAGAAAACAACAGAGAAGCTTGATCGGCAATGCACAACCTGAAGTCGTCACCAAGTTGTGATTGTCTTGATCAGTTAACTTACGACTGCTGGTATATGCTGCAGTAAGTAGTGACAACAGGGGGACTTTCTCCAGAAGAAGCGTTGCTAGAGGCAGATCTGAAGCTGATTGCTTGGGGATGGGCAAGGCGCGGTGGCAAGGGGCGTATGAGTGAATATGCACTGATGCTGAGAATGGAGCTCGTGGTTATGGGAAAAGGATGCTACAGAAGTAACGTGCGTTGATAATTCTTTATTCGATAAGGTCTTGTCCGGGGAATTCTCGACGACCGTTCACGGATTAGTAGGGTTGCCCTGATGTACCAGGCTTTGGATGGCCGACTCCTGAACACCTCAAGATCAGAAGGTGGTCCGGACGCCGTTCTCGCCTAGTAGGATACCAAATTGCTAAAAAGAAGGATCATTGCGTGACATCTTGTGTGGTGCCGAACTAGATTTCTGCCATCTGGTCGCATTCTCATTTTGGGTATCAAAGGGGTTGATTATGAACGAGAGGACGACTTCCCCAGTCCGAGTCTTCCTGGAACCAAACGTCAAGTACACCAAGAACTGATAATCGGAGGAGTAGAAAGAACCCAGGGGAATGAACTAGTTACACAGGGAGGTTCAGTTTGGTAGTGGGGATTAAGTGCATTGGAAGTGCATGTGTAACATGACGTACTAGTTGTGACACGCCCAGATGTTTACCACCACATGCTTCAACACCTTGGGGTACGCAGAGCATGTGGGATGTTGGGCAGGAAAGCGGTGAGCCTAGTGAGGCTCTGTTTTTGTCAGTCATCTATTCGAATTTGAATGGCTACAGCTCATCAGGTCAAGATTACAGGTGTGTATTGAAATGAACCAGGACTCTACGCATAACATCTTCTGCATTTTCTCGTTCCACAAACCTTTGAAAAAACGGATCAGTACCCATCTTTCTGTTACTTGCCTCCCCGACCTACCCATGTGGTTCCCTCGGATAGACAATTAACTCGGCAGTTTTTTTTCCTCTCTCCGTAGCCTTCCTTTTCAGGCCTCTCCAAAATCCAACCGATTGGCCAACTGGGACACGCTCGTCCTTCTCACCATGGAGAATCAAGACGGCCGTGTCTACTGCAGCAACTTCATGGATGGGACTCGACTTTCTCTTTGAGCCCCAAGGATCATGCCCACTAATGGCCATCTTCAACCCCACAACTCAGATCGACATAATTTCAGAACTCGAGACGCGTGACCCACCTCAAGCTCCGGTGATGCTGATTGCATGACCATGCCTTCCCAGTCAACTGCCCCAGCACCAACCACAGCTGCCTTGAATCTATTTTTGGTCTTTGTAACTCCCCATGCGGTCAGGGAACCACCTAGCTGTTCATCAGGAAAGAAGCAAGACAGAATTGACCAGATCACGAACCGTGACTCCACCCTGCAACTCCCAACTTTCTTGGGTCGGCCAGCCCTCGTTTAATGACCTCGTCGACCATGCTTTCGCAGTCGGCCCAGTCGTACACGCCTATCCCTGCTTCAGCTGCATGTGCAAACTCGTGTCCCCGACCCTGGCCTATGAACAGTCGGTAAGCACCCAGCCACATCGCCGGATGAATTGGTTTCTCACTGCCTCTGTAATTTGGTGATATCACCAGATATCCCGCAGATGCAAGCATCTCTCGCCAATTGCAAAAGTATGGCATGTAGTCTGTTGCAACGCGAGCTTAGCAAAACTGAAAATTTGTGAATGGGAACCTCCGACCTGGAATGTCACGACTAGCAGCCAAGAATTATATCAGTGGGGGAACTTCAAAAGATTGCGACTAATACCGATATGGACCGCCGTGGATATGCAAAATAGTCGGCAGGAGACCGTTGTACCCTGGGAGATACCTCACCAAGCCACTCAGTTTGATACCATCCGTACTTTCCCAGTGAATAACCTCGGTTTTAATCTGGGGGGCATCTGCAAGCCATTGCAGATGAGACGAAAGCTGGAGCCTTTTTTGTGGTGCAGTCGCCTGAACTCGGATTGACCAAATGTTTGGGGGTCTATGGTGAATTCCGGAGCTCAGGACTGCTGCAAAAACGAATGAAATCTCGTTCTCTTCAGATACACAGCACTTCGCATCCCATGCTCCAAACCAGATTGCCTCCTCACCCTTCGTCTCGAAGAGTGAAGACAAAACTATGATGTTGCCGTCGCGATCATCAACGAAATTTAGTACGTCGATGCGGGTGTCCACATCGGTGCAAACCTCCACTGCAATCATCGCGTTTCGACTCTGTGTTCCATAGCCCATGTCGACGATCCGTACAGCGTCTTCCGTCAGGCCATAAAATTTATTTTCAATCCCATCGAACCGATGTGCCGTCAAAGTCCGGGCATCCAGGACATTGCTCGGCTCGTAGCTTTGTGTACTCACGATGTGACCAGAAGACAGCCAGATAGTTGGACCCGAAGGGGCCCGTGGATATCTGCTTACGACTACGCCTGTGGCGTTCTGTTGGCCTTTCTCATCAGCAGAGATGGCCACTCTCTCCATGATCACCTCCATCTCCGCAAACTCTGCTCCTTTATTTTCTAGTAATCGGCATAGCAACTCCTTACTGTCTGGGCTCCAGGCGAAGCTTTCGACATGTTTATCAGCAAACATTGATGGAACTTTGGGTACGATGCCTGTGCGGAAATCGAATAGCTTCAATCTCGCCAAATCAGCCTTCGCCCCAAAAACCTTCGGTTCACCCTTCAGCTGCTGACGATGTCTGGATTTTCCATCCACCTTATCACCAGCAACGACGAACGCCACGAAATTTCCGTCTGGCGATATCTCGAACTTCTGAACATTTTTCTCTTCAAACCCCTTTGAAAATGCCGTGGCCTCGCTTTCGATTTGGCCCTCTCTCCCAATAGTCATCACGAAGATGTGCCCAGCTTTTCCCGCCTCGTCTCTATCGGACAAGAAAAACACACGCTTTCCGTCTGGGTGCCAGACACCAGCCCTGTCGTTGAAGTCGCCGTTCGTCAGTTGCCGTGCGCTGTATGCAGAGTCCGTTTCGGCCAGCCAAAGTTGAGAAGTTGTGATTTCAGAGACCCTGTAGAACGGCTGTACTTGATACAGAATGCGTCTACCGTCTGGGCTGATTTTCACATCTCGGATTTTGGGAGAGGACGCGATCTTCTCTGGGGAGTGAGATGGATTGACCCTTCTGTTGGGATCTTGCATATCGATGGTAGCTGAAGATAATATCGCTGTTTTATTTTTGAATAAGATGACGGCTATTCGCACGGTAATTTTACAGCCTCACCTGCAAATCACTTCCAAATGATCCTGAAGATCTTTTGATTTCCAAAATGTGTTGTACAAATCTAATGCAATGCAATAATGATACAAATGAGCAAAGTAATACACGTGGCGCGCACAATAAACCCCTTCAATGAAAAAAAAAAGCCAGTTCCAAAGTGCAAGGCAGGCATGTAACACCAAGGCTACCTCCTCACACGCTTCACATCCCCACCCTCACCCACATCAAGTCGTCCCAGTATCTCCCGTTTTGGCTGTCCCTGTCCAGAGGCCTGCTGTAGTCCCATACCAGGACGGGAGCTTCTGTAACCAGAGTTCGACCTATAATTCCCCGGCGTTAATATTAAATAAAACACGAGGGCAAAGGTATGGGAAAGCACCCCATAGCTTCAGCAGGCCTCTTCATTCCCACCCCGGATCCCAGTTCTTCACTATGTCCTTGTTGATTCTGGAGTGGGCTGCTCATGAGCTGTCAAACTAACTCAGACTTGGGACGTACCATAGAGTTGAATTGCCGGTCAGGATTACGGTTCTGATTCTGTATTTGGTTTGATGAATGATGCAAGGGAGGTCTAAAACTCTGGTCTTGGGCTGATTGGTGCTGCCCCGACATGATATTACTGCCAACCCTTCCTTGATTGGAAGTAGGTGTCGTGGTAGCCAAAGAGCGCTGCTGTTGCTGGTGGTTTGGAAGAAGCCTTGATAACATACCCGCTGCAGCCCCAGCTCCAGCTCCAGAAGGACCCGCACTGACCGCGGTCGCAGTATGCATTTGCCTCGACGATTCCGCTTCAGCTTGTTGGGCTAGTGCCGCGTTGATTTGTTCTCTCCGAGAAAGGGAAGCGGACCTTCCGTCTATCTTCCGACTTTGCTGATGCTGCTGTGGTCCTGGATCTTTTCCCGTCGTTCCAATCCCAACGCCAGTCCCGCTTCGTTTAGTTAACTCTTCGCCACTTTCTTTCGAGCCGGACTCAAAATCAATAGGCCGCCCAATATCTGCATCCTCTTGGATAGGCCGGCCCATGTCCGGATCCCGTTCCAAATCAGTGTTGCCAATGGGCCGCCCAAGGTCACCCTCGCCAAGGTCGACGGCTGCAAGGAAGGCGTCGTCATCTGAGAAGAACGTGAACGATTCTTCGCCATCGTCGTCAGTTTTCTCCGCTTTTGGAACGACACGTGTAGGGACAGGCGCAGGCGCTGGCAATTGTTTAAAGGTGGTCGCCTCTGGATAACGGTGCGGCTCGACGATGTCAAATGTGACTTTCCGATCAACTTGAGGCGGTTTTGGTTGCTCCGACTGTTTCTGTTGAGGTGCTGGCCCAGGCGCCGCGGATCTACTCATGAGTTGCTGATACCGTTTGGGGGGTGCAGCCATTCTAGAAGATGGGCCTGCGACCGGTAGTTCAGATCGCATATGCAAAGGGATAGAGGAGATGGGCTTCATTGGCTGGTGGATCTGTGGCTGCTGCTGTACTGGGGGTCGCGTAGGGGTCGTCGCATTCGCCTGATTGAAGTTATGGGGTGGTCTTGGGTAATTTGCATTTGTCGAAGGCGCGATATGGGACGTCAATGAAATGTTGGGCTTCGTATCTTGGAACTCTGGCCTTCTGTGTAGTTGCTCTTGATTAAACTTCGCCTAGATTTAACGGGACATTCAGAAATGATTGATAGAGAACAATGAGAAAATAACATACTGGAGGCACCTTGATTTTAACAACCTCCTGCGTATACGATTTATCGTAGAGGCAATTGCCCAGCAAGTTTCCAAAACTCCTCAAAGCACGCTTCATGCCATCTGTAACAGCCTCTTTCTTGCACTACGGAACCAAGAGTAAATCGGTTTAACCTTAGCGTAGGATCTCAAGACAAACCTTGTCCAGCGCTCCACCCTTGCTCTTTGAGTTTTCTAACATTCCATACCCAATATCTTCGTGAAAGACCCCATCCCTCAACGTCACCCGTACGATGGCAGATGCCCCAACATTGTAACGTTTCGATTCTTCATTGTAATCAATGAAGTCGGTTGTCAGATTCACGACCGTCGTACTCCAGCCATTGAAGCCAAAAACCTCGTTTGCAAGGTTTATTATTCTCCAACCCTCCGCGTATGTCAATTTCGGTCCTCCGCCAGGACCTGGCCGCTGCGAGATGTATTCCGGTCCTAGCTTCTGGTCAAGTTTGGCTTGAAGCGCGGCGATTTTGAGAATGGTATCGTCGGATATACTGTCGTTGGCAAAAAAAGGTTGTGAAATCCCGAATGAGAACGATTGATTGGCTGCGTTTGCGTAGGGGGTTCCATGCATCTGAGGGTTAAAAGACACGTTGCCCGACGATACTATGGGTGACTCGAGCGAATCAATTAAATGTCCACTAAGAGCGCCAGCCATAGTCTGGAAGCTCTCGACCCCCTGTTCCAAGAAACGGATAGGCTGTTCAAAAGTTAGAGTCAGGTCTAGTCAGTCGATCTCAAGTCGAACTTCTAATACTATTGATCCTTATTTACATCCATTGTCATGTCACATGATCGCGCCCTTGATGAACGTGACTGAATTCCAGGCCGTCAAGTCGCCTCTGAGTTCTCCACCTCTCGCGCCTGCGCCTGCTCTCTCCACCTCCCCCCTTTCCAAGAAACTAGGAGTATAAGCATGCCTCCGGAGAGCATTAGCAGAGCCCATATGGTGTACATCCAACCTGAAAGGAAAAAGGTTCACATGCCAAGCAAAAATTAAGAATCGAAGCTTTATCAAGCTTACCATCACCCACTCCGTCCTGTTAAAAATAATACTATTAGAAAGTCAAAACAAATGGGTGGTAGTCGAGGTTTCGAACCTGAAGAGGGACAGCAACTTCTGTCGTAATGAAGGCCATGACTCCTCTGAATGCACTATTGGTTGCAACGGCCGTCGACGAACGCCCATTGTTCGCATCCACGATGTAAGCTATCGTGCTCGTGTACGTCCATCTACAGACAAGTAAGAACTTCTGGAACCAAAATTTTCGGAGAGGTCAAAGAACGCACATCGAGAAAAACCCACAAGCAAACAGAAATACACAAATGGCGGAGACATGTACTTTCTTTTGGTATAACCACCCAAGAACCAGTATACTTGGGGGCAAAAGGAACACGCCTAGGTATGTGCTCTTTAAGCGCATCTAAAACCATAGCGTTAGGCCTTGCTTTAATCTTTACAAAGAGGTTTTGCCACTCACTTCAGGGGAACTCTTCCCTCCGTTCGCCGCCTTCAATAACGACAATGACCTATCCGACCAACGTCCACCCAATACGCTACCCGCAAGACATCCTAACAAGTAGGTGAAATTGGTTTAAGTAGCTGGATTAACTCTTTACAGAGAGGTAAGAAAGTGAACGGGCCTAGTCCATAAGCGAGTGTCACGAGCCCAATCTTCATCGGCCCGTAGTGGTACCGCATGCTTAGACTCCGTGCGGATGTATACGCGACAAGAAAGCCAAATGCGAACGTGAGACCTGACAAGTAATTTTTGAGAACAACGGGTGATGGAAGGAAATGATAATGTACGTACCAGACGCTATGAGAATCACAAAATTATTGACGCGGCGAACGACGAGTAGTATGGGTTTAAATGGATTAACATCCATAAGCGAAAGCTTCGCTATTGGGAGTGCCTGCACGTCGGACTCTTTCTTCTTTTGAATGGTCGCTGTTTTTTTCTTCTCACCCATGCGAGGGAGAGAATGGTTGGTGTAGGTAACATTTGAAGGCGTTGGCGAACTCGTAGGACTGATCCGCATACGCTGCCTCATGGCATTCTGGTATGTAAGGCTTCGCTCGCGGCGGAAAGTGTCCCGAAAGAAAAACAAGAACGCAAGAAAGCTGGATCCTGAGACAATGGAAAGAAACCAAAAAATTGCACGCCAATTAAATCCCGTGGTGAGCGCCCCGCCGAAAATGGGTCCTATGGCCTGTTTTCTGTAAAAATGAGGTATGTGAGAGGAATGAGGAAGAGCTCACGGGGCCAAGGAGAGGCGCCATGTAGTATACACCCATCTAGGAAGGATTGAATACTCAGACTCCTGAGAAAACAGGGTAGCATTAAATTTCACCTTTGTTCCCCGTTCTGCAGGGTCAAAAATATCTGCGAGCGTCGCAGCGCCAATAGCAATGACTGCACTGGATCTGTAATGATTGAGAAGTTATGTATACTTTTGGAAATGAAGCAGCTACTAAACCTACCCTGCAGCTTGAAGCGCTCGAAAGCCTATCACCCTGTGTCACGGCATTGAGATTGAACAAGCAAAAGCCGTGAACGGAATTACTCACAACCCTATGCTTTTACTTAGAGCTACAACAATAGAACCCAATGTGAAGAGGGCGAGAGAAACAAGATAAACCAGCTATAATGATTATGTCAATTATTTGAGAGTAATTTGAGTGAGATAAAACTGTGACACCTTTCTGCCTTTCACTTCGCTAATCGCGCTCCATACCAAAGGCATAAGGCCTTGAACCAGAATGAAAATCGAAAGGCTCAAGCTGAATTGAGCACTCGTAGCAGGTAGATCTGCTTCCATTTCTTGAACAGCAGCTGAACTCGGACGTCAGTAAGATTAAAAATCCATCTTGGCAGTGGCAAACTCACGGTTCTGTACGTTGTTGGCAAGACCCGCAATTAAAGAGGCTGCTGAGATAAGAAACAAGCTTAGGTTCTGTATTAATAAACCGTTGGCAAATGGGAACTGCGTGGTCAACGAAGTAAGATTACTTTACGCAAGGAAGACCACTGCCGAGGATCGTTGGCCACCGGGACATGCTCTATGTCTATTGTAGAAGATGTCGTAGCCGACATGTCTGGCGTCTGCAAGGTCGACTTTCCAGGGTCTTCCTTTCCCGTATCATGAATGCTCGTTGTAGCCGGCAATGACGGTTGCCGATCTTTAGACTGCATGATCATTCGGAGGGATCGGTTAATTTTCTTGTGAAGAGGTCAAACTCAAATGGGGAGGTATCTGAGCAATCCAGGAGACGGGTAGTAAAAAATGAGTGAGCGACTTTTATACCAAAGGTTGGACTCGGAGCTAGGAAAGTAAACCCATGAGAGGCCATGAGTCATTCTCCTTTCTGTCAGATGGCAGCCATATGTTATCTCCATCTCTGAATGTTATGGGGATCAGGCCTCAGGAGGATCGGCTTGATGTCCGACGGCAACAAGCCTTGCAACCGGCGGCAAGGGTTTTTTATTTGAGTACAGTCACAGCATCACGCGAGGTGACGGTTCGAGACGAAGTCACGCCTCATGAGTCACTGCCTCATTACATATTGCTTTACTTCAACGTTACATGAGCTACGCCGTAGACTCTACTGCTTTGCGTCTCAAGCCCACTTCATCTGAATTAACGACGCACAAAAAAAGGCAGCGACCGTCTGAAACTACAGCAGTTCCTAGCACGAAGGACATCTGGACGTGGACACTCACATCCGAAGCCACAGCACCCTGCCATGTTCGCGATGTATTTGAGATGATAGAGAATCCCGAGGGTGTGTGTTACTTACAATAAACAGTGTTAAAATCTCAATTGCGATACAGACTATGATTTCTATTGGTTAGGACGGGTTCCATGTAGGAACGTTCGTCTTGTGGGACTTGTGATCGGGGTTAGCGTGTATCCTAAGAAGATTGTCTACTCCAGTGAGTGCGTGGTGGATATTCTCCATTTGATTTTATGTGACATATTAACAGTTGATGATGGAACGGCAGTGGTCGATTGTACCCATAGCCAAACTCCAAGTCCTTTGAAGAACCGCACACAAAATGTTGCCAAATCAGGCGAGGTAAAGAAAGCCTGTTTGCCCCCCATGCCAACACCTAAGGCGGAAGTAGGCGATTTCATCCAAGTTGTGGGAAGAGTGCAGAAGCGTTTTGAAAGACAGGTGGTCGTCAGTCAATTGTGTCAGTGATCTATCGTCGAGCATAAATTTGGTCTGAACGCTCGTCTTAGCACGTTCATCGCCAAATGGCGAACTCGAACACTGTAGGCTTGTTCGAGGGCTACATATAACGTCCTATTCCCTCTTAAGCCCGTTCGCCATTCCTTCCTCTGGCTCACCACACCATGAAAGTAATGGCGTCTTGAAGCACTCGCCACCGACGAAGCGCACCTTTTCGCCTTCACCGGCGCCGCAATCCAGCCCGCCCACATCGGTAGCATCTAGTCCGGCGAAGTCAAGCGTTACACAACTAGTGCGTACCTGATTTTCCAATTTCTTCCTTGCCGTCTAACGTTTTTTTTACGTCCAGTCTCCACGGAAACTTCGGCATCCGTCTCGGCTGCATTCGAAAGATTTCACTGCGAACACATTTCGGATCTACATGAAACATTATATGGACAATTTGCCGGACCTCGTGTCCCCAATTTACCAGGTCGAGTCACTATCGGACTGTGAGTCCGATGCACAGATCGGCAGGTCCCTAGCTCAGACCCCTGCGTCTCCCACGAAACGTTCCCAATTTGATTCTGCAGTCGTCAGAAATACTGAAGACTTTGCTACTCCTCGTCCAGTAATTAAAGTGGTGGAACATACTCCTCGCCCCCGAATCCGGCCGTTAACATTTGCGGGTGTTGATCTTTCTTCTTCAACATCTGCAGTGCCTCGTGTCACCTCGTCTGTTCCTGTTACTAGAGTTCAAGGACCTCCTACAACCACGAGTACAGCGACAGCAATAGCGTCTCCGCGGGGCTTCTCCCTCTCTTACCTACGACGAGTCCCGGAACTCTCCCTCTTGGCTCGAAAAGTTACCGAGGCAGAGGCGAGGCGGCGCGTACGTGAAGAGAGGAAGAAACCCAAAGAGGCCGCAGAAGCAGTTGGCGGCGCTACATCAAACAGGTTCAGGAGTTCTAAATCCATACCCATCCCTGAAGATAGGCTCGCAGGCAAGATGAAGCGCCTATTTGAATGGGCCATCCGGGCACTGCATAAGGAGGGATCGATCGTTCTGTGGGATGGCCCGGTTCACCCTTGTGCATCAGTGTCTGCAGATGACACTAGTCGCTTGTGGAAAGCGAACAATTCCACCATGTCAAACATGACAGCAAATAGCACTTTATTCAGCTCGAGTTCCCTTGCAGGGTTATCGCAGCTTGAGGACGACGACGGGTACCTCTCTGACCCACAAGAGGGCGAGGAGGCGTATTCCCCCGTTACACCTGACTACCTTACTGAACATGTCGAGAAGGCCATGAAAGGAATGCGTCCAACAGGCCGGGGACAGATAACAGTAGACGGGATATTACGTGCACTTAAGAAAGACGACCGGTGGCGAAATTTGGGCTCGTGGAGTGTTGGTGACACACTGGAGCTGATGTGCAAACATGGGCGGTTGAGGGAGTTGGGCCATGGGATATGGGATTTGGTAAGTTAATGCCTGCTCAACAGCGAACAATGGATGGACCGTTTGTGCTTGGAATTGTATTATAAGTTGCCCAAGGCAAGGCCTTGATTGTATCTATAATCACTGACTTACTATACAGTGCTCTCATGAAATGCTTTCAATCTCTTTTTGTATTGACGTCGAACGTGTACAAGATGCTGCCTATGAACACCATGCAAGCTCCAATTCCTAAATGCGAATTCCAATCGTTGCCGAACCACCAAACGCTAAAACACAGACTCAGTGCCTTACGTGCTGTCAATGCAATGTTTGTGGAAACCGAAGAAACTTTCTATTTGGTGAATATTTCAGTCGAGGGTTAATGATGAAAAGGATGGGGAGTGACGTACCGAACTCAATCGATTCACGCCGGAAACACAGAATAACTGCGTGAAAAGATTCACGAGCAAGATTAAGTATGATGTTAATGCAGGGGTAGATGAGGTGGGGCTAGATAGGCTCGCAATCCCCTGCTTAACATCTGCACCGAGGAATATAAAGGCGGGCAAAGAAAGGAAATGCTTTATATCAAATGCGTGAGAGCTCGTCAACGAGAGTGGGAAGTAAACGTACCGTGTAAAACACACCTTCCTTCCAACAAGGGCCGTACTTGCGGTATGTCCGTTCTTGCAAGAGCCCAAGAAAACCTGTGCAGATTAACGAAACAACGAGCATGGATACCCCAATCACGTATTTTCGCAGCTCTTCTTCGGGGTCAAGAGGCGCTTCCGTAGCTTTGGTCGGTGGGCTTGTCCGAGAAAGCGTGGCAAGCACAACTCCAACTGTGACGATGCCAACGGAAATCTGGTGGAGATAAAGTCAAAGTACCTAAATGCAAACAATCACACTTACAATTTGCATGATTGAGTAGCGTTTCTTCAGAAAGACAAAGCCAAATACCATGGAGATAGGAAGACCTGAACTTGACTTAGTCTCCAACTCCGGGAGAAGATGTCACCTCTACCTGCTGAGCGAAACACGATCTGAAGTGGAAGAGGAACATTGTACGCAAAAGACCAATTGTTAAGAAGAGAACTAGCTGTGAAGACGAAGACCTGTAAGCCCCATTGCGTTAGGGGTACTTGCCGCGGTTTGAGCCGAGGTATAATTCCACCAGACGAGAACGACAGGAATGATGGTAGAGAGAGTACGGTGACGAAGACTGCCTGAGAGAAGGTGAGGGCAGACCCTGGAAGTCACAATGTCAGTGGCATTATATTGAAGTTGATAAACCAATGTACCAATGCGTGGGTTCATGAGGAGCAGCTGCTCATATACCAGCATGTTTCTCAAAAGTTGCGTTGGTTAACTTGTGCGGGCTTTATGACTTCAAACAATGGCTTACGAGCAGCAGCCACCTAGTAACATAGACAGTGCCTAAAATTGTTCAATTAAGCCCTACTCAAGGATAGTTTTTCTTTTGAGGAGAACGCACGGTATAGATATCGAGCAGAGCAGGAGCAATGTGTGACACCCCGAGCCTTTGATCGTCTTCGCAGACTATGGTCTGGTTGGACGGACCATTGTGTGTCGGCGTATTTTTCGCGACATGTTTCCGGCGTAGAGACATTGAAAAGCAGAGTTGACACAGTCGATGGAGTTTACCTCTCCATGAGCACTACCAAAGGACCACAGCCGCGATGAGAAAGGAACGACGCGGTCACCTGCCGGTCCGAGCAAACTAAATCTTGGGTCGGCAAAGTCCGGCCCTGTCTCTTCCCCCTCATGCCAACATGAGCAGACGTGAGCGTGGGATGAATCCATGAAGGCACGTTACACAGTTTTTATAAGGCTCCTCATCGACTGGTATTCTTTTTCTCAAGTTCAATATATGTTCTACTACAGTGCGATTATTTCAGAACAGCAGAGAACCTCAATCTGGCGTACATCAAGGCCCACCTCCCACTTTCATCTTGACAATCTACGCGACATTTCTCCTCGACTTCCTTCATAATTTCATCGGCCTCTTCATCGTTAAAATCGATGAGGAATGAGTTTCGAGCGAACAACTTCATCCAGTCGTACAAACCCGAAGGTATCTCCGTGAATCGTGGGTTCAAAGAGATATGGATCGGTTCGAAGTTTGCTGCGACCAGGAGCTAAGAGAAAAATGTTCAGTTTGATTTTGCCTTCAGCTACGGGTTGCGCGCATACCTTTGTATAATCCTCAACGGATGGGAAATACCAAGGATCATAGACCTTCGGGTCTCGACCACGCGAACGGACTGCCTCAGACAAAGCCATCCGCAATCCTGAATACAACACGAGTTTTAGCAAAGTTGTCCGCCAAAAAAGCGATAAATCTGTACCGATGCAATTAAGAAATCCGCCCATCTCTGCGACGAATCTTCCTCCTGGCTTCAAGACCTTCTTGACGCCCTCAAGAACCCCTGCTGGATTTTGTTTGCACCAATGCAACGTTGCATTGCTGAAGACCGCGTCGAACTTTCCAACGTGCTCCTGGAACTCTTCCGGAATCTGAAGAGCCTGCGCGTCGCCAATGAACGCGTGTTCAATTCCGTTCGCCTTGGCCTTTTCGATCTGTGCGACGAATCAGCATCAGTTTCATGTCTCTCAGTGGTGCTGAAGCATAACGTGCCATGCTCTCGCTGTAATCCACTCCTACAACCAGGCCTCCTTTCTGTCGCCTAACGACCTTGTCAATTACAAACGTGACTTCTCCGCTCCCACAACCTACGTCCAAAATACGCTCTCCTGGTTGCGCGGCGAGTAGGTTCAGGACCGGTGCGACAAATCCAGCCGAATAGACGAACGAAGCTGTTTTATTATACAGCGACGCCGACCAACCTGACGCGTCTGGGGCATCCGAGTCCTGTGAAATCCGTGAAATCTGTGACGACATGATAATACTTGGCTCTTTGCAATATTGGTGAGCTCGATTTGTTAGATATATATAGTGACGATTATTTAGGGGCCTTTCTTCAGACTTTACGATGGAATGGTCGGCCGACAACGAACGCTTCTTCAATCGGCCGAATGACCGAGGTCCGACTCTTATGCTACTATGCCAGTTAGTCGTCCTTGGACCTTCAAGCACCACTCTTAAATCATGATGCGAAGTAAGGTCGGCAACGTCATGTTCGGCCGCAGGGCGTTCTGTCTACGTCCGCAATCTGGCCAGACCTAAGATGTGTTCCCTTATTTTGGAACTGAAATGATCCTGCAATTACTATGACTCTGTGATCGAGGTCCCCGGGTCTCTAGTATTCACAACGTGCCCATACTGTGTTGAGTCATTCAACATTTTACCGAGACATTTCCCACCTTGCTCGGTGCATACGCATTCCCGGTTGTCCTACCGACTAGCCTAACCCCTGCAAATCTGGAAACTTCGACACATGGCATCTTGTTAAGGACGTGCATGGTCTCCAACGAAGATTGTTGGTCTTTCGTTTGAGACCTTCGCTGAGCCGTGCGGTATCTATTATGGGCAGTGATGGACGCCCAAAGAGATTTATATCATGCTTCTTTCTGCAACGTATCACGGTTTCTGGTCTCTGACCCCTCAGATATATCTGCTGTGAAGTCAACGCCACGCGCAAGATGTTGCAGAAACATTGAACGTCCCATATGTTTTGTCAGGCTCAGTCTGACGGGGCCAAGATCGACTTGGTCAAAGCTCTTACCAAGCGTATGCTCTCCCTCGGCTCGAGTATCGACGAGACGGCGAATCACAATATTGACGACAGCGCAAGCCTTGGGAGGGCAGGCTAACTTCTGTCACGTGGGTGTGACGGAACGCGCCCTAGATGATCGTTCCCGAACGTCAATGAGTCAAACCCTTGGTAGAACGTTAGTTGCTACATATCATCCGACATGAAAGGCCTTGGCTACAGCTGCTCCGAGGATGGCGATCTTGAGTTCAGGAAGCTTGGTTCTGGGACGTTTGGTGTCGTCTACCTTCACACTGGTGTGCGTGGTCTAGTTTATCTTCACGCTGGGTCTCATATCATGTCGTAGCTCCCTGGAGTTGTCAAGAAGTGTCGCACAATTAATGGGTGCGACACTCTCAGGAACGAACACAATCAGCTTCATTCGATTCATCAAGCACTCAGCGCCTCTGGGAATGCCATCCTCGCGCCAGCCCCTTTAGAGTTCTACACGATTGACTCAGATTTTTGGGAAGACATCACACTTCCTGCCAATGATGTCTCTAGGACATGCGCGTACGGAATGAGCCGAGTATATGCCCCCCCTCCAGCCCTGCGGAAGAAGATCATCGACTTATTTTGCCCCGCCCACCTGCGCAACAATCCGTCCATCAAACCTAGCATGATCCATGTGGCTCGCATTCTCCTCGGTCGTGCAATTTCCAACCCCGGACGGGTCGCACCACAACGATTTTTCGACACCTATAACTTTCCCCTCACCCGTGACCGTGTTGAACTGCTTGGGATCGATGTTGAAAATACAGCGGTAGAGATGGGTCGTCTGTTAGCCCAAATGCATATGAAGGCCAAGAACGACGCACGGGACATCGAAATCGTTCTCGGCGCCAACGTCACAGACAACTCTTCAAAACCCGATGAACCACGAATTTGGGTCATCGACTTCAACCAAGTAGCTCCGTTCAATTGCACCGAAGAGGAGATACCTCGTCTCGTTGAAGCTTTCTATGCTAATGAAGCTTACTTTCCTCGCCCACGACCCAGTGATGAGTTGTATAATCTGTTTTCGCAAGCATACATTGCAGAGTGTGCAAAGATTGATGATGTGGCAGTTGTGCTCGGCCGTCTGTTTATCCATGCCTTGGAGAGGGAGCAGCTTGCAAGGGACCAGGTGAACTGAGCCATGTTCCCAGTTTTATTCATAAAGCTGGTAGACTTTTGATGTAAAAGATTTGTGATGTCTGCTGTTCATACATATGTAGGCATACAACGGAAACTAGATATCTTGACGCAGTGGAAGTTACTCATGAAAATAACGACATGAACATGAGAGACATAATAGGTATCAAACAGTCCTATCAGACGGGCCATAGAGCCCCAAGCCTCGCCGATTTCACATTCGTATGTCTCAAAGATGACGGCTCTCCTCGCAGACATGCAGTGAAAATTCATCCGGGTGATAGAGGGTATCGGTAGCATCAGCCATAAGCAAGTCACTGTCCGGTTCCGTCGATACTCCGTGGCTGGCGAAAGCATCATGACCAGCATGTACGGACTATCCTCGTAATCCACGGCGTGGACTCAAATTGCGCGGCCGAAACTCGTCTAGAACAACACCTAAGGCCGATGGAGGTGTAAAAGAACGATCGCAAACTATGGTTCAACATAAGTGTCGTCATAAGCGGGTGGAGGAACACTGTTATCTTCTTGCTCAGGGCTGCGGGCTCTCGACGCAGCCGTCGCTTGCGCAGCGGACTTCAGTTGCTCGTTCTCTTGAGTAAGTTGCTCAAGCTGCCGTTGTGATTGAGCCAAGCGGTGCTCAATCGCCGTCCGATGCTGAGAGTACGAACTCTGCATTTCCATCATACGTGTCTTGAGTTCATCGTTTTCCCGCGTCATGCCGTCTATTACCCGTTGCAGCTGCGTTTGGTCTGTTGATGCTTGCATTTGCGCAGTGACCATCTCCAAATCTTGCACCTGTTCACGAAGACGACGGTTTTCCCTCGTCATCTCATCATGTCGAGCGTGGTTTCTGCTCGATAGCAAGAGTTGCTCCATCGAACGCTCCATCTCCCGAACCCTCTCCTTTAGGCGCTCGTTCTCGCGGGTGACGTCTCTCAGCAACACCTGGAGTTCGCGAGAACTCGTACCAGGACTAGAGGACCCGGACATTGCCTCACCCATGTCTGAAATACGGGCCTGTAGATCAGCATTATCCTGTTCCTTCGACGCCAGCGTCTTCTGCAGATCCATGATATTGTCCTTGACTGACTGTTCTGCTGCCTGGGAGTCGCGTAGCTGCGCTATGAGAGACAGGTTGGCTTGTCTTAGCTCCGTCAGCATCTGCGTCGTTTGGCTAAGCTTGAGTTCGGTGTGTTCAAGCTCGTTAACTCGGGAGGAAAGGCGCTGCATCTCCTCTGATATCTCTTCCGACACTAATCCCTGTTCACTCGCCATCAACACTTGTGACATGTTGGATTCCACTTCACGCATTTGAGATTCGAGTAAGCTGTTTTCTTGCACAAGACGTTCGTTATCTTCACGGTGGTCCGCTTGCGATGCTAGCCGCTTTGACAGGGTTTCCACTTGCAGCCTGAGCTCAAGAGTTTGAGATTGCAGCGAGCTGTTTTCTAACACAAGACGTCCGTTATCTTCACGGCGGTCCGTTTGCGACGCTAGCTGCTTCAACAGGGTTTCCACTTGCAGCCTGAGCTGCTTCGTCTCCGTGCGCAGCTCTTCCAAAGGCTCATTGATAGCGATCGGCGGTGATGCGATGAAGGGCGATGTGATGGGAGGCGATGTAGGAGGTGGTGATGTAGGAGGTGGTGATGTTGAAACACTAAGGTTGGGTGGCTTCACCGCTATCGGCGGACGGACTTTCGGTGAATTGGTCAGAAAAGTGAGGGGTATGGATGCTATAGATGTCTGTCTTGAGCGATTAGACACGGTGGGGAGTTCTCGAGGTGGTGCTCCCGTTGAAGAACGTGACAGTCGATGTTTGGCACCATATGCAGGCTCCGGTGGGGTGGTCTCTTTTCCTTTAAGTGTCATAGTCGGGAGTTGTGAGGGTTGCGGGGTTTTCGGGAGAGATAAGGGGCGCATCATTGGTGGTATAAGAGAAGGGGGTAGTTCTTCAGGAAGTTCATTCCCTGCTAACTTTTTCTTAATGAGATGCATCACTACGGCAAACTCGTCGCATGTTAGCTTGTTATCATTACGTATGTCAGCGAGAGACCTATGAGGCAAGTCAGTCCTTCAAAAACTTTCGACTTTGGCTCGAAAGACGCACAGTATTTGGACTAAGACTGAGAAAGAAAGTTTGTACCGCATCAAAAATTTCACAGCATCGTCTTCCTCCACAAAACCTGTTCCGTCGGAGTCCAATATCATAAAGTGTTTGTCAGACTCGAGCTTTTCGGACTGCGACACATCCCATGTCACAGTTCGACCATTGTCTTTAGTCGGCGGAAGAGTTGGGCTGAACTTAGAAGGAGTCCTTGGACTGGGCCTCAGAGATGGATTGTAGAAGGGGCTACTCATACGGCCATCGGAAGAAACAAGTGGCGAACGAAACTTTGGTTCCACGAGACTAACATTCGCCAATTGTTCCGTTATATGAGGGGGAATCGAGGAGGGGACCGAAGACAGTCGACATTCTTTCAATGATTCGATAAGGTACATTCCTAGTGCAAATTCCTGGAAATCTAGGGCTCCACGGACTGTTGAGTCAGCGATATTCCTAAGATGTTATCAGGGACACGCAACGATGGCTGAGTGGATCCTGAACGAACCAGATTGCGGCAAGGTCCTCATAGGCGAGGTCGGACTTCATGAATATCTCCCGTACTTTGTCACCTACAAAACGCGGTCCAGAATTGATAGAATACGGCGTGGGATGTCTGCAGACATACCAGCAAGAATACCAGAAACAGGTTCAGCAGCTAGAAACAAACGGTGGAAACCTCGCACTTCCTGGTCCGAAACTGGTGGAAATTGAGGTGGCGGATAGGCAACACCGTTCTTCCTCGTTCTAGGAACGTCGGATATGTCCTCAAGGGTAGGTATAGGCCCCGCTGCATCGCCAGATAACGTTTAGAGGCAAAATAGAAGTATCGATCTATAGAAAAACACACGTTTTTGCAGCAAATTCAGCGACGGTTCTTCCCCAGCTTGCGCCCAACCCATCAATCGAATCGCGATCGCAGTCTCCTTCTTGGTCAAGCTGCCTTTACTTTGTTCGTCCGCAATGGCCCAAATGTCCCGCAGTTGCGTGTGTGATAGTCCGCTTCGCATGAAGACGCCCACCCCAGCCTCGGAGTCAAGGACACCAGTTGACTCGCAATCCGCAAAGGCCAGGATATCGGAAACCAGCGATTTCTCCTCGTCGGTTGCAAAGAAAGGCCACATCATTGTGGTTCGGGATTAGAGAGCGGGCAGGCAGGGGCTGCTTGAGACTATGTAGGTTTGCGGATAGGCGCCAGGAACTGGGTCCCAGATTGATATGGCGCTGCAGCTGCGGCACTGCCCAACCGTAAATTGTCATGACGTTGATACAACGTCGATCAGAAACCCAATAGAAATTCCTTCCACTCTCCCCGCACTGCTCTCATCACCTTTTTATCTAAATAACAGAATTCACTCGATCACAAAGAACGGCTGTGCGTATAACAAAATCTCTGATTCCAAGTGGTGGTACATGTTCCGGTGTGTGGGTATACTGATGTAAATGCTAATTTTCCTAGATGCGTAACAAGTCTGCGGGATGGATCATGGGGAAATCAAGCGCAGAATAGGTCAAAGTTGAAATATTTCGCCACCATCTCCTCCATATCGCTGTCAGCAATTCCTGGGGAAGGGGGACATTCTGCATTGGACGAATCGCAAAAGCTCAAGAGAGATTCGACACCAAGTTGAAACCTCGCATCGAAGGTCCCATCGCGGACTGTGAGATCGCCTGTGAAGTCCCAGTCCAAACCAAAGGACGATTGATCTCTATAGGAGCATGGAAGAGGCGGCAGAAAGGTCTCCATTGCAGTGAACGCCGCGTAGGGCTTCACTCCAAACTGCTCCGGAATGCGGTCCAAGTGTGGTGGTTGCACGGTGAGATCAAACTCGGGCTCGGGGCTCTGAAAAAATAAGCGATGTCAGGATTCCGACTCAAGAAACTGCGGGCTTGATGAACACACCTTTTTCTCGACCGGAGGCGGCGATAGCTCGAGAACTGGAATCTCGCTGGTTGGGACAAACCTGTCCTCTGAGTCACACTCTTGTTTGACAACCATCTCTTCCTCGGACTCGAAATCCGAGCGCCCCTCGAGTGACGGAGTCGGCGAGGGAGAGGAAGTGTAAACGACGCGCCTGCGAACGCGTCGTTCCGCGGCAACACGAGTAGAGCGCGGCTTAGGCTGCGCAGTTGTCGAGTCCGCAGTGGATTTACGCTTGGGTTTTGACTTTGACTTTGACCCCAACCCCTTGGGTGCATAGCAATAATTGGGGTACTTAATACGGTGCCGCTCCTTGGCGTCGTCGGCAAGACGATAGAATGGTTCCTGCTGTTCGGGCGACAACTTTTTCCAGACAATCCCAGCGTTCCTAGAGAGGTGGTTCTGGAGCTTGTTTGCCTCAGGCGTGTTGTTGTTTCGCATGTAATGGGATCGGAACATGAGGAAGCCATTGGGGGGACGGGGAATGTGTCCCTCCTTCTGGTTCTTCTTTCGAGGCCGACTTTCGATGTTGTAAGGTGCACTGGAATGGGAAGACGCGGAAGTCCAGGAGGAAGAGCGCCTGCGAGCTCGGCGGGAACTTGGCCGAGGAATGGACTCGTCCTGGGATTCCTCGGAGTGATCATTCGCGTTATAGTAGTTCGCGCCGAAAACTGGGAGTTTCGGGATTGCGATCGACGAAGGGGGGGATGGGGATGGGGATCTGGCTTCGGAGGTCATGCATTCGTCGGTGTCGACATCGTTGAGGATCGGCCAACCGTCCTCTATAAAAACTAAGTTAGTGATCTATTATTGGAGTGATGTTATGTCGCCGAGACATACTATCGTAAAAAACTGCGGTTTGCTTGCCCAGGCGTCCAGATTGTCTGCGAACATTGCGGAAGACTGGCATGATATCGATGATATAGAGTTTTTGAGAATACTCGAAGATTAGATTGGATGTTGGAGTTGTTCACTGACGATATCTGACAGCCTACGGCTGCTGGTTTTTGAAGCTTGCATCGTCAACCGCGTTTGTTTCCATAGATGGAGCGTTGGACATTTACCCCCCTTTAATATCACCTCGTTGTCGCCTCGAGGTCAAGGCTCCCTTCCTTCTACTTTGTGATTCACAAAAGGTGGCTCACTTTGGTAAATTTGATGTCATCGAGATTCGATCGACCTCCTGCTCAGGGTTCTACAAGGTTGCAGCAAATCCCTGCAAATCCATCGAGCACAACGGAATACATCGCTGAAACGTCTGAAAGCGTACAATCCTGGGCTTGTTCTGCGATTTCTTATTTACGGTAACGACATCGACGATGGGTTTCAGAGGTGAAGCGCCTTGTTCAATCCAGCGCAGACTGATTCTGAGTAGCCTCTTCAATTTCGTTCAACTTTGCATTGCGCACCAACGACGCGCCATTATCACCTTGCAGGGACCGGGATTCATTTTCAATAACCGACTCAACCCTCGCCCAGCAGGTTGATGTAAATCAAGATTCCGCATTGTCCAAAGCCTCAAGGCGATCTATCACCTAACCATAGCGGATTAGCTGACATTCTAGGGATTCAATCCAGACCTCCAAGTGCATCTTGCACTTCGTCACGAATTTGTGGTCACTTGATTAGAGTTTTAGCTTGGACTGGTCGATAGAGGATATTGAACTGAGCTGATAATTGACGTTCCAGCAGAAATATGTAGGATTCCGCGATAGCCATCTTTCGGTTCTGGACATGACTCGGACTCAGAAACGAAGCAGGTGACACGTCTTGACAGGTATGAATTTCCATTGTACGCAACGTGGTGGATAGCATCATAATGGGGACTAGCAGAATATGTGAAGTTTTTGTGTCAAAAGCTTGATTCGACTGAATATTTGGACTTACCGACACGAACGTTGCAATGGACTGAGTCATTTTCTGTTTTGAAAAGGTGAATAACGGAACAATGTATGAGAAAGTCCCACAAGGAAGTGAAATCAACTGCTAGTAACTTGCGGCTGAAGAAGTCAGCGCCATGACTGGCACAAGTTGGGTATGTCTGCCAAAAATGCCAGATTTGACGAGTGCGTCTCTCCTCTCGCGGGGGATGTATCCATTCCCGCACCGACTCATAGTTTGAAAGCCATGGAAAGACTTGAAGACAACTTGAAAAAGAGTGGATGGTTGGTCGATGGTGCCAATGCATTATATTACGTAACGTTCTTTCTTTCCCTTCAGAAATCTGTCATTTCTCTTCTTCACCTCAGCTGCTACCAGCAGCGTCTTTACGCCGTTGCAACATCCTATCAATTTAAACGGGTCAAAATTCATGGCAGAAGAGCTGCAAGAGGAGGTCAAACCGGACGGAACACCACTAGACACAGAAACTCCTCGCGAAGCTGAGGCTGCTGTTTCCCCTAGTGGTGGGGTAGATGTCGATGCTCAGGAAATGGTCATTGCCTCGCTCCGCCTTCAGGTGCAAGATCTCTTTTCGCAGGTTAATCAGCTCAACAACAAGCTGGTGAAATTATACGATCGGGTCTCCGACCTCGAGGATAATCTCCCTGTCGCTTCCTCCAGTATTCCTTCTTCGTCCCTAAAAATATCTCAGCTTGAGCTTGAGCGCACATAGCATCTCTCCGCTCTAAACACAGGTTTACTCGTTGAAAAATCGCATATTACGGCGGAACTCAACAGGCTTATGGAAAAGGCAACGGAGGAAGCAGCTCAACGCGGTCAGGCAGAGTCGGCTAGGAATGCTATTGAGAAGGATCTTGATGATCTTAGCGCAACACTTTTTGGCCAGGCGAACACAATGGTTGCGGAAGCGCGATTCGCTCAACACCTTAGCGAACGGAAAGTGGAGGACGCACAAAATGCATTGAAGGGAGCGGAGGAGGTTGTCAGTCTCATGCAAAATCAGATGCAAGTTCTGCAAGCAGAGAAGGAGCTCGCAGACAATAAATCGCGAGAAATGGAGTTGCTCATTGGCAAGGGCAAGTGGGTTCAAAGAGGCGAAGTGGACCAGACGCGTTCTCTGAAGTTACTGAGCTCGCATTCTCCATACCAAGAATTTCTTCTCTTTGTGGCCCATTTACGTTTGCTGCGTCCCAATTCGCCGTACCCACCTGCAATGTCAACGCTCCTGCCACTACCCTTCTTGGCGCGGCTTGCATCATGGCTTCGTTCTCCCCGTGAGAAGTTTGGGAAAACAAGCACCCTGCAGAAAAATGAGCGAGTAAAGAGGATACGCGATTTCAGTGGAGTGAGGGCTGGACAAGGTTTCATGTTTAATGCCTTTAAGTTTCCTTCTATTGTTTGTATCGAGAGGGCGGTTTAGTCACAACCCCACCTTTATTTGGATCTATATCTGGACCAGTGAATCACCATCTTGCGATTCAACATCTTGAAGATCTTCTTTATATTGGAGTGGGCTCGTGCTTGAGCATTAGACTGTCTCTCGAGGTAGGTGTAGTACTCCTGCGAATCCCGTTGGATTACGGAGTCCAGGTCTGTTGGGACGAAAGCGGCAAATTTCCTATACCAGTGCTTCGTGAGTTGAAAGTGTGAGGCTGTATAAAGGACTTACGACGGATTCAAATCTGATAACGGGAGCCGTTAGTCAAGGAGTACGAGCAGCCGAGGTGGATAACGTACTCCTGGCAATCGAGAGGCTTTTCACTTTGTCCGACAGAATCCTGGATAGAGTGGTTCTTCAGGGGGGAGTTGGGCATGTACAGCTGGGCACTGTGCAACCACCCACAAATAACAGACCTTTTCAGCTTACGATCTTGACTTCCTCGCCAGTCTCCCTCTCGCTCCCAGAACCATCCGGAATCGTCATAGTCTTGTCTCTACTGTATGCGCGATCTTTCCAGGGCTTCAAACAAAGCGCTGACTGGAGCCTTAACTTTGCCCTTGTCACTGGGAGAAGATAAACCCATTGCGCATTCCAACCACGTTTGGTTCCATGCGAACAGCGTTAATTTGGAAATCAATTCGGAGAAGGGGAATTATGTAGTCTATGTGTGTTGTTTCGCTTGTTGTTTTGCTCAATGGTTGGTAGGTTCGCATCGCCCGCCACGTCCCCGTACGTCCAGGCGCGATCAGCTGGTACAATTGGGACATTGAGTTAGTACGATGTCAGAACCCACGTAGAGTCAAACAGAATGGTTCTGTCAATGTCTGCCCAGGTCTCCAAGAAATCCTTATCTGAAGAGCCATCAACAACAAGCCTGCACTGAACCAAAAGCAAAAAACCCACATTCCACAACAAACTGCCCATTAACTATGTCCAAAACCTTCAGTCACTTCGCCCTCCATTCCTTCGAGCCATCTGACCACGGGCCCGTCCACTCATACCTTACAGGTTACGAATGTCCACGAAGCGTTTGCCTTTACATTCAACTGCGCGTAAGACCGAATACGCGTGGTTAGTAATGAGCCCTTGCACGTCAACGTCATCATCTTGGTTGTTCCGGGAGTTATCAACTGCCAGTGTGTAAGCTCAGCGTAAGCCCAGGTACAACTGAACAGCCAAACAGCCGATCTTTGTTCGCGCGAGAAAGTTCGTCCACCCAGAACCGGTCAGGGTCAAGGATGTCCTTGGTTATAATGTACGTCGCTACTCCACTAAAAAAAGTTACCTCAGCCGAAGAAAAACATAAAAAAGGGTCAAACCCTGTAAGTTCCTCCTACGCCTCCGCCTCCGAACCTCCATTCAAATGGTCGTAATTCCCATGCAACTTCCGTCATCCCAGATCTGGCGAAATGCAGAGTCTTGTCCCCCTTGCGCGCGATACGGTTATAGTTCGACTTGTCGTCACGGTATAGTGCTTTTTCACTGTCGCTGAGTTCTTTAGATTTGGGAATTTGTGTGAATGGTTGACTGGGGTGGGGGAGGGATTGTTAGCGTCGGGTGTAACACTAGATTTGCTCGGAGGGAGAAGGATTACTGGTCAATGACGGGGTCGACCCATCGATCATTCTTGAAAAACACCAATCCATACACTCCGACTTGTTCATCCCGCTGTAGAACAAACCAACCATCAACATCCAATAACACACGAACAAACCAAGAAAAAAAGAAATATACGCTGCAATGCAAACCTTCTCAATCAACCCTTACGTCGTGCTCGCAATAGCCGGCGCCGAGAGCAACCAACAGTCCCCCAATTTGCCCTGCGCAATATCATTCAAACTCGCCGCACCCTTTGCCAAGAAAAAGTGTGGATTCTCGAATATCTGGGTGACGCGGAGAGCATCCGCGTGTGAACCTTCGTTGTCACTCGTTGCGGGGGAAGAGATGCCATACACCGGTGGATGTCGTTTTCGAGGTCGAATTCGATGTCTCTGTTGTTGTTATTATTATTATTTGGTTAGATAATTAGATAGTGGGCGGGAGGGAAAGGAGACGGGATCACAAACCTGAATTTACGGTTCCTGGCTCTACAATCGCTCAACCTTAGCTCTACACTCCTCAATCGCCGCATCTAGTTCGTCAGTGACTAGCGACCCAGGCTATTCATCCGGGTCCACGAAACAGATCATATTGGTCGGCCTGTCGTCAGGCGATTTGGCATCCTCTCCTTCCGGGTTGTCATCCGTAGGAATTGATGATTGACGTTTCAGCAGAAATAGGATTCCGCGATAGTCAGCTTTCGGTTCTGGACAGGACTCGGATGACTCAGAAACGAACCAGGTGACAGGTCTTGACAGGTATGAATTTCCATTGTACACAACGGGTGATAACATCATAATGTGGGACTAGTAAATTATCAAAAACCATGAAGATTGTGTGTCAAAAGCTTGATTCGAAAGAATATTTGCACTCACCAAAACGAAGGTTGTATTGGACTGAGCCATTTTCTGTTTAAATAACGGAACAATGTTCCACAAGCAAGGGATAGTAAGTAACTTGCGGCTCAAGAAGTCAGTTGCAGGTGGGAGTCATGACTGGCGCGAGTGAGTGTGTCTGTCGAAAATGGCAGATTTGACGAATGAGATAAGTCCCCCGCGAGAGGAGGAGGCCCACACCCAACCCACACCTGTACCGATTCCCGTATCGACTGATAGTTTGGAAGTCATGGAAAGAATTGAAGGCAAACATATATTACGTAACGTCTGTTCCCTTTGAACCGCTACCAGCAGCGTATTTACGCCATTGCAACATCTTTAAACGGGTCAAAATTCATGGCAGAAGAGCTGCAAGGGGAGGTCAAACAGGACGGAACACCACCAGCCAAAGAAACCCATCACGAAGCTGCTGCTGTTTCCCCTAAACACCAGCTAAATGGGACCAGTGGTGGTGGGGTAGATGTCGATGCTCAGGAAATGGTCATTGCCTCGCTCCGCCTTCAGGTCCAAGATCTCTTTTCCCAGGTCAACCAGCTCAATAACAAGCTGGTGAAATCATATGATCGGGTCTCCGACCTCGAGGACAATCTCCATGTCGCTTCCTCCAGTCTTCGTTCTTCGTCCCTAAAGATATCTCAGCTTGAGCTTGAGCGCACACAGCATCTCTCTGCTCTGAACACAGGTTTACTCGTTGAGAAATCGCATGTCACGGCGGAGCTCAACAGGCTTATGGAAAAGGCAACGGAGGAAGCAGCTCAACGCGGTCAGGCAGAGTCGGCTAGGAATGCTATTGAGAAGGATCTCGATGATCTTAGCGCAACACTTTTTGGACAGGCGAACACAATGGTTGCGGAAGCGCGATTCGCTCAGCACCTTAGCGAACGGAAAGTGGAGGACGCACAAAGTGCATTGAAGGGAGCGGAGGAGGTTGTTAGTCTCATGCAAAATCAGATGCAAGTCTTGCAAGCAGAGAAGGAGCTTGCAGACAATAAATCGCGAGAAATGGAGTTGCTCATGGGCAAGGGCAAGTGGGTTCAAAGAGGCGAAGTCGATCAGACGCGTTCTCTGAAGTTACTGAGCTCGCATTCTCCATACCAAGAATTCCTTCTCTTTGTGGCCCATTTACGTTTGCTGCGTCCCAACTCGCCTTGCCCACCTGCAATGTCAACGCTCCTGCCACTACCCTTCTTGGCGCGGCTATTGAACGAAGACTCGTGGGTAGCTCTCCCGTTTGCATCATCTTGCTATTCATATTTTTTGCTCACAGTGAACCAACTGTTCGTCTCGACCTCGCCCCATCGTTAAACTGGCTCTCTCGGCGTTCTGTTCTTGCTGCCATTCACACCGGTCAACTCACCATCGAACCCATTCCGGTTGGTACTCTGCTACAAGAAGCCTCATCGTTCCCAACGCCCACGACCATTGCGGGCCTTAACAGCAGCAATGATAATGCTTCATGTGCCCTTTGTGGTACATCCGTATTTTCCACAGATGCAACATCTTTGCGACCGAGCAGACCCAACCCGCACCCGGTGAGCATTAGCAACTTCCACTCAAACTCAGCAACTTGGTCGGCAGGTGCTTTTTTTAAGCGCACATCTTCAACGCTTAACACCACACAACCGCCATCACCTACAAATTCTGCCTCCCGGGCGTCAACGGCAGAGGTCACCTCACATCACGTTTACATATTCCGACTTGCATCGACACCAGCATCGACTATCTCTGCCTTCCCACTTCCTAACCTCTCCAAATCATTATCTAGCACAGGCTCCTCTACCCCTCCTCAACATCCCTCTGGATACAATAGTAGCCCGTCTTCCGCAGCATCAAATAACCAATCTACAACCATATACCCCTTGTGTTCATCTGGCTGGTGCCTCCTTCGTCTTCGTGCGACATGTAGTTTATGGTCTTTTGTTCGTACCGGAATCGTCGAAAAGGTTTGGGAAGAGGAAGTCCCTACCGCATTTTCACCACCACCTTCCGTTCCTCAGCCGGGTGGTGGGGAAAAACCGCCCATACCTCCGAGGAAACGAGGTTTATGGGGTATAGCCAGCGCTCTAGGAGAGAAGGCTGCAAGTTGGAGTGACAGTGATAAAGGCAAGGGGAAGCCATCTGCAACAGCGACCCTTCCAAACACGCCCCCATCTGAACCAGCAGTTTCGGAAGTTAAGAAAAGGCAATTACCTCCTCCACCTCCCTCTCATCCATCCAGTGCTACTGGACATGGTCCTCAGCCCTCTGTGCATGGTGTGCCTCCTCCCCTGCCAAAAAGAAACGCAGGACGCGGTCGTGTGCCCTTGAAACCATCGCCAAGCGGTTCAGATGCCGAAGCGCCTGCAGCCACTGCTGCCACGCCCCAAACCGATCTCGTTACGACAACCGAGCCACCTACTAATTCGCAAACAGTGTCAGCAGCGCCGTTAATGCCTCCTGAACGATCATCAACCCCGCATAGCGTTCCTCTACCCGAGTCGCGGCCATCGACCCCAGCGAATCTACCACCTCGTATCGCGTCGCCTGCTGCTGTGGGCGCGACTCCTCCATTGCCTAGGAGGGCGGCGGCGAGAAGGCCTGTTCCTCCGGTTACGGGCAGTAGTCTTTCACGACCCACAACCCCTGCTGTCAGCAATACCACTCCGCCTCCGACTGAAAACCCTCCTCCTGTCGAAAGAGAGCCCGTTGTTGCTGATATTGAGGCTGCGATAAGTCCGGCGGCCCCTGGAGCGGCGAGCGAAGGAGAAGTTAGCGAAGAGTCTGAGTTGGAGAAGCCGAGACCAGTTGCGGATGCTGAAGAGGTCGTCAACCTCGCTACCGTTGTTGACGAGAAGACGACGGCCCCTAGTCTCGAGGAAGCTGTTGATGAAAGCGCTACTACCGAAGGCAAGCTCTTAGACAGGTCCATGCAGGGATCTCCAGTCTCCGAAGATGTTTTCCTAGATGCACCATCAGAAAAGGTGGCTAGTGGTCAATCTTCACCGACACTCAAACTCAATGAGGAAAATACCGTTGTGGAAAGCAAACCTGTTGGTAGCAATGATCTATCCGAATTACGGGGTGTTTCTGAGGGCCATTCCGAGGATCAAGATGAGACGGCTGTGTCCAAGGACAAGGGGACGTACATTGGGGACACAACGTGGGAAGAGAGGACGTGGAAGGAGCTTGTCAGGTTGAAGGAGGATATGTTTTGGGCGCGTGTCGGCGGATTACGATGACAACAACTATGATGAACTATACAATATCTATACCCCAACAAGTAGAGCACAAATGTTTCACCATAAATTATAATGAATTTGTTGTACTTCAGTGTCCAGCTATCATAGGCAATATGTAGATCTTACACGCTCCTCATTTCCTTCCCGAGATCTACACCTTCCTAGAGACCTCGCTGGGAACTGATTGTTGAATCCACGCAGAGTGTCGCTTGACAAGCTCCGTCACGATGTCTTCCTCTATCTCCTTGACCTGGCTAGCAGGTACAGTGGAGTCTGGAATATCGATGCGAAGCCAGTACTCCGAAAAGGTATCTGAGAGGGTATCCCAAGCAGGAACATCTCCATCCACATCAGTGACGGCCGTAGTTGGTTCGGGGTGGGCACCTGGTGGCAGAGAGGGAAGGAGTTTACGCGAGACGAAGACGACTTCATGCTTTCGTCGGTGTAAGTCGTTGCCGATGACCACTTGGTGGCCGTATCGTTCAAGTGCGGCACAGGATTTGGGTATGAGCAGCGCTGGGTCCGTTTCTAGCTGTTAAGCAACAGAAGGGGCATTGATTTTCTGAGAATGAGACGCATATTCAAGGTGTACCTTGAAGGAAATCACGAAACCTTCCCGTGTCCACTCGTCCACCACTGACCCTAAAATTTTGGGAACCTGATCCATTTCAATATGGAGGCTCCCTTTGCCGGATTGGATTTTGTGCTCTGACTGACGCAAAATCATTAGTGATGAAGGGGAGTTAAAGAAAGATAGTACCATCTTCTGTCTTGGAAGGAAAAAGTCGCTGACGGCGGCAGCGAGATAGAACATCGCGTTCCTGCGCAGAACGGCGAGCTCCTGGCTAAGAGCGCGAAGCAACCAAAGGTAGTCATTCACAGTTACAAAGGTGAGACTGTGAAGTGTCCCAGCGGCGTGCACGGCTTTATAAGTGTTCAACACCTCCAAGAGGTCCTCCCGCTTCTCTGGGGTTACCGAGATCCTGGGAGTCGAATCCACTTGAAATCCATCCCTATCGATTTCAAGAAAATCGAGGAAAGGGTTCGTGGAGTGTGAGTAATGCCTGCTAAATGGTTGCAGGCTGAACTGCCTGTGCATAAAAATGACGGCATAGCCTGCTTTCAGAAAATACTCTGCAGAGGTCGCGCCACGGGTTCCTGATGTGCGCAATCGTTTAGTAACTCGGTGAAGGTGGGATCGGCAGAGCGTACCAGCACTAAAGTTGTCTAAGAACCGGACGCTGGAAGATCGGGCGATAGTTCATAAGCCACCAGCCCGCATGCGCAGCAACAAAATGCGCTCACACATTGAGCTCCAGTGGTACAGTTGTACCACCGCTCTATGGAACGGTAAATGGATGTTGAAGGGGGTATGATTGGAGAGTAAACGCACAGTCACTAAAACCACCTTCCTTCCCTCTTTTGCTTGCCTCGCCACAAAATTCTTTACTTGTTCGACGTCGTGGTGGAGAGTTGAAGGAGGGGGTTGGGTTGCAAAGTAATCCTCCGCGGAAAAGGTAGTTGGCTCGACGTTCATATCGTAAAAACTCCGCCACCTCCGGAAATTTGATCAGGTAAGTTCTGTAGAGTCGAGTTCAACACCTCAGCGAAGGTATATATACTCTGGTTGCAGAGAATTCTCGGTAAAGTGTATGTTGTCACCGTTGCCGCTGAAACCCAGGTCCAATGTTTAGTCACTTTCCGGTCACCGTCATACCATCACGGACAACAACACGCAGTCTTTCAAGGTATCTTACGGTTCAAGGTCTAAAACTAGTGATTGTAGTGAAGAACGGTATGGCTACATGTTCAGTGGACTATTGGCATGCGTCGGATATTGTCCCACCAAGTATTTTTATGTGCATGCGCGCTTTGTGACTCTCGCTCTGGCGGCTTACTGTCCTGGTGAATGGGCTCGACTTTCTAGTGTGTTGGTTCCGTATGGCACCCCGAGGGCTCACGACGAGAGAATGAGGTCCGTTGTCAGCGCCGAACGCGCCTATTGGACTGATGATGGGCAGGTACATCATCAAGAGGAATCGAACGCGGCGGAAGGGTATTCAACGATGTTCTTGGCGGTCGACTTTTCTATCATCAACATCCATATCACAAGTTCTCAAGATGCTCTTTGGCCTCGCCATCGCGCATAGTTCTTGAATTGTCAAGTGGCCCAAGGGACTGCCTGACATCTCGAAATTGACGCGATCCTCTCTCTCAAAACGGGTTAGTGCCAGGACAAGTCGACATTCCTACCAGCGGAGCACGCCATACCACCGGGACCGATACATAATACATTTGCCAAGCGCTACCTAGCATCTCAAAGTCCAATGACTCTCTCGAAAACGAGCTCCGTATCATCTACCTCGGCTGGTCGACTTTCTTACCAGCTGGACCAGTAAGGTGTAACTTTTTTTTTTTTTTGCAAACTTTGCAATTAAAACGCTGACTTTTCAATGAAAGGGGCTGCCAAGACCATTCCCCCTCTCCAGTCAATTCCCAAGTGGCGCTGGCAAGGTCCTTCCAACTTGCAAGCCACATCTGGAGGAAGCATCGATATCACAGTCGTGTATTTAAAAAAGAATACCAAGGTATACATATGTATATACACCAAAATGCAAGTAAGTTACATGTGTACAGTAAACGAGTAGTTTACAGATACAATTTTTTTTTTCAACCACCCTTCGAAGTGGTGCACATATTTAACCGAAGGAATTCAAGCAAAGTGTCCTATAGTATTGCAAATGAAGGAAAAGGGAAAGCGTCAATAGTGGTTAGAGAGTCAAGTCAAGTGTCAGTTGGGTTGTAAGTAGCGATCCAAAAGGAAATTAGCGATGAACGTTGGTTGGCCCGATAGAGAGTAGTGTTGGAGCGCTGGAGAGTGGAGTCCAATTAAAGTGTTGGAGAGTGGAGTCCGAGAAAAAAGTTCGAAGGAATGGCCCTGATTCGAATATAAAATTCCGTTTTGCAAGGGGGAAGTATAACCGTTCCAAAGAGCAATTAAAAGTCGACGACGTCCAAGTATAAAGCTCCGCGACAAGAAAAAAAGGGAGGGAGATTGGCATTTGTTCATTTCGTATCGTCGCATCCTCGGTCCGCAGCGCCAAGTAAAACCACCACCTCGAGGCTCCTGGCTTAACGCCTTCATTTAACGCACTCCACCTCCCTCCGACTCCAAAACTTCAAATGACCCAGCCCCTGCGAATTCAACAACGCACCCAGCGCATTCCGCTTCTTCAACGACGGCTTTCGCTTATGCAAAGCCTCTGAGGAATCGTCGCCATCACGTTCCTTCGATCGACCAGGCACCCCTGGAAGGCCAAGACCAGATGCACGTCCCTGGAATTGCGATGGCGCGTTCGGTGCGTGTTGTCCATGGGCGCTCCGTCGTGTTTTGGATGAACGCCGTCCAACTCGTGCCCATCTTTCTTTTACCCCACCACCACTACCACCTCGTCTTCCACTAGTACTACGACCCAACCTCCTCTGCTGCACCTCCGCCTCATCCTCATCCGATGGGCTCGTAAAACCACTCTCCACGCTCGAATTACTCCTACTCGAGCCTTCAGCGCTTTCCGGGGGCGTAGGCAGCCCATTCACACCTATCCCCACCTCTTTATCATGATCAGACATCATCCTCCTCCTCTCCGGTTTTCTTCGGCTCGATTTCGTGCGTACAGGTGGAGGAAGGGTCAACACCACCTGAGCATCTGAATCATCCGCAGAATCATCACCTTCCACAAGCACCTCACCCCCATTCCCAATCCACGCTTTCCCTCCGCCTCCAAAATCGTCAACGGGATCCAACGCTCCTAACAAAAGAGCTTCTCCAAGACTTGCTTGGGTGCCAGCGCCATCGAGACGCAAGACGTATCCCAATAGGCCAGCAGCGACGAGGTACGGCACGGGAATCTCCCTCTTTGCTTGCTGGTCTCCAAAACTAGTCGCATGTCGGATGCCTGGACGGGCATCCCCATCCACAATCTTCTTCTTCCCCTTCCTGTCCTCCGGAGCCGACGAGATGGAATGTAAAGGGTACCCAAAAGCCAACAAAAACTGTTCAATGCTCTGCACCAATTTCGGCTTTACCTCGTTCTGCTTTTCTTTCGCAGACGGCTGCCGGAGCGGATTTTTAGGCGGCAACGGGATGTTAGGGCGTGAAGACCCTGCACTGGATGATGATCCGAAGGCGGCACTGGCACCTTGGGTTGACGTTGACGTTGACGTCAGGGAGAAGCCGCGAGGGAGTACGTGAACGATGTGAGCTGACACATTTGCCGACGTCGGCATGTGAGCTTCCAAGTCGGGTGTCGAGCGGAAAAAGGAGGAGGAAGAGCGCGTGTTGTGGTCATCAAAGGAGGGTGGGGTGATGAGAAAGGGAGCGGTGAGGGTTGTGACGAGGATGGCGTGTTTTAGGAGAGCTTTTTCTACGAGGCCTGAAGGAAGGCAATTAATGATCGCGTCGAATGGACGACGGGTGATATTGATTTTTTTCGAAGGCTTGGCGTGGCGGCGTTTGGAAGGGGAGTGGGAGCGAAAGAAAGCTTGTGAAGAAGAAGCTTCTGAAGCAATGGAAGGGGCAGGAGAAGGTTCATGGGGCGAGGAGAAGGGGGATGAGACATGAGATGATGATGATGGATGCTCCGCAGCAACGTAGGGTTCTAGAATGGTGAAGGGGCCATTATGGCCGTCTTCTGCCAACTGGATGAGGCGTGGCGAGCTAGAATTTGGATGGGCCGCGGCTATACGCTGTGCACGGTCGAGGAGAGAGGCGAGACGGAGCGCACCAGAGTCGTGCACTGCGAGAGGTTGTGCGAGGCGTAGGATGCAAACTGAGGGACCTGTGCGTATCAGAGGCAAAGACGGAGGTGTATGTGTTGCTATGAGGATGAGAGAGTGAGATAGACGTGGAGAGTGAAGCAGAGGGAGGATGTCTGCTTGGAGGGGATCTTGGGGGGTCAAGGTGAGTTTGTGTGAATTTTAAGAAAAGAGACTCAGACTGACCTCCGATGAACAAGACAATATAAGGTGTCGGGTCAAGTACTAAACATTGCTTGTTGAGCCGCCATGGGTTGTAGCCGTCGTTGAACGGATTGAGCGGGAGTCTTGGGCGGAAGTCGTTCATCGTGGGTTAACCAACGGATGAGAACGAGGGTCTTTATCCGCTACATTATGTCACATGTATGACAATAATCTTATCAGATTAACTATAGATCTACTCTCAAAAGTCCAATTACAACTCTAGGTAAAAGAATGCTATCTGAAATCCTACTTTCCTCCAGACGTCTTGAACAGCACAAGTCCACCAAGCGCAATCGAGTATCCTACCACAAACTCAGTCACATTCATAATTTAAAAAAGGGAAACAACATACCAAACACCTGTAATGGCGTTACTTGCGATCCGAAAATCACAACGCTTCCAGTGATGAGAAGAATGTCCTGATCATTCATGACCGTAGTGAGAAAACGCAACATAATCGGTCCGATCTCGGCCTCAACTCACCTTGAACACCCCTGCAAGCGTCAATACAAGTCCGCTGCCCACACCCACGAGGAAAACAGCGGCGACGTTGAGCAGGAACGCCACAGAGGCATTACTGATAAGCACAAGCGCGCCAAGATCCTTGAGCGCGTAGAACGGTGCCAAGCCTTCTGTAAATGGCAGGAAGAACAGTGTGATGGTGGCGCACACTGGGGCGTAGTAGTGTAACGAGACCAGAGGATCCATCTTGAGGTTGTGCAACAAAATTTGAATCATCACCAGGCGAGAGGATTCAAACTATCGGGCACTATCAGTTTTACAGTAAGAGAAAGAAAGAAGAAACGAGCGTACGGCGACTGCAGCAGCTTGTGTTATAAAACCGATAAGGTTGAACCTCAGTTCACCGTGCGATGTGAGCGCGACGCCTGCAGAGATCATAAACACAATAACGGCGAGCTTCCTATTCGGCTCTGCGATGCGGAAAGTCCACGAAATCAAGAGGATAGCGACGGGTGTAAACGCCTAGCATTCATCTCGTCAGTCAGCATCTCCTCTCTCAACCCAAAGAAAGCCAACGCCCACCTTGAGCATCTGAATATACGACACGCTCAAATAAAGGTACGCCGTATTGCTCAAAATCAAGCTCCCAGAAAAGAGCACCCCAATCGGCAAAATCGAACGAACAAACATATCCTTGCTCATCTTCACCTCCTTCGCCCCATCCAAAAGCCTCGTCGTCCTCTGCAAAATCCTCGTGCCCACAGCCGCAAACGCCAAATGGAACGTCACCAGAAAGACGGGATACTTGAAGTTGAGGGTGTTGTACAGATAATTGTTGTATATGATCACGCTGGAGCTGAGGACGATCCAGATGGGGATGATGGCGCTTGCGGATAGTTTGGGTTTGGATGATTTGGGGGTGGCTGAGACGGGGGTGGGGAGGGGTGAAGAGTCGTCGCTGGCATCGTCAAATGGCAACTTTGTCTCGACTCCAAGGAACTTTTCCTCTTCTTGCATGGAGGTGGAGGTGGCCATGATGGATGGAAAATGCTGTCCAACAAAAAGGGGGTTGGTCAATCGATGGAATGACGGCAGGGTATGTAGGGAACGTACAGCGTGTGTGTGGGTGGGAGTAGGGAAGCGAGGTTGATTGACCGCCCGTGTGTGTGTTGGCCGGCGCTGACAATATATCAAAATTGGAAAAAACAAGATCGGCCGCCCCTTTCATTGTGTCTTGTTGTTCCTGACACGTGCACGGACCCAATCCATCGCTCATCGTCTGGAATCCACCTCCAACCAAATCGAATGTCTAGCCTGCAGGGCTACGTCGACCACCGCGTCCTCCTCATTCTTCAAGATGGGCGTGCAATCGTAGTGAGTTCATCTCCCTCCATAAATCATAAAATGAACACACTCACCAACCGTTGATCACATGCAGGGCGTATTGGCAGGCTTCGACCAAAAATCAAACGTCGTCCTCTCCGACTCGAAAGAACGCGTGTATAGCATGGACGAAGGCGTAGAGGAGATCCCACTCGGTCTTTACCTTGTCAAGGGCGACATGATGTCCGTCTCTCCTTCTCTTTGCTTTTCCTTTGTTGATATTTACTCGATGCAGCGTGCTCATAGGCGAGATAGACGACGCGCTCGACCAGTCCGTCGATCTGGGAACGATACGCGCGGATCCGATACCTCCCATCCGATATTAATCGCAGCTTGATCGTGCACGCGACAACAAACTTGAACCACACCTCGGGTGGTGGTTGGGCGAGGAAGGACGTAGAAGCGAAAGTGGAGGATGAGGATGTCATGAGACCAGTTATCATCCATCCATCCATCCATCCACAACGACTCCATTGAAACCTCCCTACTTTCATTCTAGATCGTAGGCACGAAAGTAATGTATGTTCATAATTTCAATTTTTTTTTGACCATCGTACTTGAGTTTCCTTCCTCTAGACTATATGCGACTCCTTGAGCACCGATGGGGAAATGGGATACTGACTGTTCACGATCGCCATGACCACCCTGCCAATCGTCAATTCGGGGATAACATCCTTTGTGAATGTTACTTCCCGCCGCCCAGGCGAGTTTGGCGACAATCCCTTCATGCACTGAACTCGAATCACTTTTCGAGAAGGAGTATTTATGCCTGATGTCCGCTTTCTACTACAAAGGGATCAGCCATGCTGACCTTGAGTTCACAGCTACCCATCTCGTTCCTTTCACCTCTTTCGCCCCCCACGCAGAACGGAAGCATCACCCTCAAAAGAATAAATCTACCATATCCCTATGGAACCTCTATCAGAAATCAGGCAACGCTCACGAACGTTGCTGCATCCTCCAACTTCCTTCATTCTCTTGATGTCCGCAGCAACTTCACCTCGATCTTTTTATCCTTCTCCCGGTCACCTCGACTCACGAGGGCGACGAACACTCGCGGGTCACTCTCGAGTCTTGAAATAGCTCTTCCAATTTAAAATCAGGTCGTACCACCGTCTTGTGATCCTCCAGCTTGGTCTGCATCCACCGCATGACCAGACACCTGCTCATGCGAAAAATGATCTCCTCGGAGTATAATGATCGTCATCGTGACGCAACACCGGAGCAGAGAAAGGCTAGTTGGGGTTGCTTTTACAATCCAATGATCTCGGATCACCTTTTTTTTTTTAAAAAAAAAAAGGATCTCCCTTCTGGAACGCCGTCCTCCGCTACGAATTCCCTCGGAATTAGGGTGGGTGTATGGACTGAAGGAAACGCTTGACTCGGAGCCGCATTGATGGAATTACGACTTTTTTTTGTTGTTCCTAGGTACTTTGCTGATTTCTGGAAGAAGTGGGGCTGAAGCTCGAGCTTTGAAGGTTCATGATGGGTTGTAATCGATCCCAGTCGCTGCCCCGCCTTCAATGTTCACTACGAACCTACCTCCTACCCCTCCATCCCCCCGTTGTCAGATGCATCCCAGCCTGGCATTTACCGTCTCCTATCCGCCAAAGTGCAAAAATAACCCCCACACACTTTCACAAGCTATCTGCCGGCACCCGAGGTAGCTCTTTCCAACCAAGATCAGCAAGTGATACGCGGACTGGTCAAATAACGACGGCGCTCCGTGGAGCTGGTGAGGGCAGCCACCGCATGGCAGCCTGTTCATGCGAATGGCCTCGTTCAACTCTTACCTTGGCGATGATCCCGAGTGTTTATATGACCGAGGATGGTTATTTTGTAGGCTTGGGCTGCTTGTCATTCCGATAAAGCGGGTGACATGAGCTTGACGAACCAACGTGAAACAAAACTTGCTAGGTACCTGCCGCAAGGACTCAACAGACGTTTTACGAGGCTGCTCACCATTCCGGTAAAGCGGGCGGTATGAGCTTGACAACCCAGCGTGAATCAAAACTTGCTAGGCGCCTGCTGTCAAGGTGGCCCAACAGACATTTTACGACGACGTGGTTTGACGACCAACCAAAGTTAATGTCTCACCAGCCGCACCGATCCTTTCACGGAAGAACTTGACGTGGTTGAGCCGTCTCAGAGAGATCTTCCCTAGGCCTGTGGATCGTCGTTCCCTTCCGAAAAATCCTGCTCGCCGTCTTTGGGTATATCGATCAGCAACCCTCGTTCTGTGGCTACTTTCCCCGATCTTGCATTGTTTTAACCCGACGTCCACGTTCGACTCAAGCGAGAAATAAGGCTCAGACCTTCACGTGTGAGCCACCACACCCCGAGGTCAGATTGCTGTTTGGCGGGCTCGTAAAACGTAAACGGCGCCCGGTGGAGGCATTCACCACATGACTCCCCTCTCACGCGAATGATCTTTCTTATCCAACCCCTTGGATAATCTCCCTGGCCACGGTTTCGAATGTGTATATGAACGAGAATAACTGTTCTCATACAGCGACAATGGAGCAGTAGGCTTGTTGCAGTGTTGCTCGTGCTGGCCACTGCGAGCGGTTACAAGGAACGTTACAATCCAGCATCAATTATAATCTTGCAGGATGATTCTGGAGAAAGATGACCCGACAGTCGTTTCATGATGACGTGCATCCATGTGGCACTTCTACTGGCGAGGTTGTATCCATCTTCAATGTTTGATTTTCAACGTTTGATGAGATTGATTGTTTCAAGATCGACTCTCGCGGTGTCAACGAAAAATAACTCGAGTACATCACTCTGCTCTAAATTTATACAGAGCATATCTCAATACTTTGACTTGTTACAATTACACCTTGAGATACTCCGTCCACCATTCTTCGAACAACGACAATCCAAGGCCACCCTCGACTCCAAGATCCTCCGTTTCCCGAGTGTAGAGATGGCAATCCCGTGGTCGCGTCGTTGCGTCCGCACCTGAAGGTGCCTCCGCGTTCGGTATGATATGATCGTGAGGACGGCCCAAGATCTTCGCGAACGTGAGACAGATCTCGTACTTGGTGAAAGGCTCGTCGCTGGAATAGTGCAAAATCGGTGGGATTGGGGATTTGAGTGCTGAAACAGATGTAGATAAATTATTGTGAAAGAAGTGCAAGGTCTACTTGAAGCATTCACCAGTAAGCCGTACGAGGAAGTTGGCAATGTCAATCGTATTGGTCGGGTAGCGGGTAGCATAATGATCCATATTGTACTTTTTACCGGAGCGGTCTTGAACGACGTCTAGCAAGATGTTTATTGCGCTATCTGAGTTCTTGGGCGCGGGGCCATAGCTATGTGACGTTAGTATCGATGATGCTTCACTTCATTTCATTTTGCGACACGCACAGAACTGGGACCCGCAAAACGATGACCTTGGCACTATCAACTGTCAAAACGGAAACCTCGCCGTCCCTCTTTGTTCGGCCGTAGAGTTGAAGAGGATTGGTAGGAGAAGAAGGTGTATACGGCGGAGATGTTCCGTCGAAGACATAATCTGAAATGAGCTAGCTCACAGACAGTGTGGGTAATGATAGGTTACGCATGCTACCCACCTGTAGAGATATATACAAGTTTGAATTTCAATGATTTGGAAAGGGAGGCGAGATACGCCGGAACGTCAGCGTTTAGCTACATTCAGAAAGTTAGTTTGTAGAGTATCGGACTCGCAGGAAAATGACAACAGACGCGCTGCGCACTCTCAGGATCCTGTGCGTACATACGTACATTGTGAGGATGCTGTCGCATTGGATTAGATTCTGGAGTACGCACCTTCTCAGCTACATCAGGTCTTCTCTCTGCAGCACAATGTATTACCCCTGCAAATCATATTGCGCTTCAGCTGGCTCGTGAGTCTCGAGAAAAGATGAGCTTACAATCGGGTTTAAACTGACTGAAAACCTTCTCAACGTCCTCTTTTCTGGTGAGGTCTAGTTGCTCAAGTCCTTCCCTTGCTCGTGAGTACGATAAGCCGAGAACATCAACACCAGTGGTCTTGAAAGCATTGTGAACTGCGGAACCAAGCACGCCTGATGCTCCTAAAACGATAGTCGTTACAATTAGATGGATAGGTCATCGATTGGAGGATTCTTGCCTGTGACGATGACCCTCATACTGCAAAGATTGCGTGGGAAATCTAATCTAATCAGCTCAAGGATAACACGACGTGACCAAGCGTGACCATCACGAGTCCGTCATTTCACCATCTTGAGGTCGTCTTGCAAAAAGTAGAATATCTCGCTGGCTTCCTTTTCTGCAATGATCTTCTGTTGCAGACCCTCTCATCAATGGCTTCTTCAAAAAATTTCAGTCAGGACCTCTTCGAAACAACCTTTCGGCCTCAACCCAGAAGAAGAGTATCGGACCGCAATTATTCATGTTCAAATCTCCTCCAACGGAACGCCACCCATTGATCTTATCTCAGCCTTTGTGGCGTTCCATAAACATGGATGCCCTTGCGTGGCTTCAGGCACTGTCCCCGCTGAGCTCTCCTCTATGCTTCGACCAGGAATTTTTTCTTTGAACCTCCAGTTTGCGCGACACAGATTCTTTAATAAGGTTCTGGCTTTGATAGATCGATATCAATGGTACCCTTACTGGTGCTAAATTTCACCCTGCTTCTACACATTTACTCTCTATTGGACCGGGAAATTTTGGCCGAAATGTCGCGACCCTCGACCTATGTGACCCATGTATCATTGCACATAAGGAGGTCATTTGTTACTTGCGGGCGGCATGCATGTTTTTCCTCGTAGATGGAAGTGGTTCTCGAGACCCTCTGTTAGGAAACATGAATGAACCTGAGAACCATGAAGGTGTGTGCACATATATTCATCTTTTCGTCCAAGCACATTAACCAATTCTAGGAATCATTCAAGTCCGAGAAGCATCGGTTCACAGAAACGTTGCAAGGACTTTTTCGAGGGGTTTATTTGAATAGGGTGACCAATACCGTAACGTAAATTCTTATCCATCATCGACACGACGACCAAAGAACAGAGTCTTGGGTAGTTTTAGAGCAGTTGCGGTTCTATGGGGAAAAACCTAAAATCCGTGGGGTCCTTCATCTCAAAAACAAAGTTCCAGTCCTCGTTCGTTGGTCACATTTTGGTCATGACGCCTTCACCCGTATTCTGCAATCAGAAAATAACGGGATATGCGCATATAGCCTTGCCGAGAAAACTTTCCCTCATCATTGATGCCTGGCCATTATTGGCTTTAGTATGATGTTCTTTCTATCAATGGAGGAATCATCAAGGATTCATAGCCTATCTATGTGATCTGTGGGTAACGAGCGTAGGTCAGCTGCCTTCAGTTTTCTTTCGCATATGTATGTCAGTCGGAAGTGAATTCATCCGGTTTGTCTGAAACAGGGAAATAGTGACGAGATGTAGTCCTTCGAGTCGAGCAGAATTGCCTCCCTGCACGACAAGAGCCTTGACGTTGCGCCCTTGAGTTGTTATGATACACAGCTTGGTATCCACATGTCACGTCCGGGGAATTTCGAAAAGCAAGCCTAATGGCTTCCGCGCCGTCATCCTGCTCATCCATGATCGACTCCTTATGATCAATCCTAGTTGATGCTTTGCATCATCTTCAGGATGGGAACGAAAATCACAAGATATCAGCTGCTTCACGAATCACAACAGCTCAGCCTGACGCACCAGCGTCAAAATGGCGGCAATTTGGACAAGTAACCAGGCAGCTTCTGTGGAATCTTCTGGTTCATATCAAGTTGACGGATGCGTGAGATTTCAGAAGTTTGATTTGCAGCTTTGCTTATTTGAAGAAGTGACGGTTCAGGCCTCAGGGTTTGATAACTAGCAAATTCATTCAATCGGTCCCAAAGGGGGCGATCACTGGCCATCACCATTTCTGAATGCCGCGAATATGCTTTCCGGGGATGAATCACATTGGCCCTCTAACGCTTGTTTTGGCGATGGGCCGAATGCAAATCCTCTTTTGTCCCTGGTACCCACCCGCTTCGCATGCTAGAAACTTCGTGTGGGTATATCTTGCCCGCAATGCAATACTCATGTCATCCTCTCTCCCACCTTGACTCCACCCAACAAAATACGATGCGACGACGCGCTCAGTCAAATTCGTCAGGACCACGACCTCCTTCAAGCTTCACGCCAGTGTCCATATATTCCCATGTTTCGACTTACCGGTGAGTTTTATAAATCGCCTTTTCCAAAAACCGCGCCTAACCTTTGGCAGTTCTTTACTGCTTGAGCTTCAACTTTATAGTCCCTCACTGAAAGTCAATGAAGCCTCCCGGGGGCCCTTGGCAGTTTTCAGCGATCACGATCAAGTCGGAGGCAAAGTTATCCTAGACTCCCGTTCTTATCATACAGGGCAGTTAACGATCTCAGTATGTTTTATTCCCTTTGCTTGATGAGTGTAACTTGCTGACCTTCATCGGAGATTGAAGGAGTGTTTATGTATGATCCTCACCAATCTGGTTCCGCCGAAACGACGAACTACTCCGAACTCCAAAAGCACATATTTTTCAATTGTTCAACTTGCATAGCTGTTTCTCCGACTGCAGAGTCAAGTAGTCCTCGTACAACATTTCGTGATGCTTTCATCAGACGGCGACCCAGCGCCTCTCATATCAATGTATCTACGTTGAGCGAGAGGTCTTACCCCTTCACATTCAATCTCCCTCAGTCACATCGACCCGGCGAAGAGATTCCACCGTCATTTACATCAAAGTTCGAGGCGAATTCCCTGTCGAAATCGTGTGGGGTCGAATATAAGGTTGTCGCCTCATGGGAGCCGAGTGACGCATTTGAAAGCCCATCATAGTAAGTGCCGCAATCCCCCATCCCACCTCTCCCTAATTTTTTTTAGTCTGGAAGTACCTATTCTTTTGCAACCAGATACAGATTTCCAGTCTATGGACGCCACGAGAATAAGCCCTGACTCGTGGTTGGAAATGCCGCTTAAATCTGAGCGGCGTATGCCAGTTCGATGTGCGGTCAGTCTGTGCCGCCCTCTACGAATGTTCTCGTATATCTAAAGTTTCTATCATTACAGGTCACTTTGCCTACCTTCGTCACGTTTTCTCGTGGCTCATCAATTCCATATTTTGTGGTTTTCACGACCGTCCCTCGATCACCTGCGTTGGCAAGGGAAGTTGCATCTGACGCCACAATATCTGTATCACTTATACGGCAGATCACTATTCACGAGCCCACAACCACATTTCCCCCAACGCCCCCTCCGACGCCACCAAGCGACGAGTTTGAAATAAATCGTGGCAGCGCCGGGCTCTTGAAACGCGTCGGAAAATCGGCACAGTCGCGGCTAACTCGCGTGAGACGGGGCTCTGATGCACCGTTAGACAGGCACGACAAGCCTTTGCCTCAACTACCCTTCGCAAAATCATTCTTTGAGACCCGCACAATACACAGCGACATCTGCATTGGCTTTCCCAAACGCCCCCGACAGCAAACCGGTTTAAATAACCACCCTTCATTGGAGGCAGTTTCTTCATTGCCTGACGGGCTTCATAAAGCAAAGATACCTCTTGATAAAGAGATGCTTCCTTGTGTGGATTGGTCAGGGATCTCCGTAAAGGTATGTTTCACAGACTTAGCCTTTGTCTGTAGTTGACAATCATCCTTAGTACTACTTGGACATATCGGTGCTTATCGGTCAAGACGATCTTCGTGCCCGTGTGCCAATACGGATATTTTAGACAGACCTGCGTTTTTACCGCTGCCCAACCCAATGGTGAATATGCTGGTCCGTATCCACCGCATGGATCGTCATTACTGCACACCTTATCGCATTTGTTTTCCACTACGCACGCACTGTAATCTAGTCATATATATGCCAATTACTGCCCTTTGCATATATGATTGAACGCTCGAATTTTTTCTCACTATTTGTCCTGGCCAAATATGATGACAAATTTTGCCAAATTAGGCAAAGATGGGTAGGGAACAACGTTCTGAGAATACTTAAGTATACCATCCACAAGCTCTCTCAACGCCTTCTGGCCATGAACAACATTGAAAAAAGCTCTGTCATTCTTAGAATATAATTAAGTGACAAGAATATTTATCCCTGCCTTCATTCATGAGAATCTTTTCCCCAATCCTCTTTAAATTTGCCCAGACCTCATTCAGGTAGATACTGGGTTGCTAGCTCTGCAAGACTGTCAAGAAATAGGAGATATTTGTATTCTCAGCCTCCTGGGGTATTTATTATAAAAATTGTAAAGGGATGCTTAGGGATCAGTAGATTGACCATAAGTATAGCTACTCAAGCTACTGCTAATGTACCAGATCAATAGCCTAAAAACTCATCAAGCTTTGTGTAAGAATACCCATAACCCTGAGGCCACTTCACCACGTCGTCTCTCAGATCTTTGCAGAGGGCGAGAGCCAGAGACGGACGAGACCTTCGTCTGTCGGCTTAATTTGGCAACATTTGTCATCATATTTGGCCAGGACAAATAGTGAGAAAAAATACAAACGTTCAATCATATATGTACATAAATATCGTTGAATAAGTGGCTGGGCGGTTGACAAGAGTAAGTGGGAGCTGCGGGCTGGATTCTTCACTAATTATGGATCATTGTACGGGAGTTCAACTTACCCAACAAAGCCCCGTGCTTCGTTGCGGCATTATCTACTTCATAGTCGAGAGGATTTGATCTAACTCTCTTTCGATCATTGAATTAGGACACTTTCTTCTCAGCTGCCTAAATTTCGAGTGATCAGCCTAGCCCACGGTTCACAAAACAAGGAAAAGATCACGCACTCTAACTTAGCTTTATCACCTCTGTCTTTACACTCCTTGCCGGCAAGGCGCCACTCTCCACACTCGACATATAGATCAGCCCGTTTTGGTGAATCGCAGCGCGCAACATAGGCGACGGCTTCTTTCGGAAGACCTTTTTCAACTAGATGGCGGACAAAAGGCTCATAACCAATTGGACTGCGCTTAGATTTGGAAAAAGTTTCGAGCTCTCCAAAAGCTTTGACTTCTGTAAGTGCTTTGAGTTTGATATGCCAAAAGCTGGAGGTGGGATAGTCAGAATACAAGTGAGGCCAGGGCGATGTGAAGGCTTACCGCTTATCGGGTACCTTGAAATCAGACTTCATCTTATCAGCCCGTTTCGCCATGTTGTTAACCAGGCAAAGTCGTATCGATTCATTGACACTTGTCCCAAAAAAGGTGATCTTCCCATCAGTCTCGATATCGAGTTGTTGTTGGGTGGTAAGCAACCGGACGCTCTCTTCCATCATCTAATCGAATTAGTGGTTATTGCTTGGATCACCGTAACGTTCATATCCTTACTTTCGCTTCGAAAGTGCGGTCCTTGTCCTCTGAAAAGAATTTCTGAGCTGCCTTCACGGAGCTAATCTTCGACGCAGGATTCTATGGAAATGGATCAAGACGCTTGCAAACGGAAATATAAAACTAACTAACGTTCATCTTAGATGCTTCCTCTAGAGAAAGAATCGCGCTCTCCACTCTGCGGTCGTCAGAGTAGTAGAAATCTCGCAACATTTCCCTGTTCTGTTCTCGAGCATAAACCTCAAGGAGTTTGCTTGCTGAAGAAAGTCGCTCCCCGCCGTCTTCGATGAGCCGGAAGAAAGAGCCAAGAGGAAGCCTCTTATGGAGATGGAGCAGAACATGATACACTAAATCAAAGTCAGACAATACCATGTATTAGCACTGAACTTACCCAAGTCAGTATCTCCACTATCAACTGCCTTCAGCAGAGCCAACTTATCCTCCTTCATTGTAAGTAGCAGTGGTACCTGATCAGAAGCTCTCGATTCATGATCAAGGAGCTAGGCTAGATGGTGGGTTGGCGATCAAATTTTAATTTTTTGAGACATACCTTTGTAGCCAATCTACTCCGCCCCACCTCCCATGCTTTCTTTGCAATTTCAGCATAGCTAACCTCCGTTCCCCCCAGCTGCTCAAATTTATCTACGATCAGCTTACAAACTTCATCATCCGCAGTCAATTCGGCATCCCTCCCTACTCCCGTCGAAGTAGGTCTTGACCGCAGAATTTTTGCACAAGCCCAGTGCTTTAAGACAATATCTGGCTTGAGGGAAAGGAAACTCGAGATTCGGAGAGCGAGGAGATGCAGATTTCGAGATGTTAGACGTGAGATCAAATGCGAGGGAGAGGCGTAGTTATGTCTGGAACAAACGAGGTATGAGCAAAGGGTATATGCCCAATATTGGAAGATGAGTTACTCCGAATATGTTAATGGGATACCAACCTCGTAAAATCGTACTGCATTAAGTACTTTTAGGGTTTGACCCATGTTGACAAAATCCGTGGGGTTGTGGAAATCCAAGAAACTACGACCAAACTTAGCAGCCTAATATACGAAGGTCAAGATTGTATGACGAATTTCTATGACCATGTATGTATAGCTCACATTCAGAAGTTTCCGTTGTAACTGAGGCTCCCACTCTTGGCCCGCAGCATCAATACACTCGTCGACAGCTTTCGCCAGATCAGGTCGTATTGAACGAATGCTCTCATCTGCTTTGGGAGAACGAGAAGAGAAGCTCTCCCACGCGTCGTACAAAATCGCAGAAGGAGAGGTAGATCCAGGACGGAAGATAGATGAGGTAGATGCTGAAATAGACGTTCAGTTTCACTCGAGAGACGTCGAAGGCTTACGCACCAGGCACTTTCTGTAGTAGATCACATATATCTGGGCTCATGATGCGAACCCCATCCATTTCTGTGACTGCAAAAGGAGTCCCAGAATAAGCATACCTGGCTTACTATATAAGCATTCAGAAAGCATAGATTGGTCATTGTCACTCACTGGAGTGTATCACCCGAAGGGCCGACCAAAAGAACCAAAAACTTCCACGCAACGGCAATGGCATCATTTCCGCACCATTCAACCTGCAGAACATTGCCTTCTGCCTCAGGAACACTGCTGGCGTCGAACTCCGCTATATTCCTCTGGAAATCACTGGATACAACCCATAACGTTCCCGAAAAGGTTAAGAGCGCAAGAAGCTTGCCATTGGGAGATGGTGAAACATGGGTAAAGGGTCCTCGAGATAGGCGCTGGTCCACGCTTTCCAAATTGTCCACGGTATATATGGTGGATTCCACCGATAAGAGGACTTCAACATGACGGGATACATTTAAGTCTGGCGGTATGATGCACCAGGCGTGCGGAGGTTGAGTGAGTGCTGAAGAACCTGTGAGGAATCGCTGTAAAAGAGTGGTTATGGCTATCACCTGGGTTGGCTAAAGTTAGAGGTCTTCCCCCTTCCCAACCCTTCACTTCCAGCAACGCCAAAGAACTAGTCATGGCCACGAAGCCATTGTCATGTATGCGAGCGTCAATAATTCCTAGTTCGGAAGCTTCGGGGCCAAGGGAGTGCTGCTGGTAGTCTCCTTGCAGGTCGTAGAGTCGATAGATGCCCTCTTCATTCAAGACTGTCAGTGTCTCGTCTCGAGTCCAACCAAACTTGATGATCTTGCCCTGGTCCCACTGTCCAATTTCGTGTCAGTCAACAAAGAGATTTCACAGAAGAGATGTGACCATCCACACTGAATGACAAGAGGCTCTCTCCCGCTGGAGAGTATATCTGAATTTGTGCCTTCGCAGCTGCAGGAGTTAGACGCCCTAAAGCCAGAAGCTTTGTGTTGTCCCTCATAAGCGCTTTCAAACTAGTTTGGGTCACCCGATGACAAAATAATAGAACACGACAGACCTAGAGGTCCACCATATTGACATCCTGCGACGATGTAGTCCCCAAAATCAGGGAGTTTTCCTGGTATGGAGTAGAGCTGCTGCCGTCTGTAGAATGCGTTTCCGTCTTGCATAGCCTGCCATGTCGCTGTCGGATGTTCCGTCATTCGATTCCCTTTGAAGTGGTGAGCGACAGTGAGCAATGAGTGTCGTTCGTGGTCAAGACGCGATGAGGGCGTGTATTACAGGTTACATAATGTAGTACTTCCTCATCAGTACTTTTCCTGTGGATAAGTATAATAATCATAGCATAGACACTACTAGGGTACGTTCGCATTATACGAAAGAGTCATTTCTTATAACTGGGCTTTAAATCCTCAGCGTCCTCGCCGTAATTACTATCAACGTTATAAGGCAATAGCCTTTCACGAGTGACCCTGTATTGATCCATGTTACCAATGTGCTCGTTCTCCAGGCGATCTGAAACGCAATATTAATCAGACTTGTATTTCAGTCTGAAAAAAAAAGAGTACTGACAGAAATTCCACTGCCATCGTCGTATTACCTCAATCAGACCAAGCACGAAGGAGCGCAAGTAGGTATCGGGTCCACGTGTCGGTATATACCACACCCAGGTGAATCGCAGTAGCACGTTAGATATCTGCAAAGCTATTTCAATGAAAATTGTGTTTCAGAGGGAATGTGTCACACAATGGCAATATAATAAAGCTGTTGTGTTCAAGGATTAGGAGCGTCCAGAAGAGAAGAAATGACCACGAACAGATATTTGATTTGAGTATATTAACTCATTTCGGAGAAGAGGGTATGGCGAATGCAATCTCAGTAACGACCAATCCATGAGTAAGTCCTAGATAATTGCATTAGAGCTTTTCGAATGCATGGGGGCGTCGCACACACCCATGTAGCAGAGTAGATGGCAGAGCAAGAGGTGAAAAGACACCAAAGGATGAAAAATATGTCACGATTACTCCCTAAAGATAAGAGCGGTAAAAAAAATGCACGGAATAATAACGAAAAAGGCTGACCGTGATGCCGCCAAAGGAAATAGAACAAATAACTGACTATTCCGGACGCGTATTTCCCTGCCTGTCAACGAAGGTAGTCAGTGAAAAGAACGGCAGCCCATGCAACAATCAACAAACATTGATCAAATGTGTGACCAACCCCGACTCAGCGTACCGCTTAAAGCTTTGAATTACGCGAATGGCAAACGGTAACATCGTCAAGACGAATGACACAGGCCAACGTGGAGATGTGCCGCCGCACTTTCTCCAGTCTATAGAAAAGTCGTTGGCGTAGACGCAGCCAAAAAGATAAAAATTTGAAAGTGTAAAAAGCATGCTGCAAAATTGGTCCCTGTAGTGAAGGCAGTCAGCATTTTGAAACGCATAAATCTGTCAACGGTTCTCACCCCATCCAGAAATCGGTGAACTTGTCGGTACGAAAGGAATGGGTAAATTTGAAAAATCCAAAAAGATAAGAAATTCACCTCTACATGCCGCGTTCCTGACAAAAAGAGCTTGGACACGTTCCGAACAAGCCAATATCTTGACGATCGGAAAAAAAGCGGGAATGGTTGGAGAACAACGAGGGCTGCAAAGCCAATCCAAACCAGTGGCCATATCGTTGGCGACACGATTGGAAAGCCGATCCTGGCAAAGGATAACCAAAAGGCATAACATAGTGCTGCCAATAGAATGCTAGGAATCTTCAGGCACAAGGTTAATAATGAGTTTGAGTGGGTAGTGAGAGACAGACCTCGAAATATTCCCTGAAGTCCAAACGGTTCATTACGTCCAACTCTAGAGAAGATGAGTCAGAAATGATTAATTTGACCGTCAAGAGACCTTACCAAAGATGAAAACGTAATTGATTCTTGAGCGAGACCAGACCAAAAGATTGAGTCCTACCAGCAGGACGAATATCATGGGCACGAGAATTATGCCATACAGGAAAAGAAGGGCATCCCAGGCTGGAATATCACGCCGGGTCTGCTCTTGAAACGCTAAAGTGACCATTGTTTAACATGAAGGTGTAACAAAACAAGGTTACCGACAATGAAAGAGCCCCGAAGCAAGGGCGGGGACGGCAAGTCCCAGAAAAATGCCTGATCGAAAGGTATTGAAGTGATGGCTCTTGACGCGCGTGCCCCCTCTTAGACGCATTGTCGCTCTCTTCTTGTCACCTTGAGCTGAAAAAAAACGTCATTACTCAAAAGGTCAAAGACCCTAAAGAAACGTACCGAAGGAGATCGCAAAGAGGTCTTCCATCTCCTTCAACATGTATGTTACAGCCTTGTCGGAAGCAAATGCACTCTTGTCCACCTGGCAATCGGAGCATTCAGAATATATCGCACTTTCTATATCCAAGGAGGGACCTTTTCCGTCATGTACTGGTTCTGAACCGGGATCTTTTCCAAGATGAGATAGAGATTTGCAGTGACAAATCGAAAAGCATACTTTGGTCACCTTCTCAAATTTCTTCAAGGCCTTTCGGAAACCGGTGATATTGAGGACCTTGAGAGCGACTAAGCAAAAGAGGACGGATGGGCCAAGGGATACATACCCGGTAGTTGTGTAATACTTCCAAACCGCTAAAATAATGGTCAGAAAATCGCTTGTACGAGTTGAAGAATGAGAAGAGAAAGAAGTTGAAACAGATGGCAGCAAGGTCAGAGATCGAACGTCCGGTTGGAAGGAAGCAAAATATATCGGACCTCACCGATAGTGCTCCAGGACGGCCTTCTTGAGCTTTCTCTTGGCGTATAGGTAGTTGTCGGGGTCCGGTGAAAGTGCAAAACCCCCAGCGGAATTTACCTTGTCTTGTTGGTTTCCTTCATCGGTATCATCATCTCTAGGCTGCTGTTTGGACCTCTCCGACACGATCTTTCCCGGATGATTGACCTTGATCTTCCATGTAGCTGCTAGGTTGTGTGCCCAAGGGATTTTATTGTTCGCCTCCTGGGCGTTGAAAGAGTCAGGGACAGAAACAAGTTACAGTTCTCCATGGATAACCTACCAGAAAGAGCCTTCGATGATCGTCCAACTCGCGAAGTTGCGCCTTCAACATTTCACCCCTGTCCATCATGGCCTCTTCGCGCGATACATAGAAGGCTTCCACTTTGTCCAGCTGGGAATCAAGCATAGCAAAAAATAGCGTTTCCTGTGAAGACAATTGTGGGAGAAGGTCGTGCAGAGGTAAAGCGGGTGAGGGGTTCGAAAGCCGTGCCACACCTAGTGACTAAGATCAAAATGCGGTTAACTGGGAGCTCTCTTGGACATACGTGTACCAAATATGCTCTTGTGTCGTATTTTAGAACTTATATTTGAGAGCGATTGGGTTATAGATGCCCTGCGACTTGTGTTCCAAACTTTTTGACTCGGTATCTCGGTAGAGGTTTCTGGTTGACCCTCTGGCTCTGTCGTGGTAGATCCTACATCGGAATCCCGAGATTCGGGGGGAACGATGGAAGGGAGAGGGTATATTGAAGCATGGTTCCAATAAGAGTCTGACGGGGGTATCTCATCCGCTTCTTCTGCAAGCGAATCAAAGCCTTGCTGGGCCTCACGGATTGCAGTGATGCGTTTTTTTAGCCCTCTATAATCACTAGATAGGGGATATCAGGAGGGTGCGCTTCAATCCTTGACGAAAGACAAACATATAGGCCTTTTTCCACTCCGGGATCTGCCTCGTTGTTGAATTGCTGTAGCAAAAGATGAGAAGTCACGAGAACGCACCTGAGTATCGCGCAAGTATCTGTTTGACAAAACGATATGTGAATACAGGTCGGGCAGAAAGGGTTACAGCAACGAACTGAGCAAACTTCATGACGATAATGACGGTGAGGAACGGGCACCTAAGGAGGTGAAAGAGCCAAAGACGTTTATTTAAGTACTTAGGAAGCAATCATGAATGCCGGGGATTATTTTTTTGACAAGTCCTGAAGTGACTTCTGTGGCCCTCTCCGAGTCCTCCCTGGCCTCACCTTTGCCAGGTGTTGCTTGCTCAGGCCTCAGGGTTTGGGGATGGCGATCCGAGAAAACGCCAAGAATACACCAATTTGTTCGGTGCACTGCGGGGTTCGGAAAAATGTGACACGGCCACTTTTATCGACTGGACTTTCTGATCGCGCCGTCACACTCAACAACGGTATCAACGCGCGCCTCTGGAAATCCCCACAACCCGCACCGAAATAAGTACGGGGTTCCGTACCAGAGGCCCCGCGATCTCAAAGAAAGGTGATTGGTTGGGAGTGTGGAGCAACCAATCAAATCGTTTCTGGGCATCGCCGGTGTAATTGCACAAAAGTTACATATCAACTTTCAAGGTGAGTTTCTCTTATCGATATTCATGGGCATAGCTAATTTTTTATGTCTATGTACGAGTGGGAGCGAAAGCCATCCCACAGAAACACGAGTGAGTGTCAGCATGGGGAGGGATTCACTAACCGAAGAATACAGAAGTATATAAAAAGAAGACTTTGCCTCAATTATTGAGCACACGACCAGCACACGACAAAAAAAATGGAGATTTCCCATCTGGGCGAATGGCGCTCGATCATAAATCATTGCCACCCCCACTGACCTTCTCAAGTTCTCTATGAATCAATGATCATCATCAGGACTTGCCCCGGGCCTTATAGTATAACCCGTGAAACATTTGCCTTTATATAAAAGTAAGGACCTATGATCTCTCAACCAAATGGGAATACGATAAAAACCGGTTATCTAGAATTTTTTTCCTTGGGATAAAGTACATAAGAATTTTAGGTATGTCGTTTATCTTCCCTAGTCGACTGCGGAGCCGTGGGGCTTAAAATATACAGGCGTCAGCCCTTGTCTTCCAAAAGTCCTGTCGTTTTTATGACGGTCGATAATAGGGCAACACATCACCGACTTCAAGTTGGCACTAACTTGCAAATTATCTCTCTCCCTCAAAATTACACCATTTTGTTTGTTGCCTCTTAGAAGAAGAAAAAAACGATCTCAAGGCCAAGGTCCCTGAACGAAGCCCAACAATCCTCCGCAGAAGTCCATGGCGGCCGAAGATCCACGTTTCAAGCGAGCGAATATTTGAGCTGTTTTCCAAGTCGTGATCCGCAGAACGCACCTCAGATGGTTCACGGGCAGGCCCATTGTCATCTCTTTCCCAAATGTGTGCATCAGGGCACAAGAGTAAGCTGCAAATACACCGATAAATTCTGACCGGGCAAATCAAATTCCGGTAAGAGTATGCCTCGGGAAACGATACCTCCTTCTCATCTACAACGGAACGGGCACAATCCATGCCATCGTAAAAGTCCGGTCGTCACAGGAAAGTAACTGTTTCAATAAGCACTACGTGAACAGCTCCGAAACTTCCCCAGCCGTGCGTTCTTGTTTGCAACTTACAGTGCCGAGCGCGTATTCATTGAGATGCTATGCGCAACAGGTAGTAAACGAAGATGAACAAACGGTTTACGGTCGGCTTTCGTTATTTTTGTTCATCTCTCCAGCAAGGCACGTAATTGAATCAGAGCATAACAAGGACAACATTTACGGAGAGTTGCTCCAGATCCGCGGCCTCCGCCCGCTCGCGTGACCAGTGGAGTTGCTTTACAGGTCCTCCATTTGCAATTGAGAACAGTCTACTTACGGTTCTGAATATCAGATATATTTGAAGCTTTTCAGCAAAACTATCAACGACGCTCAAGAATGCGGTAGGTTGCTCAATGCGCACTTTTAATAAGTTTTAAATGAGGCTTTGCCTTTGTTTGGTGCTTTTTCGCGCCTAACGAAGGGAATTTCGAAATGGCAACAGGGCCGTCCGATCGTCGTTCCTCATATTTCTTGACGAAACAAAAGAGCGGAACTAGAGCCAGGAAACCCTGATATATTTCCGTAGGGGATCACTGCAGCGAAGGGTACAAACTGGACGTCGGCTGACTCTAGCACCTGATACGTCGATCAATGCATGCAAAAATCCGCAGACGGATAAAGAAAATCTGGAATATCAAAGTCATTTCGCGATCCACGGAAAGGTCCTAAAGTAACCGTTCTTCTGTATCAAGGGCAATAACAACCGTTCTTTTTGTTGGGAACTTGTGCAGGTATTCTTGATGAGGGTGATGAGGAATGGAACACTCCGATTTGATGTTCTAAAATCATAGAGGTTTGACGATCTGTTCCTCGTCCATGACGTCGATAAGTTTGCCTTGAGCCTTCAGCTTCACTTCGCGTCTTCAAAAAGTCCCTGAATCCACTCGAGTCGGCAAACGACGACGGCAGCATTACGGCAATTTGTGATATTGCGCTTGACGACCGACTTATTAACGGGGTGGCGGGATGAGTGAACACTGAAAACTTCTTGGGTTCATAAACGCAAATAACTCCCAGACGACGACCGCCACGTTACAGAGGGTTATGATATTGCATTCTTCTCCCGTCTATAGTTCGTATTCTCGGGATGGAATCACTTGCTATGTTTTAGACCTCAGGGCCAGGACACGATGGAATTTTGACAGAAGCCAAGACTTCCTTCCTCGAGAATGGGAAAAAAATCTTACATTCATTCGAGTGGGAAAAACAAACGACTCCCAGACGACGACAGCCACGACACGGCGATTTGTGGTGTTGCGCTCTACGACCGTTCTCTTTTGGAATTCACGCGATGGCGGGGTCGTCAACTGGTTGTTCGACCCTAGAAGCCTGCTTCACAGCGTCCGCCATTTCTCCGAGTGTCTCAAAACGCAAAATCCAACATTGCATTTCCTCAGAATCCCTGGGAAGCTCATTGCAAGTCACCGCGCTCTGTCTATCAATCCACACGCTCTGCATCCCTAGGCGACGGGCCGCAACATGATCATGCTGCAAGCTCTGCGCGACGGACAGAACAAAGGGACGTACGTCCTCTTGGCCAAGATCTCCAAATAAAGCAGGATTTGAACGAATATACTCCAATGCAGCGTTGAACCCCCCTAGGTCCGGTTTATAACACCCGGTATCCTGCGCAGTGAGAATGAGAGTAAAGGGAGATTGAGATCCCATGGTGGCTTGGGGATGCCAGAACTTATGTGGCTTGTCGTCGGGGTAGGTGTACAGCGCTATGTCGGGGTTGGAGCCGATGCCTTCGGAGAGAAGGGCATGCGTGTGTCGGAAAGAGGTGCGGTCGACGTTGGAAAGGACAACAAGCTTGAAATGTTCAGCGAGGACGCGAAGGGCGGCATGGGCCAAATAACGTCGATGCGCCATTGCTAAGTTCACGTCGATGTATTGAGCTCCATTCACGGTATATGTATCAATTTCTTGCCCACTTAACGCTTTGAGCCTTTCTTCAAGGACTTCGTGTGCCAAGGCTTGGCAAGGAGCTGGGAATATAACATGTCGGGGTATTGTGCTTGAAGGTCACCCTCGACCGATATGAAAGTTGTCAAGGCCTCTTTGCGAGACCAGTGCCTCGATGCTGGAAATTGTGAAAGAAGGGGCTGGAGCGCGTCGTATAGACCCGATTCCCAATCCTACAATCGATTAGGCGTAAAAAATTTGATAGCCGAGACTGCACACGTACCACAAGGGTGCCATAGACGTCGAAAATCAAAACTTTGTGGTCTGTTAGCTTTGAAATGGTGCTTGACATGACTGGAAGGATTGTGCGGAAGTCGTAGATGAACAGAAATAGCAATCAAAGCAACATCGTCACGGTGATCAATTTGATCAAAGGCTCAGAGGCTGACAACCACAGAAAAAACCTCGGTGCCCAAACCCTCAGTTCGAGGAAGATGATACTAGCTTACATGCTCACAGAATATGAAGACATACTACGTGAGGAAATTAACGTCAGGCATCAATCGATCATTGTCCAAGAAAACCCATGCCATTGAGGTATCATGGAAGAAAACAACCCAAACCTGCCCAGCTCCAACGACAAATCCTATAGGACGTTCGCCCGGGCGTGATTTGACAACATGTGTCCTTTTCAAGCTTCTACAACCAAGGGACCAGCGACCGTTCATGATACTGAGGTTGACCTCGAGTGAGCGGGAGCATTCTGACTCCGTGATAGGTGAGAAGAGTGACAACACCTATTGGTTGGCAGTTTTATCTTTCGTACGCTCCATAGCTGTCGTCATCATCATCCAGGTCAACAGAAGAATTATCTTTCAAGTTGAGGGACATACGGTTATAGTGGAGGAGTTTTTCGATCAAATCAACATGAGTGAGGACCATTCGCCGACAGCAGTATCTTTTTAGTTGTAGTTCGTCCAGCGCGTCACTGCGTGTGTATAAGCGTCGGCTTCTTGTCCATTAAAGTGGGATCTTACCCTTCGCTCACATCTTTCGCGAGGAGCTCCAGATATGCACTCCACTTGTCACCAATGACTTTTCCGCAAGAAAAACACCTTACTGGGATGATCTATGTGGTAGAGAAAGTCAGGCCAAACTTGAAGAGAGGATAAAGAGTGGACTTACCATCGTGAAGGTTGGTGGAGAAAGAATACTTGATTAGTCAGCGGTTGAACATCTCTTGTTGAGCTCTTCTGGAGCTCTTATGGTGGTCCCATTGCTGTTCTCGCTCAGTACTCACTCATAATTCGCGTTCCCTCGTAATTAACTCTGCCACAAAGTCAAGTACTTTTTCCCTCGTCGTCCCATGTTCCTGTATGATGACCATCTTCTTTGTGTTGTACTTCTTAGACTGGACGTCGAAACTATGTTTTATGTGTCTTCCCGTCTTTTGTCTCTTGTTCTGCACAAGGTATAGCAAGACTAGGAGTTGGAAGTGATCATGTCAACTTGGATACCCTGATGAACCATTTCACATTGTCTATCCATGGCCAAGTTGTATCCAAGCGTTGACAACGGTTTGGGTAGAAGAATACGACGAAGATACGACATAGGGCAGGTCCACGGTACATTCGGAAAACAGTTCCTCAGGCTACTTCGATAAATCGGAAGGCGCTGCCCCTTGACGCTCTTGATAGCCTTGAGCAATGAGATCAAGAATCTTTCCTAGAACACTGGGCATAAATCCATCACTTGGGTAAAGAGCAATCACTTCGGCTTCACTCAGTAAGGTTGGTTGCATGCTCGGACCTTATCAGTTATAAGACTCATGCAGGCAGTGCATAGCACCGACGCGATCTTTCTTCAGGATTCCTCTCCACACTGGCGTTCGACATGCGATTCACCTTGGAAATAAACTGGAATCCGTAATCGGCGACGTAAACATAAAAGACATTGTTTTGGTATACAATGTCGTTCTGGCTGAAGGACCTCTCGATAGCCTTTTCGAAGCTGCTGTGGTTGATGAATAGTCGAATGTTGCTGTTCATGACGTTCTGGGAGAGCTCCATTTCGTCTGCTATGGTTTCGGCTGCTTCCTCGATCGAATTCATGATGTCTTCGCAGTAGAAGTCGATGTCTACGGTTGTGGGTCTGACCTGGTCTGACTCATCAACGCTATTATGTCGAGGAAAACTGGAAGACTCCGATCGTTTCCACTCTTCCAGCTTCTGAGTCGTGAAATGTCTCTGAGATCTCTTCAGTATCTACCACCTACACAATGCCATTTGCGTTACAGCTAACTGCATAATCGTAGACCACATCTGAAATTTCACTTTGCGCCTTTGTCTGTGCGTAAACATCCGTTTTAGGCCATGGCTATGTAAACCATGACGCCGATTCGCGCGCGCTGCCCATTGCTCCAAACACTCCAATCCCGCCCCGCACGTCATAAGGGTGGAGCGGTTGGAACTTGCCAACTTGGAAGGGCGTTCTACCTAATACGGTTGTTTGTACAAATAAAGGCACACAAAGTAAAATTTAGATATGGTCTACGGTTATGCAGTTAGCTGTAATGAGGGAAACTATATCATGCTGTGATACGGAATAGGAGAATACGCGCAGACTCGCTTACATAATCTTGACTTCTTGACGATTATTGTACGTAGCAATCTCTAGACATTAAACCACCATCATCTTGCTACCAAGCTCGCGTGATGAGTCTAAGGTGTCCACTGCTGGTAAGACCAAGGGTGAGCCCCCTTACAATGCTCCCTCCTCCACAGGATACGAGAGCCCTTCCTCTGGGTTAACGAGGGTCTGCCTAGGACTTCTAGGCAACCCTAGGAGACGAGCGCGACCTCAATAGTCGCGTTCTCTCCACTTACTTCTATTCATCGATACTATACTACAACATTCAACTACGGTACTACGAGACTTCACGCGCACGAAGTCCCCGCACGCACTGAGGTTTCACATTGGTGGGGGCACCGCGGACTTCACATCCGATGTTGAAGTCTCGCTCCGGGAGAGCTCGGAGGCTGTTGATCACGTCATAGTAAGTATGACTCATCACTTACGAGTCACATCGTTCCTCCATCCCTCTCCCTCGCCGTACCGTCCACTACCCACTCCTTTCCACTCGTTGCTGAGCGCAGTCCCTCCTGCGTTCGCGCGAGTATGCCCTGGAGCGCTGCCACAGCGTTCACGGTTATTCGACTCACCTTAGTAATTCCGATTATCCGAATTCAGTTAGTCGTCTAGCCCACCGCTAGATCCTTCACCCATCGCCCTCATTCATTCAGTCCACCCCTCTCCCAACCGACTCTACCCGATTTAGCTATGCCACACACACCGGATGAAGGATCTTCCTCGACTTAGTCGGCGAAGTTTTACGATCAGACAGGGCGCCGCCAGTGTATATAAGAAATAGACTAAAGTTTCGTCTCCTTCAGCTACACTACCATGGCTACCCCTTCCTTATCCAACACCGACAACGCCGACCCCTCTGACAAACCAAAAACTACCGGTCGCTCAACCAGAGCTACCTCCAAAAACCTTCAACTCGCGGAAGAGAGCGCTAGAGGTGCTAGCACCCCAGCTGTTCCTTCTGCTAAGGGAAAAACGACAGCTACGTCGCCAATTGCGGAAGAGAGTGCGAAGGGTGCTACTACCCCCGCTGTTCCTCCCGCGAAAGGGAAAGCGACAGTCGCGTCACAAACCAAACCATCTAAGCCAGGGTTGTCTTCACAGAAAGCTCCAGCTCCACTACCCCTTCCTCAGTCGGGTTCCAGCGCGCCGCAAGGCAGCGTTGTGCCGATCAATCCTCCTGGCCGAAACCTAGCGTTTTTGCATGAGACAGGACAAATCCTTTCGGATGCGCCATCGCTCACTTACTTGACGACTATATCAAGCATCTCTACGCTAGGTGCCAAGGATGCAACAGTGCCTACGGAGCATCATCGTATCTTCGAAGGCATCGCTACCTACGAGGAAGTTATGATCTATGACGAGCCCTTGTCGGCATCCCTGGCCCGTTACCATCGTCAGTTCAACTCAGCCATTGACGATGACCCCTTGATCTACTTTGGGGGTGTTGACGGGAGACTTCCCGGGAGATCCTTAGAAGACTCTCAGGGAATTAGAGATCTCCTATGGCGCTGGTACTCGCCTCACATTGACGGCGTTTGGAACAATCTCCCATCGATAATCGACCAGTTCCATAGGATCAATCTTGATCCCGAATATATCAACGACTACACTGTGGACTCGGTGAAGTATTATTCGGTGGCGCCCATGTTCCTCGAAGAAGTGGCCCAGATCTTCTTAGCCATGTATCAAGTACTCGACGCCTTTCAAACCTTCTTGGAGGAGGGCGATCGTCAACCATTCGCATTCGATCCAGAATGGAAGATGCTCAGGATGCTAGCCTGGCATACTAACAAAAAGGACATCTTAATTGGTTACGTAGTCTTACAACGACGATGCGAAGTCTGCAACTCCCACATCAAGGAATATTTCAACGCGATGCGAAAGATGTTCCTGCAAACGGATGAACAAGAGTCCGTCAGCACCATGTACTCCACTCGCCCTTCGATTCGTTCCCAGTTTGGACGAGGGTCTGCGCGTGAAGAAGTCGGAAAACTCCTCCTACGACCGGATTACGATTGTATTCCCGCTGCATACCGAGATGGAGTCACTCCTCTCACGGAAGCAGCTGTAGCTGCTGCCAACAGAAGGAATGAGAAGATTCCCTCAAACTTTTACGAGGCCACTCGAACTCGTATATGGAAAACTCTTCCTACCGATGCTGTCGCTGCTGCGCGTTCTGCCAGCAATGCCAGCTACAAAGTCAGAGCGCTGGATCAAGCGTTCGCTAAATCACCGCAGATGGCTACTCCCCCTGCCAACGCCCAGTCCAATCAAGCGTTTTCTCAATATGCTCCTTCGGTTGTTCCTACCACTCAATATGCGCCATCAGCGGTTCCAACTATCGCTACCCAGAGTGTTAAAGTACCGATGCCGGCTTCCATTTCTGTCATCGCCCATCGTCGTCACGCCATCTCCACCATGCCTGGCATGGGGCGAATTGAGCTGCCAACAAATGATACCGCTGTTACAGCGCTCGTGGCCAACACGAGCGTTGAGCAGCGTCCTCGGCCGGTTGTGAAACCTGCCCAAACAGTATTATTCGCTGGTAGGCAGACCCCCCCTCACTTAGCGACCAAAGCTGCAGAACCGCCTCCTGCCCCTGCGAGCTCCGCGCCTTCTCGTTGGACAAGCTACCAGTTCAAGGATAACCGTCCCATTCCGTCGCCTAGCGATGAGGACTTGAGATCCCCTGGCGATCCTCCTCCAGGAGGTGACCCCCCGGACGATGATGCTGGAGGCAATGGTCCAGGCGGTGGAGGCGGTCCTAATAGCGGTCCCCCTGGAGGCCCTCCTAGTGGTCCTCCTGGAGGAGGCGGGGATCCTCCCCCTAGCAATCCGTCGGGGTGGGTCAGTCAACCGTACTCGCCCTTTCCTTACTCGGATGAGTGGCAGCTTAACCACAAGCTCAACTCATCCGTTGTACCAGCTTGGGACGGACACGGTTCTACTGCCATCGAGTACATCAGCTCCATGTCCTTCCTCGCTCGTATGAGCGACAAAATGAAGGAAGGTGTCGCAGCTATGGCGCCGTATAAATGGTCTGGCCGTGCAAAAAGCTGGTGGGAATGCCTACCCGTAGCGGATCAGATCTATTTCCGTCAAGATTGGGAATACATGATGGTGGGCCTCCGGATTCAGTTCCTTGATTTACGTTGGTCGCGTGAACGGCTCTATGAGTTCGAGGCTATGTTCTTCCGTCAGAAGGGACACACTACAGAAGATCCCATCGACTTCATACAGCGAAGAGTCCGCCATCACATGTTCCTTCATCCCGAAGATCTCGATGGTCCTGGCGCAGTGGACCGTATCTTGCGCAACCAACCTATTGAATGGGAAAAGGATCTTAATGACGTTACTTGTCCGTCCATATTCGCGTTACAGAGCGCGGCTAGTCGTCTCGCTACAAGCCTAATTAATGACTGGCAAAGTAGCGAGATCCGCGCTCGTAACACAGCGGTTGGCCAAGGAGACAAGTCGTCTATCCCAGGCAAGGGGCGTTACGGGCGATCAGCGCACCTCGTCTCGGCGGATACTCCTGCTGAGCCTCCAGCCTTAATTCAGGATGAAGGCAGCGACTCGAGTACGGACGAAGGCGCCGAAGCCTTTGCGGCGACCTTCCGTAAACGTAACGAGAAGAGCGGCACGGCTGGTTCGTCTAAGTGGCCGAAAGGCAAAGTCATGAACGGC